TTTATTAATTTCATTGTTTGTGTGTTTAAGTGGAGCTCATATACTCAACCCATTAAATCCATTACTTTGTCCAATACATGCATTTGGAGGTAAATTTAATTATTAAAAAAACTATTTTCCTTTTACTATWTTTATTAWACATATATTATATATTAATAATATCTAAAAAAATGAAATAATTTAGATTTATTACATCATCTGATTGGTGGTAATGGTTTGACTGGTAACACATGTGTRAATAGTTGCCCTAACTTTTGGAAATACACAAATGTAAACATTAAAACAACRTTRTAAATTGATTCACTAAACTATGACCTGGGACTGTTTTCATGGACACCTATAATATTTATATACATATATAATTAGATGCTCAATAAATTATTTATTAAAAATTAAWGTTTTATTTTATTTTTTATTTATTAAATAATAATTATTATTTCTGTTTTATCTAATAATTATGATGACATARCATCTAATATTTTTTTTAAAAATTTAGTTTAAAGAACTAATWTACCTTTRAWATTAAAAATAACTAAATGTATTTGTTGTGTAAGTTATTAATATATCATTTATTATTCATTAAGTTTTATTATTAATTTTAACATATATTTTAATTTAAATATTTATGTCTACTTATACATTAAAGCAAACTCGATATTTACAATATTTTGAGTKCTAAWAATAAACTTTTTAATTATTTTAATTTTTACATRATTTYATAKTTTAAAAAGTATTTCAATTATTTCAAATCATATGCTTTCCATTGATATTYATCTTAAGTTTTACACTRTTTTAAATGATTTTTAGATTTCGGGCAATCGATTACATMTACCGGTTGYTGTATTTTTRATTCAAAAATTTTGAACAGTTATGCATATTATGTATAAAAAAACATGAATAAACATTTAGAAAAATTAAGTTAAGTTATATCAGATATTCTGTGTAACAGATTTAGAAACTTTTTGTTATTATATGCTATGATATATGCAATACATTAAATAACATATAAATAGTGTCTTGATTTTCAACTAAAAAAATTATTTTGTCGGTTTAACGCTTATAACTGGGACTTAGTATGTCCACCGAACTTGACCAGTGGACGCTATTTCCGAAATTTTATTATAACTATAAATAACTATTTGTTAGGTTAGCAACTATAAAAACTTATAAATAACTATTTCATTTATTTTGAAAAATATAAGCATTAAATTTTAAAATATTGCTCAAATATATGTAAAAACAAAAAGTAATAGTTATATAAATTATATAAAATGTGTAAACTGTTATCAACTCATATTACTTTTTTAACAATAGAAATATTTAGTTTATTTATATAAATCATTTTTGTAAATATGCTGAAAACAAGTAAATTATATATCAGTTGAAATATTTATAAGAAAATAAATAACTATTTCAATAACTATTTGGCTTTTTTGGCAATTATATACAACTATTTAATACAGTTTAAATAACTATTTTAACAACTATTTGACGTTTTTTAGCAACTATTATAACAACTATTTAATAGAGTATAAAAAATTATTAATCAATACACTACATATAAATTACATTTTCCTAAAATTTATGATAATTGTCGAAAGTTTCTGTTATTTCAATTAAATAATTTTTTTATTTGGCTACCGAAGCCCACCGACACCGAGATATAACTACAGTTTTCATTTGTCGACCAYTATTTCAATGGTACACTAAAAACAATTGCATTGATTAGATGGGCCAACAAATGATGTCCACCAATGGCGTGCCGACACATACTTAAAGTAGACGACAACAATGATATCAATATTAGGTTATTGTTAAATAATAATTTTATAATAAACAATTAAATACAAATAAATATATCAAATAAATCAAAAAATAATTAATAATATTGATCATAATGCAATCTAATAAATATACAAATATAATTAACATACTCTAATATTTTATAATAAACARTTAAAAAAATTTAGCAACTCATTGATATTTAATTTATTTAATTAAACTTATAAAAATATWTGTATATAGAAATAAAACAAAATAGTTTGATATTAATCATAATAATTGATACGATATTATATATAAAAGTTAGTTGGTTASTAGTACTCAATAATTTAAAAATGTAATTAAATAAAACTTTCACAAACAAATTGACTATATAAACAGCTAAATAMTAAACATAAACTATTAAACACATAAATATTTATAATAATTTTATCTTATAKTAGAAAAACTAAGTATTTTCTAAAAAATAATGTTTAAATATATTTTATTAGTTTCATTGTTTGTGTGTTTAAGTGGAGCTCATATACTCAACCCATTAAATCCATTACTTTGTCCAATACATGCATTTGGAGGTRATTTTTTTTAAAACTATTTCCMTTTTACTTAATTTATTATACATGTATTCTGTATTAATAATATCTAAAAAAACTAATAATTTAGATTTATTACATCATCTGATTGGTGGTAATGGTTTGACTGGTAACACATGTGTGAATAGTTGCCCTAACTTTTGGAAATACATGAGTGTTAACATTACAACAACATTGTAAATTGATTCACTAAACTATGACCTGGGACTGTTTTCATGGACACCTATAATATTTATATACATATATAATTAGATGCTCAATAAATTATTTATTAAAAATTAATGTTTTATTTTATTTTTTATTTATTAAATAATAATTATTATTTTTGTTTATCTAATAATTATGKTGACATAACATATCTAATAGTTTTTTATAAATTTTAGTTAAAAAAAACTAATATACCTTTWAAATGAAAAATRTATTTTGCAGTATATTTACATAATATAAGTTTTGAAAAACAAATATAGTGTCAAATAACTTATTATGAATTATTATTAATTGATAAAAATTTTATAAAATTCAAACTTACTGTACTTGTTGTGTAAGTTATTAATATATCATTAAGTTTTATTATAAATTTTTACATATAATTTTAATTTAAATATTTAGAAATATTGAAGTTATGTCTACTTATATAATATTTTAAGTGATAATAATAAACTTTTTATTTAATTTTAATTTTTTAAACTTCTTTTACATAATTTCATAGTTTAAAAAGTATTTCAATTATTTTAAATCATATACTTTCCATTGATATTCATCAGAAGTTTTACACTGTTTTAAATGATTTTTAGATTTTTGGCAATCGATTATACTGTATATACCGTTTGTTGTATTTTTGAACAGTTATGCATATATGTGTAAATATCATGAWTAAAAACTTATAAAAATTAAGTTAAGTTATAACAAAATCAATAAGTATTGTAACAGATTTACAAATTTTTTTGTTATTATATGCTATGATACTATACATGCAATACATTAAATAATATGATGTTATAGTTTTAAATTACAATTTCCTAAAATTTACGATAATTGTCGAAAATTTCTGTTTTTTCAATTAAATAATCATTTTTATTTGGCTACCGAAGCCCACCGACACCGAGATATWACTACAGTTTTCATTTGTCGACCAYTATTTCAATGGTACACTAAAWACCATTGCATTGATTAAATKGGCCAACAAATGGTGTCCATCAATGGCGTGCCGACACATACTTAAAGTAGACGACAACAATGTTATCAATGTTAGGKTATTGTTAAATAATAATCTTTATAATAAAGATTTAAATGTTAAACAATTAAATACTAAGATTAAAAATAAAAATAAATATATCAAATAAACCAAAAAWTAATTAATAATATTGATCATAATGCAATCTAATAAATATACAAATATAATTAACATACTCTAATATTATATATTAGATAATAAACAATTATAAAATKTTATTTGATAATTAAAAAATTTTAGCAACTGATTTATTTAATTTAACTTATAAAAATATWTGTATACAAGTTTTAACTTTAATTTCAAGGTTAGGYAGACAATTAATTAATMATAATAATTGATACGATATTATATATAAAAGTTAGTTGGTTAGTAGTACTCAATAATTTAAAAATATAATTAAATAAAACTATCTAAAACAAATTGACTATATAAACAGCTAAATRCAAACATAAACTATTAAACACATAAATATTTATAATAATTTTATCTTATATTAGAAAAACTAAGTATTTTTTGAAAAATAATGTTTAAATATATTTTATTAGTTTCATTGTTTGTATGTTTAAGTGGAGCTCATATACTAAACCCATTGAATCCATTACTTTGTCCAATACATGCATTTGGAGGTAAATTTAATTATTAAAAAAACTATTTTCATTTTACTATTTTTATTAAACATATATTATATATTAATAATATCTAAAAAAAATGAAATAATTTAGATTTATTACATCATCTGATTGGTGGTAATGGTTTGACTGGTAACACATGTATCGATAGTTGCCCTAACTTTTGGAAATACATGAGTGTTAACATTACAACAACATTGTAAATTGATTCACTAAACTATGACCTGGGACTGTTTTCATGGACACCTATAATATTTATATACATATATAATTAGATGCTCAATAAATTATTTATTAAAAATTCATGTTTTATATTATTTTTTATTTATTAAATATTAATTATTATATCACTTTTTACTAGATATTCAAAAGCAATGATTGTTAAATGATTTTAAAGTTGTATTTAAAATGCAAGTAATGTGTGTGTATACAGAATATGTTATTAAATGTTTATATACTGTATGTTAAAAGCATTTCTATACATATGTAAAGTGTGTTTCTGATCTATATATCCAAACAAATTGACAAAAAGCATATTAACTAACAAATAACAAAACTTATGAAAAGGGAGTCTTAGGAAACACGTGTTAGACATATATCAAGTGTTCACTCAATATAAGCATCAATTTTCGCCAAAATCGGGTATAGAAGTCGTATCAATAAAATTATTGAAATATGAATTAATAGTCAATTGTATTAATTGTTTGATTTGTGAGACTAATGTCAATAGATTTTATCAAATAAATTATATAATTATTTTATAAAATGAGTGAATATAATGTTAAWTTTGTTAATGTTAAAAGTGGTTATTATCCTAAATACAAACAAATATTTATTGTCTGGTTTAAAGAGTTTGATAAAATAACTAATTATAAATCTCGGTTTAAGTATGTTCAGGATAAGTTTGTTGAAAAGTTCAATTAATCAATAAATATCAACCACCAATTGGACATACAATTTTGAGACAATAAAATTTTTGTTTTTCTAATGTTTTTTATCAACATTTTGTCTATTTTTGTTAAATACATATATAAAGTATACCCGAAATATTGTTATTTATTTATAGTTTTATTGAACATTTTATTTTAATATTTCTAATTGATTTTATTGTCTTAAATATAACTTTAAATATAACCTATTTTTATGTTAATTTCTATATATTAAATATAAACTTATTTCATGTATTTTCTTAGTATATAATTTATATTATCATATAAATATACAGTACATATTTTGATATACATTGTTAATTAAACARATATATTTTGTTTAATAAATATAAATATGAATTTACTTTTATTTTATGATTATTTTAGTCAAAATATGATTTTATGATTTTGTAACGGGAATGGTATTATGGGTTGGTATAACCGAATATATAATCGAATAACCGGATACCGTGAATATAAAAAATAATGGATATCACTGCAAAGGTAAAGCGCGTAATTTATGAAAGGGATAGCTTATAGGACACTTTACGGGTGTCACGTAATCATTGGGTGACCCTCTCGGGGCTCACTAGCCACTGGTCAATGCTTATAGTCTTTCGGAAGCCTTTATCGGATCTCTAGGGGTCTCCGCAAATACGGACTACCTTCCCTGTTAATACACCWAGGCTGTTGTACATATCAATAGTAGACTTTATTTGTGTTCAAGTGCAGGCCCGTAGGCCCACAAGTTCAATTTTATTTATAATATAATGTAAKGGTATCGATAAATCGTAAGTATAACATGTGTGAGTATTTAACAATAATTAAATAACATTTATAATTTATAATAATAATAACTAATATTTAACTTTACATAATTAATTAACACAATATTCTTAATTATAATAATTATAAAAATCGATAAATAAATATAACATAAATCAGTTATTTAAGATAATCATATTTGATAATTACATATATAATTAACATAGGATAACATAAGATACAGTATAGCAAATAATACAGTATAACTTATTTAAATATACACAATAAAGATATTTTTATTATATTTCTCTGGAGGCGCCCGCCATTCTATCACAATTTATTTAAAAGGATTATAATCCTAACCTTAATGTATGTCAAAGCAGCCGCTTGTGCGGACACTTACCCAAACATGAGTATAAAAATAGGATACTGACTGACCATTAGGACAGTCACTCTCTATACACACACACATTACTATACTTTGTTTAAACTTAATTTCATTGAATTTTGTATTACCTTTTAAATTATATTATTTCAATAAAAGTTACAGTTTTTTCTAACTTCAAAATTACGACTAAAATTATTCAAATAGTTTTTTGTTTAATAATTAATAATATATTTTTGCAAGCAACTTTATACATATAACGCCACTCGCTTTACTAATGTTTTTTAATTATATCATTAGATTTTTTACTAATTAATATTTATTTTTAATTAATTAATATGATATTTAAAGGTGAAGAAACAGTTCAAATTCAAAACAAAGTTAAACATAAAAAACAAAATTAACCACAAAATAATAAATTAAAAATCAGATGTAATTGAATGGATTTGTTTTTTAACACTGTAATACTAGTCTGTATCAACTTAACTATTTATTAATAAATCAAGTTTTTTATTTTTATTTTTGTCCATTTGTTTGGATTAGTTAAGTTGATACAGACTAGTATTACAGTGTTAAAAGCCTTGGTATGTGCTAGGTATGGAGTGAACATTGATGAACAATTTTAGCACTTTTATTGAATTGTACATAGAATAACTGATACTATTTAAAAAATATTTGAAATTAAACAAGTTAAATGTAAAAAATAATTTAAATCGGTAACCGGCTAATGGTAATTATGCAACTTTTATAAAATAAAAAATGGTGCATATCTTACATATTATTTATATTTATGATATTTAATAGTTATGATTATTAAATAATTTAATATTTTTAGTTATATTCTTATTTTCAATTCTCAATGTTTTCTATTATAATATTTAAACATTTGTTTATTTATCTAAATAACTATTAATATGTTTATTGATATRTTGTGGGTTTGAACTCTGGGTTGTTCTATCCAAAGGTTATCTAAAAGTATTTGTAAAGTTTGCGCAGTCATTATGTGTTGACTCAATAACAGGTAGTGTTGTTAAAATGATTTTAAGACAATTTTGGAAAAWTTTAATTTTTTTAAGCAATCATATGAATTTAGAAACCACTTAGAAAATTATGTTTATTAGTTGTGATAAATAGTTATAGAAATAATATCAATGAGTTAATTGTATTGAAGTGTTTTAGCATTAAATGAATCCACTAATTAGGTATCAAAACATATATCTATTTGACTATTGAAGTGAATTAAAGAAAAATTACAACAATTTTATTATTATATTCTCTGATACCTCTGGTATATATAATACATAATATTATAACCTTAAATTGATAAATATTTTATTTATTTATATTAAATAATCAATTTTGCAGTTCAATTATTAATAATTGAATTTTAGTGACACCAAAATTGTATAGCATTTTCAATTTATTTATTTATTATTTTCATTAATTTTTAGATTAGTTAAATTAGATTAGGTCTCACTTATTGGAATTATTGTAAAATAGAAAAATGTTTGTAATTTCAAACAATGGCTTTTAATTCTATACAAATAATTTTACAAAGATATCAGAAATTATTTTAATTACAATAAAACAMTGTTTATTTATAATGTCAATAAAAAAATCTAAATTGTCTAAAAAATATGTAATGTATTGAATTTTATTTATAAAAATTACTATCATTTGTGTGATTCAATTACTTAATTGATGACAATTTTATGGCCATAGCATCGATCTAAGGGTTTCTTTCGATAAAAATTCGAAATAAGTTGAAAAATAGCGAAAGTTTTTGTTTTTTTTAATTAAATTATCTTTTTSTTAGACATTTCAGTTGACTCGACATTCAAATTGCATTTCAAAATGAATTCAATAATCCATTGATTTTTTGACTAATTAGTTGTGTATCAGAGTGTCGATCGACATTCACGTATCGATGGTATGATTGCCACAAATCTATTGTTTTCAAAAAAAAATTGTGACACTTAGTGATAGCAGATATCTTAAGACTGATTTTTTTCATTAAAATCACTTAAGACTTGATTTCCAATTGATTTCAGTCTTGATTATCAAACTTTTCTTTAATCATTATCTAGCGGTTGAAATGACTATTACAGCAGTGCCTGAATATGTAGCCAATGATAGCTTTTAGTGGTAATAATAAAAAGTGGACACAACTATAATTTAATTGACAATATTAATTAATTGATTAAAATTTAAATTATTTTCAAAAAAGTAATAATTTTTATAATAAAAGTTGTTTTTATTGATTTAGTATAACATTAACCTTAACTAAACCAATCTATTGTCAATAATTATCATTATTACTAACTAAACAAATATATATTTGAAAAAAGATAAAATATTTACTACTTGGCAACTGATGATAATAATCAATGTACTAATACTACTACTACTATAAACCTAATATAAAATTATCTAAAATATTACCTATTATTTGTTTTATCATAATATTTACTCTACATTGAAATAACAAAACAACAATTATTTAATAAAATATTTAAAAATATTAATTTCATTTTAATATACAACAACAACAAAAATTATATAAATTAAAACAATTAAATAATAACAATAATAATTATGTGCTACTATTTTGTCACATTAAAAAATATAACTGTATAATTAATTATTTGCAACTATTACTATTAATATTACTATATTATTAATATTATTATATAGTATTAATAATACTACTAATGCCAAATAAAGTGAAAAAATTATATAATTATTGTTGTATTATTTATTTATTAAAAAAGCTATTATGATAATTATTAGTAGAAATAAACAAAAATTTATTAAAAATTTATTACTTGTATTATCAATTGTTTTAATAATTAATATTATATTATTGATCAATATTTTGATATCAAAACCCAGATATAACATAAATGAGCGCAAGATTATCAATAGCCAAAGTGAAATTGAATTAACCAAATATACAACACCGACAACAAACCTGACCGCCCGGAGCTGTCGGCAGTGTCGACAACCGGTAGTAATATTTATACATGCGGCAGCGGTAGCCAGTGGTTTGTATTATGATAAGCGCCAAACAATACGCCATACATGGGCTGAGACGGCGAAACAATTGGGTGTTTGTGTATATTTTGTGTTAGGATTGAGTGACCAAACTCTGGTCAATCAGCAATTGGCTGCCGAAGCCGACCGATACCGAGATTTACTACAGTTTCCATTTTTCGACCACTATTTCAATGGTACACTAAAAACTATTGCATTGATTAGATGGGCTAATAAATGGTGTCCACCGACGGCGCGCCGACACATACTTAAAGTAGACGACGACTCTATTATCAATGTTAGGCTATTATTAAATAATTTACATCAATTTAAACAAGGTAATTTAAAAAATAAATATTGTATACAAGTAGTTACAATATGATTCATTTTAGCTAACAATTCCTACTATTGTGTATAAGTTGTTTTTGTGGCATTTTGTTGCACCGGGTATTATCAATAGTCAGGCTCAGGAATGTCCAGACTATTGTATTGTAATATATAGTTAATTTCTATACATTTTTTAAATGCCACAAATTAATTATTAGATGTAAGAAACTAATACTAATTATTAGTTATTAGATTTATTTAAAAATATTGATATAATTTTTTAAAATTAATTTATCACTAATAATAATACAGTATTTATAATTAGTGTACAATTATTAAATCTAAATAATTGGGGAAATTGTAATTTACTAAATAAATATTTTTAATTTTATGTTTAATAAAAAAATAGAATTAAATCATTCAGTATATAATATTTATAAAATATAAGTAAAGTTATAGTATTTATAGTTTTATTAGATTAAAAATATATTAGGGGTGATTCACATATCACGTTCGCACTTGAGGGGAGGGGATCGACTAAAGCAAACTTTTGCGAATGAGGGGAGGGGTGGTAGTGATCTTAAAGAACGTTTGCATTTAGATATTTTATTTTTTAGTGGTTATGGACATGTGAAGGTAATTTTTATAATGACTACATGCAAACAATTGCGCACATAGGGGAGGGAAGGGGTCTAGATTTCTGTGAACAGACCCTTACTAGTATTGACATATATAATAATTATGAGTCAGAAAATTTAATTACAATAATTGATAACTATTAAACATTATACTGTCTATTAGTAAATATTATATACAGTCATAATATTAACTAACTATACAGATAAAACTGTTAATATCTCTAAAACCTTTTAACCAATTTTTATGTTATTTGTTTTTACTTAAAACAAATAACATAAAAATTTGTTAAAAGGTTTTAGAGATATTAACAGTTTTATCTGTATAGTTAGCTAATATTATGACTGTATATACCAATGATGCGAATTAAGTGTTATCATAATAACTTTGTGATACATACATTATATAATATAATTAACTTAACAATTATGATTTTTTAAATTTATATTAAGTATAGTAAAGTATAGTGAGTATAATAAACTCATATATATTCATGTAATATGTACTAGTTTATTTGTATAATCTAATTTTATAAATTTTAATATATTAACACTTTATCATCACTGATATATACAGTATAAAAAAATAAATAGCAATAAGAAAAATTACAAAATATGAATTTAATTGATTAAATTTTTCTGTTATTATTATTTTAAACAGGAATTAATGGGTATTTAATGTATAAGTCTCGGATCAATCGCGATCCATACCATCGACACTATCAGCCTTACGAGTACATCAGTGGCGACTATTATCCCGAGTATACAACTGGTAGCGGATATCTGATGAAGGACTGCACTGATAGACTGGAACACCAGTTAGACATATATACTGGTCCTATACTGGATCACGAAGATATTTTTATTACAGGTATATTAGCCCAAACAGCTGGCATCGGGCGCTTTCACAGCCCACTGATCTATTGGACCAACCAATGTTCAGATGTCTGTGTCTACTATGGCTATCCCATTGTCTTTGAGTGTACCGATAATCAGATTACTGACTGGTGGTCTCATATCCAGACAAAATCACTGAATAATTGTCACGAATTTGTATTAACTTTTAGTCTCACTAATTATTTAAATTTTATTAAAGTAATTATCATAATTTTAGTTATAATTATAATAATTATTATTATTATATTATATTTTATATCAAATAAAATATTATGGTATAAAATTTTAAAATAATTATTAATTAATTCAATAAAAAATTATAATACTCTAGATAAAAGTTTTATTTTATTTTTATTATTATGATTATTATCATATACTGTATATATAAATAATATTCTAATAAAATAATTCAATTTTTAAATGCAATTTACAAAATAAAATATTTATAATTTTAGTAATTATAATTATGTTATCATTCATGTCTAGAAAAACTAATTTATTTCAGTAAAATGTGAAAAAATAATATAATAAAAAAAATTATTTACAAATTATTCAATATATAAATGTTTATTAATATTATAATATTAGTACTATAGTCTAATAAGATCTTAATTTAATTACTAATAACTAATAAAATTTAATTAAAATAAATTGATTTAATTATTTTTGAACTAAATTTTTACAAAAACAATATTTCTGTAGTCGATGGCTATCAATACAATCGGATTGATTGACATATTTRTTAATTCGCGACACTTCGCCATTCAGTGACATTTGTTTGCTATTTTGATTCAAACTGATGGTCGCCTCCAGTAATGCCTGACTTGGATTGACTACAATTGTCAAACTAAACTGTCTGATAGCTAGTGTCTCAATGTTTGCACCGATACTGACTTTGTCGTCAAAATGTTGTTCATATGCAGAGACTGTTGTGTTTAACCAAAGTTCTGCACATTTGTTGCCATAGTTTTCATCGACTAATAACTTGTTAATACTGTTGACTATAAATTCAGCCATTGGTTTGACTAAAGACAAATTTCCCGCAATTGGTTGACTGGTCTGACACGAACACCAGTGCCGATCAATTGGTATCGACTGACAAGATCTCAGCTCAGGTATCTCCTCCAGCAATGATCGGCCATATCTCAGATCAGTGTCTGGTCGGCCTAACACTATATGCCTGAGTGTTGCGTGAATATCAAACGGTGTAGTCAACCGGTTCTGATTGATAGTCACATTACTATTGTTGCTCCGATATCTATCGGGCAAATACAGGTTCATGAATGGCATCCTTTCTTCAAACTTTCCCGACAGTGTGGCCCTAATCGGACCAAATCGGATGCCGTGATCTGAGAAAAATATCACAACTGTATCATTCATGAGCTGCCTGTTGTCGGCAAACAGTTTGTTAAACAATGCAGATATCAAGGGGTCAACTAAACCGGCATTATTGACCTCTTCGTGCGTTAGGCGAGCCATAAATGTAAAGGCAATGTATTTCTGTTGTCTCTCAGTCATAGCCGAAACAAAATCGTAGACATAGTCAAAGTAGACTTCCGTTTCAGGCTTATCCAGATAACAGTAGTATTTGATATCTTCCTCTATTGCACTGCTAAACGGTCTCAGATAATAATCGGTAGGCTGTTTGGAAAAGCCTATCTTAAACATATTGAAAGCAGCCATATCTGGCGCGTCCTCCATAAGCATCGTACGGAAACCCTTATTTTTGAAGTCCTTATATATGAATATTAATATATAGAAAAATAATTACAGAGAAAAAAATTAATAATAAAATTTTTACCAAAAAATAAATGTTTACATACTTTCCAAATAAATGGAAAATAGTTTAGATAAACCCAGTTAGCAATTGAGTCGTCCCATAGATCGGCTAAATAATAACCGGTCAACAGGGCTACCAAATTGGGAAACGTATTGTCAGCTACTTTATTATAACCATACAATGTATGAAAATTATATTTATCTAACAATTCGGTGGTCAACGGGAAATGTCTATCAAAGTTGACCCGTGATATGGAGTCAATGCCCACAAACAATATGTTTGGCAGTGTGTCTATATCTGGTTGTCCATTAGCATCACTGACTGGTCTATTATGCAATACCTCTTTTACCAGTGTCGGAGGCTTTCGGATCAATTGATCAAAAAAAGATTTTAAACCTAAATTACAGATTATTTATTTATCTTTTTTTCTCAAACATTCAAAATAAATATATAAAATATTTGTCTAAATACTTGTTTTCTGGGGTTTCGGTATCTTAGCCGGTATTAGTGACACAATTTTTTTGAACTTTTTATCTGTTAAATTATAATAAAAACAAAAATTAATTAATTTATTTATATAATTGATAATAATTTTATATCATATTAATACTTTGCTTTTAAATGTTTTGTTGATTTTTAAAAAAATTATTATCTCACTAAACTGCATGAAAGTATAAAAAGTAAGTAAAAAAAAGATATTATGAAAATATATGTTTTACATTTTCATATACAGGTATATAATTTATATATAAACATTATTTTTTAAAACTATATATTATATATACTATTTTGGTCATTACACACGTGTTGTACGAGTAAATACGTTGCACGTGATTCGCACGTCTGTTGTTTGGTTGAAATAAGTAATTTGATTGACTTGAACGGCAATGTCTGGTGACATATAGTCGACAAACGTGTCGTCATAAGTGCGCCGTTTTAATGAATTGGCCCAACATTTGACTGTCGCACCCGACGGCTCCAACACAGACGGAATAAACTGGACTAAAACGCCGGTATAGTTGACCCGTTCGATGGACAGCCATTCTTGAATATCGTGTCGACAATTGAGACCAAAACCGGTATAATTTTGATACAATGGCCAAACCTGTGCATCAAATGTCGGCCACCGGACTATTTGGCACCGGGAGGTGTTCACCAAATATGGTTGACTATGTTTCTCTTGTATGGCTTTTATATGAATCCAATCTATTAATTAATTAAAGAAAAATTATTATTTTATTATTATTATATTAATTATTTATGAAAATTAATAATTTAAATAAACTAATTACTGTATGTAATGTTATTTAATGGCTTAACAATAGCCTTATTTTTGTTTGACGCATAAAACTTGGGTGTTATGTGAACATAGATTACAATTAAAATATTAAATGTTGTCAAAAATATTAATATCGGTACTAAATATCGCAATTTTAGACATTTAATTTTCATTATTATTATTATTACTATTTTATTAATAATATTCACATTAACTTTTATTTCAATTATGTTAAAATAGTAATTTTTAAATGTATAGTAAGCTAACAAATCAACAAAAATAAATAATTTTTAAATATAGTTTAAATGTAAAAAAAATATTAATAAAAAATTTTTATTTCTTCAAAATTCTTAAATAACAAAACATATAATGAGTAAAATATGAATTAACATTATTATTATACAATATAAATTAATAACAGTATATCTTTATATAAATTGGGAGTATTATAATAATAAAAATTGATTTTTTTAGAATTATCTATAATTTGTTAATATTTGCTTAAACTTTCTCTCTCTCTCTCCCCCTCTCTCTCTCTCTCTGTTATCCTAGCAATTATCTCAAACTATAATTTTATTAATATAAACTAACAATTATTGTTACAATAATAGTTAATTTAGTATACAAAAGTAAAAAAATAATCACTATTTATTTTGTTTTTTATTTGTCTTAAAATATTTTTTTTAAATGGTAACCAAATGCATAGCATTTTCTGTTAATTTATAATTAAATTAGTTTATTAGTATACATACATTATATAATATATATTAATATGTATATAAATATTTATTTAATTATACAAAATATAAAATTAATACAAACTATTTATAATGTTTAAATAATTTTGTTTTATAAATAATAAAAATGGTAGTCACTATATAGTCACTATATACTGTACTATAATATATATATAGTATATATATWAACTTATAAACATTTATTGAGTAAACTAATACAAAATTAACTGTTTTGTATTATTACTTTGAGTCAMCAATTTATGTTTGCMGTGAAGTCAATGATATTTATTAATTATAATAATGTGGAAACCGGGAGATTGAATAAAGTAAATGTTAWTTTATCACTAAATATTATTATTTTTTAAAAATTAATATTTAGTAATATACTCATATTYATAGAAAAACATTTATATATATATAATATTATATATATTATCATCGGAACTAATAAATTTAAATAGACATTTGATTATCTSTATGTTATAATAAAACTTTGATAATAAAAATTATATTTTTACACTATTTTTTGGACACATTAAATGTATACATTTAAAATATTTAACTTTTAATTAATATATTTTGTCAAAATAATATTTAGATTTGCAGATATAATAGTTATTATTATTATTATTTGACAAATAATAAATAAAATAAAACATTAATTTTTTTAATAATTTTTAATTTATTGAGCATCTAATAGTATATATTGATATATTTAAATCTTATCGGTGTCCATGAAAAAAGAGCCAGGTCAAAATTGCCAATAATGTGAATCAATTTACAACGTTGTCTTAATGTTAACACTCATGTATTTCCAAAAGTTAGGGCAACTATTCGCACATGTGTTCAAACCATTACCACCAATCAGATGGTTCAGTAAATCTAAATTATTAATTATTATTAATATAATAAATATAGAAAAAAATAAATATTATATAAGTTTTACCTCCAAATGCTTGTAATGGAAAAAGTATTGGATTTAATGGGTTGAGTATATGAGCTCCACTTAAACACACAAACAATGAGATTAACAAAATATATTTAAACATAGTTTTTGATTTTAAAAAATTTTAGTTTTTTCTACTATAAGATAAACTAATTTAACAATATATTTTTGTTATAGTTTATGATTATATTTTTCTGTTTATATATACTTAATTTGTATGTTTAAATTTGATTATATTTTATGAATAATTGAGTTCTAGAAACCAACAAACATATAGCAATAATATCGCATCAATTTTATTACAATATTTTGATTAATGACAAATTATAGTTTGTTTTATTATTATTATTTAATAACCTTGCAGTTGATGTCACAAGTTTTATAAGTTTTAATTATATTCAAAATGAGTTATTAATATTTTTTAAAAATTATAAAATCATACTATTTATGTAATTTATTATTTAATAATAGTATAAGTAAATAATTTTTGTATATTTAATAGATTACATTTTGATCGTAATATAAGTTTTAATTTTTTAAAATTTAATCTATATTTTTCAAATATCAATAGCAAAAAAATCCATATTGATTATAAAAATACTTTATTTAAAAGTTATTAATGATTAATAATAATTTTAATGTAGTTTATTGTAAAACATTATAAATTTTAATTTTTATATTAAAATTATCAAAACATTTAAAAAATAATATTGTATTTAAATTTATTAATGAATAACTTATTTATGTACATTATAATAATCCATAACTTATATAAACTTTATATTAACTAATTTTAATTAAATTTCTAAACAAATAAATATTATTTTTAGAAGCAATATTGCGATACAGTAGTAAATAATAAAAATGAAAATATGTGAATAAAAATAGTAATTTTTTTATTAGTTTATTTTACAATTATTATTGTTACATATAATTTTAGTTTATTAAAATATATTTTATTGTATAACATATACAGTTATATCATATTAATATAGATTATACTTTAGTTGATGACTTTATGTCTATTAAAGTGCAATTTGTTAGTCGCAGCCACTCTGACCGGAACCGATACATTGGCCGTACTGTTAGTATCGATAATCGGAATGCCGCCGGTGCTTGAATTGGTGGTTGAGTTATGTCCGAAGTGACCACCCGTGCAATTATGATGACCAAAGTGTCCGAAAAACGGCAATCGACTCCATAGTTGTTGGAATATACGGTCGAAAAATTGTTGCGCTTCGTGAAACATATTAAAAAATCTGTCCTCAAATGTCTGGCCACTGACCAAACCGACGGCCAACAGTAGAAACGATATCTTAATAATAGAGTTCATTTCGATTGTTTATTAATAATATTTTTTCAATTTTCTAAATGTTTAAAACTAAAATTATTTATTTAAAATCGATACATGTATTTAAAGATATATTTTGAATTTATTGACAATTGAAAAACACTTGTATTTGAAACTATTTGCGTCAATTGTCTGACTGAATCAAATGTGTGCAATAATTTTTTTTTTTAAATTGCAATTATTGTTATCTATTAATATGTTTTTATTTTAAAATTAATTGATGATTTACAAGATTAATTAATTACTTTATTTATGGCTTATTTAAACAATAACTATCAGTAAATAATATTTTTTTTAAATAATTTAAAAATATAAGATAATTATTTACAATAAAATTATTTTGAAAGTTCTAGTATCTCGACATTACTGTTATAACATTTTCTATATGTTTAATTGATAAGTATATTTAATATTATCAATTATGATTTAAACTGTAATATTAAAAAATTCATAGTTAATTTAATTTAGCATTTAATTAAATAAAAGATTAATACAATTAAAATTATTATTAAATTCAAAATATATAAAAGATTAGTTTTTTTAGTTATTTTACAATATTTTTATTATAATAAAAACATATTTGAAATTATTAATTAGTTTATACTATAATAATCATTTGCACTATAATTGATATTATAAATTATTATTTTACTAAAAAATATTACAAAATCCAACGGTAAATTTATAATATATTGTTATTATTAATGTGTATGTATTGCATTTGATATGATTATAATATAGCATTGAAATAATAGTAAGTATTTAAAGTTGTAACATATTTTATGTATTAATTAATTATTAACTAACACTTGTATTATATTATAGCAAAATTTTTTAGAGAGTTTTAGAAAATTTATTTAAGTTACAATTTTTGTTTAGTTGATAACTAAGTTATCATTTAATAAATATTATATTATAAAAATATAATAATGCATAACAAAATAATTATATGTGCATTTTTATTATGTATAACAATTATTTCAGGTAAAAAATATATCAAATTTTTATTTACATTATTATTATTAATATTTTATTAGTACAGTAATAATTGTTTTAATATATACTAAATTAGCTGCTCTTGATTATTTACTTTTTTAAATGTATAATAATTGAAAAATGTTTAATAATTTAAAATAATATTTTTAGCAAATTGTGGTAGTTGTCCATTTGGTTTTGATCAAGTTGACTTAAATGATCTTGGTAAATTGGGTGATAGTAATCATGAACAAGCAGGGTCATTATTAGAAGCTATCAAACAGGTGGTCAATGAAAAAAATGTCAATAATATTAATGAGGATAATGTTAATATTAATCATGATAATGATGTACATATTGATTAATAAAATTCAAATTATTTAATTAATAATAATAATAATAATAACATATATTAAAATTTTATTGTTAATAAATATATTTTATTTCATAATTTTATAAAAAAAAATATTAATAAACAATTAACAAAATTGTTAGTTCAGTAAACATGACTAAATATAATTTTATAAATAATTTATTATTAGTAATTAATAAAAAAAATTTATTTTTATTTTTTTATTAAACTATACTGGTGCTGTAAAAAACAAACTTATAATTGTGACGGGCATATATGGTTGTTTACCCGTCAATAGCCCGTAAAGTAGAACTTTACGAAGCAATATGCAATGCGGGTATGTTTGATAGGGAACTGTGACGTAATAACTGTACGGGATGCTATTAGAAGACTATTTAAGAGTAACGGTATATTTGTATGGCTTATATATTACGTCACAGTATATATGAATGGCCCATTCGGGGCTCTGATCACTGGTAAAATATATCGGTATTAAGTAAATAAAGCCTTGTATCGGAACTCGGAAGGACTATCCGCAAAATGACGGAATGTGTGTGCCCAACTCTGTTACACCTAAGGCTTGCACTTACTATTCAAATAATTAGTACAACTGTTTATGAGCTGAATATATAGCTATTGCTAGCCTGAGCTTCTCATTTATTGATAATATATAATGAGATAGTTAATGATTTACATGTATTGCTTATTACAGTATATTAAACATAATAATAATTAATTTAACTTATTCACATAATTAATAATAAAGCATAAATCATTTTAAACAACAAAACATAATATTAAGAAATAATAAGTAAATACAAAATTGATAATATTATGAAATATAATTAAATAACTGTTTTGTTAAAATATATTTTAACTTATAATAGAGAGATACATAAATATATACAGTTTAGTATAGTTATACATTACAAAGTAACTTTGTATATTGATTGGTGACACTGGAACCGCTTAAGTGATGTATAGACCATCACATAATAATTAATAAATATTTTTTAACTATATTATAAAAATTGATATTTTGACAAATAATAGTATAAAATTGATATTTAAATAAATAATGCAAAATATTTTTAATTTAAGTAATCTTTGGGGCAAAAAAACTAATGAAAATAACAATAAACTTATACAAAATATTTGACACAAAATAATACTAAAAATTACTATAAACTGATAACATAAGYGATTGTTACATTACAAAGCAGTTTAAGGTTATTAAATAAATGAATATATAATTTAATCAATCATTAAATATAAATTTCAATTTAATAAAATTGCAAAATACTTATCCTTATAAATAAATATCATTAATAATTACACAATTACAGACGTAATCATTTGTATAATTAATGTTTTTAATATTAAAAAAAATATTTTACACAAAAAATAGATAGCATTTTTTATATTGAATAAATGTTAGCAAATTTTAGACAACAATTATTTTTAAAATCAAAAAATAAATAAATTGCTGCCAAACATTACTAAATTGTATAGTTAAATACTAAATATACTTTTATATAAAATGATTATCAAAATAAATAAAATAACTTATTTTTGAAATCGAGATTAATAAAATAATTTTATTTTTAATTATGAATTTATTATAGAAATACATTTTTATTGAATAAAGGCATCCATATGAGCACAGAGAGGTATAATATAAATAAAGTCTAAATATAGTAATATTGATAAAATTATATATATATTAAAACTTTTTAAAATTAATTAGTTTATAATATAAAACTATTTTATTGCAATTTTAAAAAATACTAAATATTTCATAAGTAAAAATTGATACATCATTAAAAAATTTAAAACTTTGTAAACTATTTGTTGTAGAATGTTATGATATACTACTATATAGTTAATATAAATATAACTACAGGTAAATATTTATAAAAAATATATACAGGTATTAATTAGTTGTATTAAAAAATATTGTTTATATGTAAAATAAAAGTTTAATTTATGTATATCAATCAAGTATTATTAAATTAATACTATTATTATATTATTTTTATAAAAATAAAATTATTTTAAACAAAATATTATAGCATTTCATAGAGAGAGAGAGAGAGAGAGAGAGAGAGAGAGAGAGAGAGTCTTAAACAGCGGCGGCGGCGATGATAGCGGAGATGCTATTAATTTAAATTATATGGTCAACAATACGTTTGATTTAAAAGTGATCAAGGGCAAAGTTATAGATAATTTTAAACTAAATAAGATTGTAATTGGTCATTATTTTTAATTAATTGTATGATTGGCCAGATAATTGCAGTTGATTATATAATTTTAAAAACTTTTTTAACAGTCGAGTGTATATTATCTGGCCAAACATACAATTAATTTTTTAAAAATGACCAATTACAATCTTATTTAGTTTAAAATTATCTACAACTTTGCCCTTGGTCACTTTTAAATCAAACGTATTGTTGACCAGATAATTGAAATTAATAGTATCGTTGCTATCATATTGCCGTTGCTTTTGACTCTCTCTCTCTCTCTCTCTCTCTCTCTCTCTCTCTCTCTCTCTCTCTCTCTCTCTCTCTGTATTTCATATTTACTGTATAATGAAATATAAGTAAATTATTTAATTTATTAAACATATTTAGTTAGAAAATTAACAATCATTCCGTCAATTTAAATATCAATAGCTTGTCAGCTGTAGAATAATATACTACAATAATATTTAATATAATATATTGTGCTTACAAAGTAATATTTCAAATATCAGTTTAATACACAAACAAAAATTGTTAGAATTAATATCAATTTTTTTTATTTTTTTATTTTTAAAAAATCTAAAATATATTATAGAAATATTATTTTTGTTGTTTTCTAAGTTAGATATCATTGAAAATAATATTAATTTCAATAGAAAACAAATAAATGATGTCATTTAACAATAAAAATAGTAATTTGTCGTGTATTGAACAATATCAACATTTATATCAACTGTCTATTGAAAAGCCTGAAATATTTTGGACAAAAATGGCCAAAGAGTTGCAATTAGAGTTTAAGGGAGAGTACAACAAGTTTCTAGAATATAATTTTCATACCGATAAGGATGAGCCCATACATACCAAATGGATGTCCGGTTTGCAGACCAATATGTGCTACAATGTGTTGGACAGGATTATCGATAGCGGAAAAGGCAATGAGTTTGCATATTATTGGTTGGCCAACGACTCGGTGGACATCGACCGCAGTCTGACATACAATGAGCTGAAAAGCCAAGTCTGCAAGTTTGCCAACGCTTTGAAGAGTGTCGGTGTAAATACCGGCGATCGGGTGGCCATATATATGACTATGACTTTAGAGGTAGTGGTGGCAATGCTTGCCTGTGCTCGCATTGGTGTTATTCATACAGTTGTGGTATGTTTTCATTTTGAATATGAATATACTTTTATGATTGTTATATACTGTCTGTTAGTTTGTTATATACAGTAATAAAGTAATAAACTTTATTTTTTATATAGTTTGCAGGATTTAGTGCCGAAGCACTGGCCGATCGTATGCGAGACAGTAGGTGTGTGCTTTTGATAACATGCGACGGCGCCTATAGGGCCAACAAGTTTGTGCCATTGAAACAGATAGCCGACAATGCGATAGATATTTGCAGAGATAATGATCACTCGATTATGCATTGCATTGTCTATCAACATCTTAACCTACCGGTGCTTAACAAACATTCTACTATTGATGACAATAAGAAATCAAGTCTATCAGCAATTAAGTGGAACACTGAGGTTGATCTGTGGTGGCATCAATTGATGGCCGATCAGTGCGATCGTTGTGACCCGATTTGGTTGGATGTCGAACATCCTCTCTTCATATTGTATACCAGTGGTAGTACCGGTAAACCAAAAGGTATTATACATACAGTAGGCGGTTATATGCTATACTCGGCCACAACTTTTAAATATGTATTTGATTATCGCGCGRGAGAAGTATTTTTCTCTACGGCCGACATGGGATGGCTTACAGCTCATACGTGTAGTTTATATGGACCGCTACTAAATGGCGCAACCATTGTGCTTATGGAAGGAACACCGTTTTCCCCCAAACCTGACCGTCTCTGGAAAATAGTGGATAAACTTGGGGTCAACATCTTCTATACGGCTCCGACAGTCATCCGATCATTAATGACTTTTGGAGACCATTTTGTTACAGACTATAGCCGTAAATCATTACGTTTATTAGCTTCTGCCGGTGAAACTTTGAATCCTCAAACTTGGTATTGGTATCGGGATGTTGTAGGTAGTGGCCGGTGTGCAGTATTGGACACTTATTGGCAAACAGAAACGGGTGCTCCTATTATAGCCCCGTTGCCCGGTTGTATGGCGCTAAAACCAGGCTCAGTAGGTCTTCCGTTTTTTGGTATCGTTCCGGTCATACTCGATAACAATGGCAATGAATTATCGGACGGACCGGCCAATGGTGTGTTAGCTCTAAAAAAGCCGTGGCCAGCAATTGCCAGAACTATTACGGATAATCATCGCCGATATATTGATTCATATTTTACTCAATCTTCGGGTTTTTATTTTACTGGTGACGGAGTTTATCGGGACAGTGATGGCTATTATTATATTACCGGACGAATGGATGATACGCTCAACATATCAGGACATTTGTTGTCTACTGTTGAGATAGAGTCGGCAGTCAGCGGTCATCAGGCAGTGGCCGAAGCGGCCGGCATATCTGCTAATCATCCAATCAAAGGTCAGTGTATTATAATTTTTGTAGTCATAAAATCGGGAGTGGAATATGACTGTGCACTGGACCAGCAAATCAAGGACAGGGTTGCCGTTAAAATTGGACGATTAGCAGTACCTGACTTTATATTTGAGGTACGGGCTCTACCGAAAACTCGTTCGGGAAAATTAATGCGTCGGGTTTTGACCAAAATTTTGACTAACGATAAAGATTTCGGCGATATATCGACAATAGAAGATCCGTCTATTATTGAAGATCTATTGAATAAATGTAATAATAATTATAATAATTATGTCAAGTGATTAAATATATATATATATATATAAATTTTTGAATATTTTTTTGAAATATTATTATATATTTTTCTATAATTTACAATATATAATTTATTTATTTGTTTTTTTCTGAAAAATATATRAAAATATTAAATTATTTGCTTAAATGTAATTTGCTAATTATRTATTATAAATTAATGTTAACAGTATTAATAATAGTTTTATATAAAATTATTATTTATCTAGAAAATATCAAAAGCAAAACATTTTATTTTTAAATAAAAATTATAAATATTAATTAAWTAAAAACATATATCTTTTATAATTAAAAGTTATCAAATTAATTTATAATTTAGCCTGTAAGTATTGTATTAGATAAACAATTTTTTTTATAAATAATCAGTTAATTACACAATAAAATAGCTTAAATAGTCTAATGTAAATTTCAATTTATTTGTGATAAGTTCCCTTATATTTGTAAAAATTTATAATTAACAATATGCAATATTAAAATTATTTTTCTAAATATGCCAATTCATAACATTATAGTACAGTATTATAAGTATTTTATTAATCTAATAAAATGTTTGTCATTTTTAGTTACAATACTTTATTATTATTATTATTATTATTATGAATTTTTGTAATACTTTATTTACTACTGTATACATTGTAAACTACTGTAAATTATATTAAGATTATAAATTTAAACAATAATTTAAAATAATTTTTGAATAATAACAGTAATTTTATTTAATGAAAATTACTAATAAAAATATGTTACGTTTAATTTCTGTTGTGTTAACTATAGTTATTTTTACAATAATTTGTTTGACTTATTGTCATTCAAGTCATCAAACATTACCAAACATTGTACTGATTAGTGCCGACAATAACGGTTGGACTGACATTGGCTATCACTCGGATTACATGAGGACACCAAATATTGACATATTGGCCGCCGACGGCATTGTTTTAGATAATTACTATACTTATCCATTGAGAACCGGTAGTAGGGCTGCACTGTTCAGTGGTGTTCATCCGATTCATAACTGTGCTCACAATACTGAAACTTGCGGTAATAGTCATTGGGGTTTTCCGATTGAATTGAATTTAATGTCTCAGTATCTTAAAAAGTATAGCTATGCCACACATGGTGTTGGTTAGTATAGTAGTGTGTCTTTATATTATAAGACAATTAAATAGTATTTTTTTTATTGAAATGACAGGTGAATGGCATTTGGGATTATCTAAAGAGAAATATTTGCCACAAAATAGAGGGTTTGACTCATATTTGTTTTCATCATCTGATTCTGGTTATACTAGTAGTCGTCTAAATTGTTTGAAAAGTCAATTGAAAGACAATCATAACGATTATGACGAGTCAGATATATGTCAACAACTGGACTCATCACATAACCATATGTTAACTGATGTCTATTATCCACTAAAGCATTATAACAACCGGTTTATGACTATTATTGACAGTCACAACAAATCTCATCCACTATTTCTTTATGTGGACTATGAATCCAATACTAAACTACAGGTTCCACAACAATATATAGATATGTTTTCACACATCAAATGTGAAAATAGGAGAAATTTTACGGCAATGGTTTACGGGATTGACGAGTCTATCGGTGTAATTGTTGACCGATTGTATAGAAAAGGATTGTTAGATAACACTATTATTATGTTTATCGGTGGCAATGGACAGCAATACTGTGAGCAAAAATGTGTTAATATTGTGTATCAATTAAGTAATTAATGTATTTATCAAAAAATTTTAACTCAAAACTAGATATTAATGATCATAATTTGTCATTAAGTGGTGTAAAATATAGCTTACAAGAGAAAGGTTTGTATTAAATAATAATAATAAATGTAAAGTTTTTTAAGTTATTAAAAATTTCAAAATTATTATTCAAGACTTAAAAGTTTCGTCATTCATATGGAGTCCACTATTGAAAACTAGTCGATATATATCTCAATCACTGTTTCACGTGACAGACATTTTGCCGACATTTTTGGAGGCCATTGGAAAAGACATCGACACAAATGCGCTTAATATGTATGGAATATCACAGTGGAAGGCATTATCATATAATGAAGAGTCCATGCGATCTGAGCTTCTCCATATAATTGATCCATTGGCCAACATGTCGGCTATTATACGACACAATTGGAAATTAGTGCAAAATATGGGAAAATCTCAACGGGACAGTGAGTTTGCATCATGTGATCACCAGTCTATACAATATACCGAAGCGGAGGTTAAACTACATAAAGCCCTACAAAAACTGGACCGATTTGATTGTGCCGCCTATCGGGTGCTTAATCATATGCACCGACAGGCAAACTATGAACTTTGGGAAAAATCTGTAATCAATTGTAATGATGATGACCTGATGCCGACACAACAGACCTGTCGACAACAGGACAGGGAATTGTGTTTATTTAATCTAAAAGACGATCCGTGCGAATGTCATAACAAAGCACACGACAAACCAGAAGTGGTAGATATGTTATGGAAGAAAATCATTGAATTAAATCAAACTAATGTTCCTTCAGATTGGGAAACATTGACAGCAGATAATTGTGTCACTCATCACAACATTTATAATAAAGATATCAATTAAAACTGTGTTATACTTTAATTTAAATCTATATATAAAAATTTTTAAATGTTAATTATCTTCAAATATTATATAYAAAAATTGTAATTAAAAAAGATTATTAATAATTATCGTATTTTAAATGAAAAAAATATATTTCATATTTTAGATATTTTTCATGAAATTTATGCACATTTTTTTGTACAAATTACTGTAACAGTTTTTAAATGATTTTATTAACAATATTAAAATACACATTTAATTTTTTTTGTTTTGTTTTAATGCATAAAACAAGTTTTAACAATTTAAACAATCATTTATTTTCTATTGACAGTCAACGGTGCAAACACACCACCAATGACTGGTCGGTTAATAAAATGTATCGGTTGGCCTGAATTGCTGTCAATCCTATCAGAGAAAGGTACCCGACCTGTGGTTTCTCTAAGCCATTGGGCAGTCCTATCGAACATCAATTGACGGAGCCGTGAGTCAGAACTGGAGGCTGCGGTAAACATAACCCAATCTAACTTTGTCTGGGCGTCGACATTGGACAGGGGTACACCATATTTGTTGGGTACCGATAAGTACCACTCATCTTGTTGTTTGTAAACCTATTAAGAATAATATTATTTAAAAAAATATAAAATCATTAGTTTATTTATATATATATATATATRTCTAACCCATTCGGGCACCAGTTTAGTGTCCAACAAGATATCGGCGTACATATTGTAAACCATAAACCATGTGTTGGCCGTATTGTAACTAAATTTCAAATGTTTTTTAGACGGATCTTCAGCATAATCTATCCATTTAGTGACATAGTTTTCGGCAATTTGTCGGTAGTATTTTTGATCCGCTTGATTGCCTACTTTTTCAGACAACTGTGCCATTGCTCCGATACCTGCAATAGCTTTGATCGACAAGTTTGTCGAGTTTTTAATTCTTTGCAAGAAATCATCAGTGGTTAAGGCATCGCCTAAATTATATAGATATAAAGTTATGTTATATATAACGATAATTTATTAATATGCTGTAATACAATATGACTAACCAGTTATCAATCCGTGGTCAACAAGATATTGAGTCCATTGTTTGGCTATTTTGTAGTGTTTTGTAGCCCAATCCTTATCATCAGTTGCTCTAACATAGGCCGACATCATAATCAACATATTAGCACTTTCCTCGACTTCCATATCTTCTTGTTTACCATCTCTGTGTCCAATACAACGCGGATAACTTGATCCCAAATCGTGAATACAATATTTGTATGGAAAATAACCTTTTTCTTGATTGTCTATAAGTGGATCCAAAAGATATTTAAGTAGAAGTGGGTTTAGGTATAACTGGACGGGAAAGTGGGGGTAAATAACATCCACTGTCTGACAGTTGCCGTCCGATGAAATCTCTTTAAGCATAAGCCATGGTTTTTCAGGTGTACCCACCAGTTCAGTGCCACCAAATGCCTATAAATAAAATAAAATAATTATTATTTTAAATTTAAGTAATCATACTAAATATGATTATTATCATTTAAATTTAAGTAATCACATGACTATTAATATTTTGTCTGTTTGTTTGTTTGTTTGTTTGTTTGTTTGTTTGTTTGTTTGTTTGTTTGTATGATACAATTAAATTATCATTGAATAATTCAGATACTCAGGTAGGTTTTAGGGACAGGTAGGCTGGTGTCGTGTAATTACACTTTGTATATTATAAAGTTTTATTAATTGTAAATTTTCAATTTGTGTTACTTACAATTAGTATTATTTTAATTTAAAGCAATGTTATTTCTATGGGAAATTTTAATCAGGTAGGTTTTAGGGACAGGTAAATTACACTTTGCTATATTATATGAGTTACAGGTATACCTGTGCTAAATTTTTGAAATGCAAAAATAATTTGTGTTAAAATTAATTTTTATTTAAAGTAATGTTATTATATATATTGTGTGAGTTTATGGCACATGTTAGCTACATGTGTTTTTCAGTAATTAAATGCAACAAAAATTAAATATATTTTTAAATATATATAAAAACATTTCTCAAAAGTTTAAATTAATTTAGTAGTTTTGTTAATATATATAAACAAATTAAGTCTCATTCAAATTACTTATAGTAAATATTTTTAAATTAGTAAAAGAATTGCACGGCTATACATGTTGCTCGGGACAAACTAGTTAGTATTATGATAATAATAATGTATCTGAATTAACTATATTTAAGTATAACATGCTTATAGATTATATAGCGTTTTTGTAATTAAACACAAAAAAATATATTTTTATAATCTATACAATATATATTATGATGAGTATGTGTATTAAAATGAAAAGTAATAGAGACCTGTCTTAGTGCTGCTGAGACCACTTTGACATAACTATCGCCACCAACTTTGTGAGCATCGGCCACAATACGACTGTCCAAATCGACAGCTCTTTTGAGTGCTGCCTGACTCTCACCCAACACAAAATCAATCATTTTGTTGTCGTCACCACTGAAATAACTTTCCCAAAGTTGGTTTAACTGAGAATCAGTATAGTTGATGGCCGGACGTCTAACATGTGCGACACCATAAAAGACAGTCTCTGATCTCTGTTCACTGGCAATCATATTGCGAGCAAATGCCACTCCGGGCCAGTTGTCATTTATGCGCCGATAGTTTTTATCAACTATATCGTCAAGTATACCGTCTTTTACAAATTTTGAGCGCAACGATACAGAGTCACCCGCCTTAATATTTTAATTTTTAATTTCAAATATACATTAATAATAAAAATATTGATTTATTATATGAAGTTATTAATCTAATTATTGTATAAACTATATGCTTGATATAAATTAGTTGTAAAATAACTATAAACAAAAATTTTATTTTAAATCTTCTTAAAATTATAATTTAAAATTCAAGTTTTAATAAAGATAACTAATATTAAATTGTAATTAATAAATAATATCATACCTTATATGTAATTAATGAATCGGTAAAAAACTTGATTGTTCCCCATTTAGCCATATCTATGAATATGAATAATATATAATTTATTAATTTTCAAAAATAATTAGTTAAAATCAAACCATTAAATTCATCAAACGTTTTCTGGTTTTTCAAATGAAGATTTGCATTGAGTATAACATTGTTTACTTTAAAGACATCCCATTCGACCACTTCATTGACATCACTTGATGTCCATTCGCCGGACAAATCAATATAGAGCTGTACGTCATGTTTGGATTTATCTGTTGACCGGACAGTGGCCGCTATATATGAAGCCGGAAGTGACAGCCGTTTCAAATCTGTCGGATCTATTGGTGTAAAAAAGTTAACTTCCAGTACAATGGGACCGGCATTGAAGGTAAATATCGACTGAGTCGGTGTCACTTTCAGTCCAACTTGTTTTGCCTGAAGATTTGTGCCAATATTGTCTTGGGTTGGATGACCCATAAACTCATAGGTTTTGCCGTCTACTCGAACCAGACCTGCCATTCCTCTGACAGGTCCTCTCCAGAATGTAGGCCACGTACCGTACAGCTCTCGAGCGGACATCCATGTGGACAGGTATGGACTTTTGACAACAAGCGGTACAGCCGGCAAAATATCTATTTTTATAAAAACATTTATTATTTTAAAAAAGCTTAATTAATTTAGTAAAACAAAATTATACCATTATCTTGATATGATAGACTAATGAATAATGAAATTAATATAATTAATAATTTCATAATTATTATAAATATTTTACAAAATTATTAAATAAATAAATACTAATATATTAATAATTTGCTAAATTTTTTTGAAAAATTTAACTTTTATACCTAAATGCATAAACATTTTTGAGATTAATCAGGATTTTATCAATTATGTTTCAAGTATTTTATTAATTAACAATTGTATCTAGTTAATAATTTTTTCTTATCTCTTCTAACTAAATTTTTCAGTCAAACAGATTTTTTTCCTACTTGATAATACAATTAATAATTTTGCACTTTACTATTTATTGATATAAGTTTTAAAAATACATTTAAATATCATTGTATTTTGTTAAATATAAAAGATATAAATAAATGGAAAAAATTATTTTATTGGACTAAACATATAGTCATTTATCTATACTTTAAAGTAAAATAATACAAAATAATATACCTTAGATAATACTAGAGTWGAGCAAATAGTATGTTTCTAGAAAATTTCTCAAGAATAAATTTCTATAAAAATTTAACTTTATTCTTATATTATGGGATTCCCATAATCTATAGCTATTTTAATACGCTATTAATAAGACATAATAGACATATAATATTATACTATTAAATATATACTACACTAAAATGGGATATCTATATATAAAATAATTATAATTATTTAATAATAATCAGTTTTGTAACATTTAATTATAGATATATCATAGTTGAATATAATTAATTAAATAAATTTTTTATTTTAATTAATAACTAAAATTCTAATTGTCTGAATAGACAAAATTGTAAAAATACTAAAAAAATCAAAACACATGTATTGATACAAGATAACAAATATCGAAAGACAAAATTAAAAATAAAATAATATGGTGATCCTATTGATAGAAATTTCTTATAGAAACTTTCTAGAAATTTCTCTATTATTTTATAAATTTCTCTTTTTTTTTTGCTAACACTAGATAATACTGTAATTAATAAGTTATTAATATAATATTTATGTGATTTTTTCTTATTTACCAATAATTATATGAAATATATMGTACAGTAATTGTATATTTTATTTAAACTATTTATTTTAGATTTTATAAATTAAAGAACATTAACTAACAATATAAACCTAAAGTACTAAAAACTTTTATCTGTCCCACACTTATAATAATTATAATTATTATAAATATACAGTAACTATAGTATAAAAAATAGTACTGTATATTGATGTATAAATGATGAATAATATTGTTTCATTGATCATATATTTTTAATACATTTTTAATAAAGGCAATATAATGTTAGCAAAATTTATACTTGATAAAATATTGTTTTTAATAACAACACATTAAAGCACACATTAAATGAATACTGTTTACGGTTTATACTTATTTATCTACAGTGTATTACAAATATAAACTATTTTTTAAATAAATTTACATGTATCAATAACACAATATTGATATATATATATATATATATACCTGTACAGGTAAATATTAATAATTATATTTGTGTGTAATTTCATACCAATAAAAAATATTTACAACACTTTAATGACAATATTAACAATTAATAATATTATAGTTGTTATTATCATTATTGATCGGAGGCTCATAATTGCTATGATAATCACTGTCAACGATACTAYTGGTATTTTGTTGTTTATTCAAATACATAGCTACCAGTGCCAGTATTATAGCCAGTAGGCAAACAAATGTCAAAAATATGAAACATATGCCCCCATAGGTCGAAATAGTTGACCGAAACAAAGCGGCCATTACTGATGATCCGATTGGCGGCACAATGGCATCGACTACTGTTAGCAAAGTAAATATTTTGCCCAATTCGTTGGCGGCCACTATTTTGGACAGATGTGACCGCAGACCGACATCGGCCAACCATGTGGTACAGCTAAATGCCAATGAGATATAATAACCGGTTGGCTCTAATACTGTTCCCAATACAATCATACGACACATGAGTCCAGAAAAACCAATTACTGTTAAGTAAAGATCCTGTATATTGAATACCTGTTCAATAAATATATATTAAATTTAGAAAATTTATATCCAATTATTATATAAATTATTTAAATATTACAAACTTAACAATACTTTTATAACAAACGGTGTGAATGTCAACACAAATAGACAGTTAGCCACCAGTCCTATGGACTCGTAATCGCTAAAGTCTTTTGCATCCCATTTATAGATATGTTCATAAAACTGAAACTCAAATGACGGCACAGACACCAAAACATAGAGATARCAAAATATGCCACCAATTATCAGCCATATCTGTGCCCGTGCTTTCTGTTGACGTCCCTTCAGGGCAGTCATCACAATGTCTTTGATGTTACGCCAATCAAACAACAGTTTGATTGCATGTCTTGCACTGCGGACTCTCACATAACTGTCCTTTTCGTCAATTGCCTCGTCATCAACACTKGACTCAGTGAATGTSTCGTAAAGTCTATGTTTGTCTTGTTGTTGATCAATGGCCCAAACAGACCAAATGAATGCAATGAAAGCGCTTAAGGCACTAATGAAGAATATGATGGTCTGATTGTGGATCTGTTGGTCACTCCATACTGGGTCTCGATTGATGAGATGTCCGTATAATAAATTTGCCACTAAATGTCCTATTAATCAAAAAAATGCATAATTAAATAATACGAAAATAGTTTATACAGCCGTACCCAAGGCTACGATTGTCTCTAATATAGCCATACGAAATGCCCGTAAGTGTGATGGAGTAGTGGCCGCCACGTATGAGTATGCCGTACACCAGGTCATAGCACCAGACAGTATGTACGGTACAAATGATAACAATACCCATCGGACATCTAAATATTAAAAAATATATAGTAATAAAAATTTTAAAAATATAATTAAAAACAAATTATTAATATTAAAATTATTGTAAGTTTAACTTACTTTGACAACACTTTTAAACTTACAATAATTTTAATATAAGGTATGACATCAACTTTAAAAATTATTAATAGATTTTTCAAAAAAAAAACCATTGAGAACCAGTACCTGAATAAAAATAGTAAGCATTTAACAGATTCATAAGAGCCTCGAYACATTGTGTGGCCGATCCTACTAAAAATATGACTTTCCTGCCGCCACTGTATCTATCAATCCAAGCGCCCAAAAACAGGGCCCAAACAATGCCCGGAATATTCTGTATAATACTCTGATAAGAGTTATACTGTACGGCGTCGGCCAATGCCTGTACTTTGTATGTGTAGTTTACGTCTGTTTCGTTAATTTTTGCCAAATTAAGGCAAAACTCACGGGACATACCATACCGTATGACACATAACTTGTCTTGAATTAACAGATCCAATGGTGTGGATCTAATGTTTGAGCTGACAATCATGAAAAACATATAGATTTCAGGTCTTAATAGTGACACAAATGTTACAAAATATTTTAGCGATGAAAACATTTTTGGACTTTTTTTAAAAAAAATGTATCCAATAGTAGTAAAATTGTATTAATTTTTTAAACCTTTTTTTTAGTTATATTTATTATTAGTTTCCTAACTAAATGAATATTTTGAACAAATTTTTATTTAAAAAAGATATCAATATAAAGATTAAATTACCTATTGATTTTAGTTAGATAAATATTATATATTTTTTTTAAAATTGTAATGTGATACAATATAATTAAAATGATTTATTGTTTATAAATAATATTGTATAATAATATTATTATTTATAAACAAACAAAAATATTTTCAAAACTCAAATTACTACTGTATAGTAACTATACATATGCTAACAAAAATATATTTTTTGATTTTTTTAAGTAAATCAAAATGCAAACATCATTACAAATATTTTATACATCAATTTTGAGACAATTTTCAACATTTGATAATTATTTTTATTATTTAAAACAACACAAAATTGCATTTGATATATTGCATAAACACACTAACATAAAATTTATTAAAACYATAAAATAATAATATCTGCTAATTAATTAATTAATTATTATTATTATTATTAATATTTATCACATATAATTATCTCAGATTAAATTATTTTATAATACTGTACTGTATTTTATTAGTTTGTATTTTTAATAAAATTTCTTAAAGTTACGTCATTATAATTTTACAATAAATTTTATTATATATTGTTTCTCTAATAAATTACGTTATGATAAAATTATTTAATTATAATATGAATAAGTTTACCAAAATTGTAACAAAATTAAATTGACAGTAGCTAATTAAAAAATTATATAGTTTATTAGTGATTCAATTTACAAATTAATTCAAATTAAAAAAATATTCTTTTAAAATAATAATTAAAAATTCATTAGTAATAATYATATTTATTTATAAAAAAATTAATGATTTTTTTATTGTTAACATTTATCATTTTGATTATTCATTATTATTTTAAAAATATTTTAATAGATTTTACAAATATTAATGATTTAATTTTTATAGATTCCATAATACATGTAAACATTGTCCAGTAGTCAGGGAAGTGACGATTTGAAAGTAATTATATATAATGTTATGTTTATATAAAGTATCGGAACTCTTATGAAATACTATTGAAAAGACGATGACATATAAATCATAAAAAACTAAATATAATTTATGGGTTTTTTTTTTTATTTTTACATTAAAGTGGATTCAGCTTTCATTTAATTCATCTTCAAATTATATTACATTAGAAATCCTATATTTGATACTTAATATATATATATATATATATAATGCAAGTATTTCAATGTTTTCTAATTTTGACACTTAATTTTTTTAAAGCAATCAATATTTTTTTAAACAGTATTCAACAGCCACTCAATATAAAATTAAAGTAAAATACAATAATATTACAATTTTATATTATATATCTTATTATATAACTGTTTACAATATAGGAAACCTAACAAAATATTGCTTATACCTATTAGATTACAACTACAATATTGCCAATCATTTCGTATTTTTTAAATAAAAATTTTTATAAAATCAATAATTTGAATAATATTAATAGAATAGTATAAATTATTTTATATAAAAATAATTTTTAAAAAACATATATTTGTTTAATCACAATCAAGGTGGTTAATTTTTATATTTTAAAATTTAAATTTTACAAAAAAAAACTTTCTTCGATATCTTGCTCATTGCTTCTTTAATAATAATAATAAAATAATAATAATAATAATATGACAGTTATTTTCAAGTAATTTTATTTATAAGCAATTTAATCTTGTTTTTCTTTCTATTTAATATAATAAACAAATTGTCAATTATATGTATATATTTAACGGAACTGTAGTTTATATTTATAGAAAGGTATAGCATTATTGAGTCATCATTTTCAATAACCTAACATTTGCTATAAATTTAGTTTCATTTCTAACGTTAAATATAGTCATTTATAATATTAATATTAAAGAAATAATAACTATTTACTTTTTTCAAATAACGTTATGTTATCCAATTTGATTCAATTGATATTTTTTCTAAATATAATGTCTGCTATGTTTAACACTTATATTTTTATTGATATTAATATGAGTGTCAATAATAAGAGACGACTGCCCGACAGCTTTAAACAACAGTACAGATCATTGATAATGACAACCACTTCATCACCAGATGAGGTCTATAGAGAGCCACTACAAGATATCAAAGGTTTGATTATAATATTCAATTAATTTAAAATATAATTAATTAAAAACAAGAAATATATTATTATTACATTATTAGAATATATAATTTCAATATTATATAAAATTAATATGTTTTTAATAATAAATTGTATAATAGTTTTTAATATAATTCATGTATATAATTTAGTAATAATATATAAAACATTTTTAATTACTTTTACAATTGATATAAGTTGATAACCAAAACTGATTTGTTTTGTCTTAATTTAATATATGCAATATTCAATATAAATTATATATTAAATAACAATCAAGTTTTTTGTAAAATAAAAAATAAATTATCTTTTTTGAGATAAGCAAAAAAATTTGATACAAAAATTTATTTCATATCATACAGTAATATCAACAATTAATTAACTGTAATAGTATCTATAAATTATAGCATAATAATAATAATTCAATATAATTTAATATGTTATATAAAATAATGTATAAAATTACATCCTATAAATTTTATTTTATTATAATAGATATTTGTTATCAAATATTTGAGAAAAATCGCTACCGAGACGGGGATTATATATGGCGTCCCTATAATTCACGTTTTTATGGAGAATTGAGATGGAAAAAGATGAAAATAAAAACATAAAATAATAATAATTTACCAAATTTTACATTAATATTATTTATAAAATTATTTATAACATTAAATTATTTATGTATAGTATACTGTATTATTATTTTTTGTTTTGTTTTTATTATACTGTATATATATCAGATGTGATGTAGCAATAGTTAACTAAATATTATAATTTTTTAGTAGTATATATATATGTTGATTATAAATTCATAATAATTTTTTTTTAAAAATTAAATCATTGCTAAACTAGATTATTTCAATAGTAAAGTGTAGAGTTATTATTGTATTGTATCTAAATTAATTAAATTATATCATTTATTCAATCTATATTTAATATTACTATTTCACGCTATATTATCATACAGTTATATTAGTATTAAAAACATTTGACTTTGAAAACAATTTATTTATATCTACTGTACTTTTTTTGTTTCAATAAATTAATATTTTTTAAATCAATGAATTTATTATCTTTTAATAAATCTAAATAATTTGTATTATTGTGATTTTTATAAATTTATTTATTAATTTAAACAATGCATCATTTTCTATCGAATAGTTTTTAAATAAATATTTTTGAAAATATTTTTTTTAATTATTATTGAAGTTTAAATATTAGGATTACAGATGAAACTCAATGAAAAAACCAGTATCTTATCTAATGGATCACAACTTTCATCTGTAGCACAGCTCAGGTAGTAATTGATGTAAAAATATATTACTTGTATATATAAAATAAAAATATTTTAGATTATTTGATGCATTCCATAAAATATAGACTTATACTTACAGTATATTATAATAAATTGCTTTCATAATATCGATTTAGTTCAAGTTCTAACACACACTCATACATACACTCAAACATACATACATACATACACATACATACACACACACATACATACATACACATACATATATAGTTTGCATTCAACAAAATGGATATAATCTCAATAACTTTTATTTTCTTGATTTTTTTCAAACTAAATGTTTTTGGCAATTATTTTAAAACACATTTTAGCTTTTACATTTATAGTTTAAATAATAGTCAATGGTTGAGCAATTGAAACACATTTTTTAGAAAAAAATTATTTATTTAAATTTATTTCTATAGTATATTAATTATATTCTATGATATTACTAAATAATTTATTATAAATGTAATTAAAGACAAACAATGCAATATAATTTAATTCATTTTATTTGTTTATTTAATCTATATTTATTGTTACATAATTATAGTGTATTTTGTGAATCTAATAATAATAATACTGATGATAATAATAGTAAAATTAGTGATTTAGATGAGTCAATAGATTATGATGAGTGTCCCGATAGGAGTAATACTATCATTGATAGTGTACGCGATTTGCACCGGCAGTTCAAAAGTGCTAATAAAACAATAATAACAAGTGATGGGTTTAATTTTGATGACAATGTTAAAGATTTTATGTATCAATTGTTTGGTTTAGATCCACGAAAGCGATTGAAACTTTTGGAGACTCTGTCGACCACTGATTTAGGTCTATCCCAGGAGTGTACCCGTGCGCACGCTATGATTTTTAGAAGTTTTAAAAATATGGACATTTGGGCACTACAATGTATGTCAAATAATTAGTATATATAATTTATATATACCAGTATATATTGATATATATATTTAAAAATATTAACCATTTCAAAATATAAAAAATCAGTATATAAAAATCAGTACAATATAGACTATTTACTAATATATGAATAAATTAATTTTATGAAGTAATAAGAAATTCATATTTTTAAAAATTTGTAAATAAATATTTTTTAAAAAAATATTATAGATTTTGATTCAATGGCTAACTTTCCACCGGCGGGTATAATGGAGGGCGTGTTTGCCAATTATGGCGAATATGACGAGTGTCTTAATGTTCAGTCACCGGCTGCTATTGAACCGATCATTAGTGGTCAGTACTGTTTGGCCAAACTTGTCATACCGTTCCCCAGTTTGGACACTCATGTCGAGACCGATTACGATGACAGGGATCTGTCATTCTTTCTGAAAGCTAATGAAGACTTTGATGTCACTTCAGTTACCGTTAGGAATATGATTGAAGCACTTAATATAGTTAACGGAACTGTGTTTTCACTGGGAGTCTGTATACCCTCCCTGTGCACACCAAATGAAGTTCAAACAATGATTAATAAAAGTTTGTAAAGATTTTTTAAAAATCATATTTATTTTTGATTTATTATTTGTTTGACAATTTTTTCACAGTATTATATCCCATATTACGTATGCCTATTGAGATAGATCAGTGTCGTACTAGAGATAAGACTATCACTATTGATAACTACCAGCGCTTATCATTGTATGCACTAAACATTTAGTAATATTAAATATATGTAATAAATTTTTAATTTTTATTATTTTTTTAAAAAAATACTACAATGCAGTATAATACTAGGTTTGCTTACTGTTGGTGTTGTTTTAGGAAGTTTGCTTGATTTGATTAGCATTGTCAATGATAAAGGTTGCGACGATAATGTTGAATATTATACAACATATAATAATAATAATAATAATAATGAAAATAATAATAATAATAACAATAATAATAATATTGAAAAACAGTCAAAATCAGTACAATTGCTAAAATGTTTTTCAATAATCACAAATATTCGGCAATTATGTGCCGAAAGTAATGCCAAATATGCGACACTCGACACATTGAGACTGATATTAATACTGAACGCACACTTAGTTCACGCATATATATTGACGTTTACTTTGGGCACCAAAACACTTAAACGTGTCGTTACCGATGCTTTGCCTAAATTTTTTTTAGACCCCCGATATATAATTGTCAAAAGTCCTCTAATGATTGATGGACTGTTCACATTAAGGTATGCCACACATTAACCCACCATTTAGCAATTTATCTCTCAGTTTTATAAAGTTTATAATTTTCAAAAAAAATTGTTTTTTTTTGTTTTTGTAGCGGTTTTCTTATATCCTATACATTACTACGAAAACTACGCCAAACAAACGGTCGCCTAAATTATCCTTTTTTTATATTTCAAAATTGGCTACGATTTGTTATACTGGTATTCGCTTCTATACTGTTTTATTATGTGTTTCCACTCCTAGAAGACGGACCCGTATGGGATTCGGCCACCGATTTGATGACTACCGGATGCAAAGATCCAATGAATTTGTTAAAAATATTTTTATTTATAAATAATTTTCAAGAATTTCAAGTCGAAAATTTTAATCAAACAGTAAGTTTATTAATTATATTTGCAATTAATCTATATTTTTTGATATTATTATTTTCTTAAGAAATTAATTTAATTTTTACTACCATTTACTAGTGTAACATAACTCTATGGTTTATGTCATCTCTGTTGCAATTTTTGATAATATCTCCACTATTTATAATACTATATCACAAGAGACCTCGTTTAGGATTAATTGCAATCATTGTGGCTATCRGTGTCTCATTGTTCATAACAATATCACCATATCTTCTCTATGGTATCAAACCATGGCATATGATACTCTATCGACACGTCCAGATGCTCAGCTCCCGGTTTAATAAGTCGGCCAATTGGTTTCATACCACTCCTAACGTTCATATACTAAGCTATCTTATAGGCATATGCTTTGGCTATTTGCTTACAAATAACAGTCAATTAGATTTAGGTAAACGAAGTGTTCGTTTTTTATGGTTGGCCTCTATCGCCGGTATCATAGGTATGTACTATTGGAACGATACCTTTTGGAGGGGCGGTTCTGGTGAGCCAACACTTAGTGTACTTTTGTGGCACACTATCGGCAAAGTAATATACTGTACAAGTTTTGGTTGGATTTTTTTTGCCAGTTGTACGGGAAGGGCAGGTAATTGTTTTTTTTGTTGGTTTATATCTTAAGATAATGTTATAGATTTTATTAGTCATTTTTTATTTGATTTTTGTTAGGACTGTTCAATAAAGTGTTGTCACACCGTATATTTCAACCGATTTCTAGGCTATCATTTGGTATATATTTATTGCATTATATGGTTGTCATTAGACGTATATTTATTATTAAGAGTACCGTTTGGATGACTGATAGACTTATGGTAAATATGCAGTACATTATAAATTATAATATTATTAATAATAATAATACTGTAATTATGATTAAGATATATGAATTATAGTAGTATATCAAAAGTATAATAGTATATATAATTTAATTTTAATGTAATTTTTGTGTCTGTCTATTCAATTATAGTTTTCAAATTTGTTCATCGATTTATTTATTGATATATTTGTGGCCTTTATATTTTATATATTAATTGAATGTCCATTTACTAATATATTTCGACTATTGTTTCAATCAAAAACAGCAACAACAACAACAACTAAACAAAATAAATGATAAATATTACTATTAATACATATAACAAAATTTGTAATTATTTTATTCAATTTATATATTTGTATTTTATAGGTTTATTTAATATTAAATAAAAACAATTAATAAATAAAATGTAAGTCGGAATTGAAGTCTGCCGTTTGGATATCATATTTGTTTGCTATTCAATCAATTTGATAGATACTACTCATATTTTTCTTAATTTATATTAACAATATATTTATATTACATATAAATTAATACTATAACTATAAAATTAAATTAACAAAAATTATAATTACTTACAAATATTTTCAATATTCCCGGCTCTTATAGTATAAAAAACTAATTATCATTTTGTGGTTAAACTACATATAGTGTCTATTGTTTGGCAATTTTGTTGTGTGTTTTTGCTATAACTGAACGGAAAATTATGGATAAATTATATCCATAGCCTGATAGTTGATATCCAATAAAATTTCTTTAAGATATTAAGTCATGGGTTGTCAGGTGTGTACCAATTGATGATGTGTCTGGAAATGGTGTATAAAATATTAGTATACACACCCTGACAATACCAAGTACTTGTTTTTGAGGGTTAATATCTTGAAAACATTATTATTAAATTTTTCTCAAATTTTTCTCAAATAAAGAATATCTCTCCAAAAATATTTGATAAAATTTTCATAAAAATAAATAAATATTTTTAATACTTTTGAAAATATAAGAAAATTAATGAAAAAATACAATCACTAACTCATGTGTTTACCAGATTGACACTAAAGTAGACTCCATTGATCTCTACATTGATTCAACTTAAATTATATTCTAATTTATTCGAATCAATTCCGAGTCTAATGGAGTCTACTTTAGTGTCTGATCTGATAAACACAAGAGATCTCATATAAATTGTATATAATATATAATTTCTGATTATTTATCTTATATTTTCAAAAAGTATTAAAAAATAACTTTTTGAAAATTTTAGTAAATATTTTTTGAAGATATATTCCTTATTTTTAGACAAATTTGAGAAAATTTAATAATACTCTTTTCATGATATTAACCCACAAAAAATTAGTACTTGGCATTGTCCGGGTGTGTATATATATAYATAATTATTACTTAATTGAATACATTTGACTTAATAAAAATGATAAAAATAAAATAATTTTTTTTATATTCTATTATAAAATATTTTAGAATAATTTAGAATAATAATCAAAGAATAAAAATAATTATTTATTTATTATAACATTCTATTACTATTGTAATACTTTGTGAAAATATTAATAATACTGAATAAATTATAAATAAATTATAGTCTATACTTATCTAATAATTTATACATTAATTAATATAATTAATATTATCTAKAAAAATATATTGACGTCAATCTTTTATTAAATTTTTACTATAATTGCATCTAAATTTGGGGTATTCGTGCGTCATATAGTTTAATTGTGTGGTTTTATTTATATAATAATTTTCAATAATTTATATCAAACATAATGTCTAGCATAAAAATTTAAATTATGATTTGTTTCAAACAATTAATTAAAACTATTTTAGACTAATAATTTATGTAATTATAATCAAATACACTATTTTGTTGACACTGTATAACTTATACATTTACTGTATATTAGTTGCCAATATTATTTTTTATAAACTAAATATTTATTTGACATTACATTATAATTTGCAGTAATTTAGGAATATAATAATTCTATTAAATTTAAAAAACAAAATAATATTAAATATTGCATTTTAACTAATTTAACATTTCACAACAATTAAATATATGAATTGAGAAACTTAATTATCTTATTTTACTTATGTTAGCAAACATATAATTATTATATGGAAAATATAGTATATAAACCTAAAGTTTTCTATATAAAGCGCTTAAATGATTTGTTGTGCTTATTTAATATTTATCAAATTATATAAAAATAACATTACAAACAACAAATTAGTTTATATAAACTGAAAATCAAATTTATTGATCTATTAAAGTATATTAGATAAAGTTTTTTAATTTAATTATATTTAAATAAATAATAAACAGTATAACAATGTCAGCGTTTATGTCATACGATATAACCAATTGGTTAATTACAGCCGTCATCGGCTTTATTACCTTATATTTAGTTCGTTTCTATCATAGAGTCTTATCATTACCCAGAGGTCCCATTCCTCTACCAATAATGGGAAATATATTAAGTATAAAAAATTAATATTTATTTGTAAAATAATAATTAATAATTTTTTTTAATATAGAATTTTTTAGGACAAAAGAAAATCAATTTTTAACAATCAATAAAATGCATAAAACTTATGGACCGATATTAACAGTATGGTTGGGAACAACACCAATGGTAGTGATTTCAGATTATAAACTAATTAAAGAGGCATTCAATTCAAAGGACAATGAAATAATGGGAAGACCTGATACTAATATGAGTCGATCATTCAGACAAAATGGAAAAGACGTGGTGTTTACAGATCACGGACCCGATTGGGCTAGTCTTAGACGATTAGCCCACTCAGCTGTTAGGTATAAAATTACGAAATTTAATTTTTAACTAATTTTTGAACATTTTTCAAAATTTTTGTCAAATATTAACATTAAAATCATAATTCATTAGAAAACTAGCAGTAAATGAAAAGCTGTTTGTTTTGGTGAACGATGCGGTTCGGGAAACGGTAGACATTATGATTGCTACTGAAGGCTGTGATAAACCATTTAATCCCATGAGTTATATCTATATGTCTGTCATCAATATCATCGCTTCATCGGCTTTTGGAAAAAGGTATATAATTTTATTAATTAGAGTAAAAATTATATATATATATATATATATAAATATATTATTAAAAATAAAATAAAATTATATATATTTTTTAATAAAATTAAGATATTCTTTCAACGATCCGGAGCTTAAATTTTATGAAAATAGTTTGGAAACATTTAGAGCCACTTCTAACACATTAGCACTTTGTGATAGAGTGCCGGCTTTGAAGTTATTCTATAGAAAAGTTCTCAATAAAGGTCTCAATGTTATCGAGAAATTTTCGTCTAATGTTAGACAACAGTATCTCAATCGCATACCTGTCCACGAAAATGGTGTTATCGATGATTTCTGTGACGCTCTCATTGAGGCTAAAGAGCTGGCAATTGCCGAACAAAAGGAAAGCGCACCAAATCTCACGGACACTAACTTATCGTTACTTATTATGGATTTATTTATTGGTAATTATTTATTACTTGTAATAAATGTATACAAATCGGTTTATGGGAAAGGGTTATAACATTTTACAAGTAATTAATAGCTTAGATGTCATTAATAACATAAAATATCAAATGCAATAATTAATTTTATGCTATAACTTTGTGATATACTAATTTCAAATACATGTCATCACCAGTTCCCATATGACTTTCTATGACTTCTTTTAACTAATAGATTTATAATTATTTTTAACTACATTGTCCTAAATTATTATATAATTTAATAGCGGGAACCGATACAACACAGTATATGATGCGATGGATTATACTACTTATGGCCAACAATTCAAAAATGCAAAATAAAATGAGAGATGAAATCAATGATCTAATTGGCGACCGAATGATTACACACGAAGATAAAAATAACTGTCATTATGTCAATGCATTTATTGCCGAAACTTTACGTTTGAGGGGCGTTACGCCCTTAGGTGTGCCCCACGTTGCTATGTGTGACACAAAAATAGGTGAACACAACGTAAAAAAGGGTACATTTGTAATGAGTAATCTATGGATCATTTCTCGAGATCCCAAAGTATGGGACAAACCCGAAGAGTTTAATCCAAACCGATTTTTGTCTTCAGACGGAACTTTCAAGTCATCGATGACCGGATTTGTACCGTTCGGTATCGGTAGACGTGTTTGTTTAGGCGAGAAGCTGGCACTGGCAGATTTATTTTTCATAACTGTGCAATTATTACAAACAACACAGCAATACATGTTGTCATTACCCGGTGGTGATGGAAGTGCCGATTTGGAGCCCAATCCTAAAGTTCTGCTGTTAAATGTTCCGAAACCGTATGAAATTGTATTAATAAAAAAATAATTAATTATCAGATAAATCAGTTTGTTTTGTATTTTTTTGTAATATATTTAGATTAGTCAGGTATTACAAAATCAGTATTGAAAAGTAAATTAAAAAAATATAAGCCTTTTTTTGCTACTGAGATTAAGTTTTTTTTTAATTTTAACGCCACCACTAATCTTTCAAATATAAAAAATAAATAATTTCTAAAACACCTTTAAGAAAAATGTTATTAAAATGTATAAATTTTATTAAACTTATAATTTTACAATTTTTAAAAATAGAAATATGTATATATATTTGATATTTACTTTATAATTTTTAATTTAAACTTATATATATTCTAATAATAATAATAAAATGAAATTTTCTAAAATGATTTATAGTATTTTTAAATAAATTTAGTATATTTTAAAATTATTATATTATTTATTAAATTAAAATATTTATTTATAAATATTTATTTTACTATAATATAGTAGTTATTTACTAAAAAATACAATTTTTAAAGCTATCCTTTATATATTTTACAATTTAATCATTGACATAGAGTAGTGGACTATTATATATTTAATTTTACAATTAATTGAAAAATGACAAATTACAATAGAGTTTAGTTTAATATTATCTAAAATTATGCCCTTGATCATTTTTAAATTMAATATATGGTTTACCAGATATTTTAATATAAACTAACAATTGTTGACGAGTCGAGTATACCTCTCTATCCCAAATACTTTCCCAAATTACAACACTATATATCTATTATTACTTTTTATAATGTTTGTAAATATGATGAAAACAAGTCAATCGTATAGTATTTTCAAATACTAAMAAATAAATAAATAACTATTTGTCTTATTTTGACAATTATTAAGAACTATTAAAAATAATTTCTAAATTAAAAAATATTTTAAGGTTAAAACGGATGAGATTCAAACAAACAAAAAAATCAAATATTATTTTATCATTCAATCTAATCAAATGTAATTATTTGTAAATATTTTTAGAAAATAAATACCTATTTAATTAACTATTAGGCCTTTTTTAACAACTATTATAACAATTATTAGATATAATCTATAAATAATTATTAATCAATACTTTATTCATTACTATTTAATGATCTCTACTACTACTTATATGTTTATTATAAATTTTTGTTTTTTTAATAATTTATTTCTTATAAACATTTAGGTTTTTTTAATCAAGGTCAGGATAGTCACTTAATATATTCTATGTCCTTCAAAAAATATTAAACAACATTAATTACTAATTTTCAATACTATTAAAATCTGTATTATTATTTATATAACAATAAATGCCTGTTTTGTATACTACAGTATAATATATTTTATATATTCCCTTAATGAGCTTAAAAGCTTAATTTTTTTTAAAAATAACCCACGTAGCTTAATATGTATAATTAAATTTTTTACCATGTTCAAATAAACTTATTAATATTTTGATTACTCGTTTTCATAAATATTAATTTAAAACACATACTCAATGCATTTTAAAAATGTGTCATATTATAATTGAACATGCTACAGTTAACTATTTTTATTGTTTTATTTTTATCTATTGAACTATAGCATGTTCAATTATAATATGACACATTTAAAAAAAATAATTTCATATATTATATTTATATAGGATTTAAAAGTTTAATTATACCGTATATAATACTATTAAACAATATTTTCAATTTATTATCAATAATTATTAATAGATTATAATAAATTGTTAGATATTATAAAACAACATTTTTTAGTGAAATGTAATAAAAATAATTTGGTTTATTTTTTATTGATAGTCAAGGGTGCGAACACACCTCCAATGACTGGTCGGTTAATAAATCCGGGAGAACCGCCAGTTTTGGTGTCTCCCCAGTCAGAGAATGGTACGAGTTTTGTAGTTTCCCGAAGCCATTGAGCTGTCCTATCGAACATCAATTGCCGAAGTCGTGAATCGGAACTGGAGGCCGCCGTAAACATAACCCAATCAAACTTTGTGGCTGAGTTACCGCTCTCTAGGGGTACACCATATTTGTTGGCTACTGATAGATACCATTCATCTTGTTGTTTGTATATCTATATTATAAAATATAACATAAATTAAATTTATATTTAAAAAGTTAAAAACTATATTCAACTATATCTAACATTTTGGGGCACAAGTTTGGTTTCCAATAGTATATCAGCAAACAGATTGTATACCATAAACCATGTGTTAGCCGTATTGTAGCTGAGTTTAAGATGTTTGTTTGACGGATCTTCACCCATACGTATCCATTCGGTTACATACTTTTCAGCAATTTGTCGGTAGTGTTTTTGGTCCTCTTGATTGCCTACTTTTTCAGCTAACTGTGCCATTGCTCCTATACCTACAATAGCTTTGGCTGATAGGTTTGTCGAGTTTTTAATTCTGCCCAAGAAATCATCAGTGGTTAGGGCATCACCTAAATTATATGAATATACATATATGTTATAATTAACAAAATWTATACARTAATTATAATATGTAAATATGACTAACCAGTTATCAATCCGTGGTCTACCAGATATTGAGTCCATTGTTTAGCAATTTTGTAGTGTTTTGTAGCCCAATCTTTATCGTCAGTTGCTCTAACATAGGCCGACATCATAATCAACATATTAGCACTTTCCTCGACTTCCATATCTTCTTGTTTGCCATCTCTGTGTCCAATACAACGCGGATAACTTGAGCCCAAATCGTGAATACAATATTTGTATGGAAAATAACCTTTTTCTTGATTGTCTAAAAGTGGGTCCAACAGATATTTAAGTAGAAGTGGGTTTAGGTATAACTGGACGGGAAAGTGGGGGTAAATAACATCCACTGTCTGACAGTTGCCGTCCGATGAAATCTCTTTAAGCATAAGCCACGGTTTTTCAGGTGTACCCACCAGTTCAGTGCCACCAAATGCCTGCAAATAATGTAAATAATTTTGATTAATATTAATTWGATAAAATTATCAATAAAAATATGTTAAATTTAAATTATATTTTWAAGCAAATCTTTTTAGTGCATAAAAAATAATAAATTTAACTTATGTTTAAAAAATATTTAGTTTTRAAAAWWATTAGTAGATTTRATARAAATTTAATTAAATATTAAAATTATTAAATATTAAATGTCTTATCATAAGTGTGTRTAATTAAAAATAAATAGTAATTAATAAARTAAATAGACCTGTCTTAATGCTGCTGAGACCACTTTGACATAACTATCGCCACCAACTTTGTGAGCATCGGCCACAATACGACTGTCCAAATTGTTGGCTCTTTTAAGTGCATCCTCACTCTCACCCAACACAAAATCAATCATTTTGTTGTCGTCACCACCGAAATAACTTTCCCAAAGTTGATTGAATTGAGCGTCAGTATAGTTAATGGCCGGACGTCTAACGTGTGCGAYACCATAGAAGACAGTCTCTGATCTCTGTTCACTGGCAATCATATTGCGAGCAAATGCCACTCCGGGCCAGTTGTCATTTATGCGCCGATAGTTTTTCTCAACTGTATTGTCAAGATGTCCATCTTTAACAAATTTAGAGCGCARGGATGTACAKCCACCCGCCTTAAATAATGTTAAAAGTTAACATAAAMTTATACTATTATGTACTAYAACTATGGACATACCTGATATGACACCAATGAATCGGTAAAATATTTAACTACTCCCCATTGCGCCGCATCTAATATATTAATATATAATATTATATTTATTTATATTTTTATGAAATAAAATTTATCAAAAAAAAATTAATTAAATAATACCGTGAGACTCTTGAAATTGTTTTTGATCTCTCAAACGAAAGTTAGCATTTGTGATAACATTTCCCACTTTATTGACCTCCCATTCGACCACTTCATTAGAGTCACCAGATGTCCATTCGGCAGACATATCAATATAGAGCTGTACGTCATGTTTTGCTTTATCTGTTGACCGGACAGTTGCCGCTATATATGAAGCCGGAAGTGACAGCCGTTTCAAATCTGTCGGATCTATTGGTGTAAAAAAGTTAACTTCCAGTACAATGGGACCGGCATTGAAGGTAAATATCGACTGAGTCGGTGTCACTTTCAGTCCAACTTGTTTTGCCTGAAGATTAGTGCCAATATTGTCTTGCGTTGGATGACCCATAAACTCGTAAGTTTTGCCGTCTACTCGAACCAGACCTGCCATTCCTTTAATAGCTCCGGTCCAAAATGTGGGCCAATTACCGTACAGCTCTCGTGCGGACATCCATGTGGACAGGTATGGACTTTTGACAACAAGCGGTACGGCCGGCAAAACATCTGAAAAAAATTATTGAATTCTTTTATATAGTTTTTAATTTTAATTATTTATATCTACTGTATTATACCATTGTCTTGATATGATTTGCTAACTAATAGTGAAACAAATGMCAATAAAAATAATTTTAAATACATTATTAAATAAATTTTAGATTTAATTAATAAAGTATTTTTAAAAAAATATAATATAATAAAAAATAAATTGTTAAATACAGTTTTTTATTTTGTTTTTATAGCACCAAAATTAATAAGGATGTGAATTGTACACGTGTTTTGAGTGATTTATTTTAACAATTTCAAGTATTAAGATATAAGTTAATTTTAATACATTATATTGTTATATTATCATTAAATGCATGTTAACAAAAAAATATATATTATTAATTTAATAATTAATATTTTATTTTGATAAAATAATATAGATAGATAATTTAGAAACATAAATCAATAATATAAAAAAATGTTAAATAAAAAATAATTGAATTATAAGATTTGATATATTTTTAACAGTAATTGTTTTTAAAAAAATCTCAACAATTTTTTTATTGATTTCAATTATTGATATATTAAATATATACAGTAGATAAGTAATAAATAAATAATTAATACAGTTATAACTTACTTTGTTATAAGAATACTTTTATTGTATTATTTTAAATATTTATAGTTATATTATACTGTATTTTATTAACTTTTCAATAATATAATTAAATATATCAAACATCTGTGTAAATAATGAAAATTAAGATTATGTAATAACATTTAATCATTTTACTATAAATTAAATATTTGTATACATTATTATGTTATCTAATCACCTTTTTAAAGTATATTTTAACATTTATGTGTCATTTATTTAATTTTTCAACTATACTTTAAAAAAATATATAATAAAATATTTTAATTTAAATAAATTAGAAATTCTTTAGGAATTTAATTTATTTATTAAAATTTTTGTATAGCTTTTACTTAATTTTGACTTAATTTCATTATATTTAACCTACCAATTAAACCAATATAACTATGATAATTAATTAATTTGTTAATTATTATTTAAAATAAATTTTATAATTAAACAGAAATTTAAAAAATGATATAATTGAAAAATTTTAGATAATAAATTACAAAAAACAATTTAATAATGATAAATTTTAAATATTGTTTATTTATAAACAGTAAAACTTAAAATTAATGTTTTACACTTTGATTAAATTGTTTATTAGAAATTAATAATTATTTAATAAATCTATTTTTAACATTAAAACTGTTTATATGTAAACATTACTGTAAATAATGTATATAAAATATTAAAAACCTATTTACTAAAAAATATATACATTTGAGATAAAATACAGTGTGATCGATAACAAACAATTATATTAAATTAATTAATAATTATATTAAACTACCGGTTCAGTCATTATAATTTTTGGACTACAAGAGGACACAAAATATAAATTATATCATTTTTTATGATACAATTTCAATAGAAATGATACGGTATACCGATATTAGTTGATGTCGAGTAAAATTAAGTATACTTTTACACAATTAAATCAATTTTGATGGCAATGATTGCAGAGATGATCAAAATGTGTATAATTATCGCTTAAAATAAAACTGATCACAGAATACATAACAAATGATTTTTTTTTTGATAATCATTTTGTTATTTAAATATTTTTGTACATAACATTTTAATTAGTTTTTTATATCATTATGCAATAACACTAATGCTAATTACTGTATAAATAATACATTAACTATAATATGTAATTTTTAATTAGTAAAATAAAATGATAATAATTATATATATTATAAATCCACCTAACAGTGGATAACCAATTAACGGACGGATAAACTAAATAATTAAATATTTATGTTATTTGTTAATCAATTGTTGTCATAAAGGGGTCATTTGAGAGCTATTTATATGCCCTCTCATAAAGTAATGTAAAATTAGTAAAAAAATTGGACACAAATTCACAATTAGATCCCAATTAGGACAACGTCTGGTTAACGCAATAGTGGATGAAATAAAGGGTAAGTTTGAAAATTAATTATAATTAAACTAATAATTAATTAATTAATTTTTTATTTTTTATATACAGGTTAAATATCTAAGAAAATATTAGTAAAGAGAATAAATTTTTAAAAAATTTTAAAAATAGTTTTATTAATTTATTAAATTATTTTTCTCTAATCCCCATTCAGCGGACGGACCACAAAACATTGAATTAAAAATTTTTGTCCATAAATTATGACCAAAAATTAAAAATTGTATAAAATCATTAGATTATACCGTATGACCTCACATTAAATGATTTTCACAATTTTTACCGTATAACCTCACATATAAATGATTTTCACAATTTTTACCGTATAACCTCACATTTAAATGATTTTCACAATTTTTACCGTATAACCTCACATTTAAATGATTTTCTCAATTTTTACCGTATAACCTCACATTTAAATGATTTTCTCAATTTTTACCGTATAACCTCACATTTAAATGATTCTCAATTTTTACCGTATAGCCTCACATTTAAATGATTTTCACAATTTTTACCATATAACTATTTTTAATATGGGAATACGGTACTTTTTCAAAAAAACTATTTTTAATATGGGAATACGGTACTTTTTCAAAAAAACTATTTTTAAATGGGAATACGGTACTTTATCAAAAAAAACTATTTTTAATATGGGAATACGGTACTTTTTCAAAAAAAAACTATTTTTAATATGGGAATACGGTACATCAAAAAAAACTATTTTTAATATGGGAATACGGTACTTTTTCAAAAAAACTATTTTTAATATGGGAATACGGTACTTTATCAAAAAAAACTATTTTTAATATTACGGTACTTTATCAAAAAAAACTATTTTTAATATGGGAATACGGTACTTTATCAAAAAAAACTATTTTTAATATGGGAATACGGTACTTTATCAAAAAAAACTATTTTTAATATGGGAATACGGTACTTTTTCAAAAAAACTATTTTTAATATGGGAATACGGTACTTTATCAAAAAAAACTATTTTTAATATGGGAATACGGTACTTTTTCAAAAAAACTATTTTTAATATGGGAATACGGTACTTTATCAAAAAAAACTATTTTTAATATGGGAATACGGTACTTTATCAAAAAAAACTATTTTTAATATGGGAATACGGTACTTTATCAAAAAAAACTATTTTTAATATGGGAATACGGTACTTTTTCAAAAAAACTATTTTTAATATGTGAATACGGTACTTTATCAAAAAAAACTATTTTTAATATGGGAATACGGTACTTTATCAAAAAAAACTATTTTTAATATGGGAATACGGTATCAAAAAAAACTATTTTTAATATGGGAATACGGTACTTTATCAAAAAAAACTATTTTTAATATGGGAATACGGTACTTTTTCAAAAAAAACTATTTTTAATATGGGAATACGGTATTAATTTTAAAAACATGAGTTAACTATGGGAAGACGGTAATATGATTGCTTATAAGATAGTTTAAATATATATTTGAGTTATTACGGTATTATTTCATATATAAATTAAAAAATATTATTTTCTTAATTAGTGACATAATTGATGCCCATTTTGATCGATAGATGTATTGTTTATATTATTTGTTATAATTTATCCGTCCGTTAAAAGGTTGATATATATATATAAATAATATCTATTAATTATTATAATTGTCTGTTGAATAATTATAGATAAATATTGATAAAAATAAAGACCTTGAATATTTATTTATAAATATAGTATAGTTTTACTAATGTTWGGAGACTTTAAAACGTCACATTGTTTTATAATACTATATATCATACAAGTTTTTTTAATAGTTTGTTTATACAATTTATTTACAATATCAGTACATTTGTATGATTTTCAATAATAATTAGTAGAAAACATTATAAATAACATTAAAAGTCAAATAAACGTTTGAAAGTCTCCAATAGTTAATTATACTAATAAACTAATAATTGAGATAATTATAATCAAATTTTGACACTAAATCTATTTAAATATAAAATGAATAAAAAAAATTTATTTAGTATATAAACAATAAATCAAATGCAAAAATACATCAATAAATTGAAAATAACTTTTTTACTAAAGTTTGTTACATAAAGTGTTTAATTTAATTATATTTACATAATTAATAAATAGTATAACAATGTCAGTGTTAATGTCCAACGATATAATCAATTGGTTACTTACAGCCGTCATTGGCTTCGTTACCTTATATTTGGTGCGTTTCTATCATCGAGTATTTTCATTACCCAAGGTCCCATTCCTCTACCAATAATGGGAAATATATTAAGTAATTAAAAACTATTTAATTAATTAATTTTTAAAAAAAATATTAATATTTTTTTCTTATTATAGAGTTTTTCAGAACAAAAGAAAATCAATTTATAACAATCAATTCAATGCATAAAACCTATGGACCAGTATTTACCTTTTGGTTTGGTAATACACCTGCAGTAGTCGTATCCGATTATAAACTACTGAAAGAGGCATTCAATTCAAAAGGAAACGAATTAATGGGAAGACCTGTTACTATATTTGGAAAAATATTACTTAAAAATGGAAAAGATGTCGTATTTTCAAATCACGGACCCGTTTGGGCCAGTCTTAGACGATTAGCCCACTCAGCCGTTAGGTATGTATTTATAATTATTATATTAATTGTAATTATTATAATTGATATTATTTTTCAATAGAAAATTAGCTGTTAGTGAAAAGTTTTATATTTTGGCCAACGATGCGGTTCGGGAAACGGTCGACACTATGATTGCTACTGAAGGCTGTGATAAACCATTTAATCCCATGAGTTATATCTATATGTCTGTCATCAATATCATTGCTTCATCGGCTTTTGGCAAAAGGTATTTATATAATATTTATTATTAAAATATATATATATAATATTTAATTTTATTTTGCAAAATATAATTACAGATATACTTTTACTGATCCGGAGCTGAAATATTTTGAGAAAAGTTTAGAGTATTTCAGATCCAAATCAACTATATTAGGGCTTTGCGATAGAGTGCCGGTTATGAAGTTATTTTATGGTAACGTTTTGAATAAAACTCTTGATGTTTTGGATAAATTGACGACTACTATCAAACAACAATATCTCAATCGCATACCTGTCCACGAAAATGGTGTCGTCAATGATTTTTGTGACGCACTCATTGAGGCTAAAGAGGAGGCTATTGCCGAGCAAAAGGAGAGCGCACCTCATTTTACTGATACAAACTTATCATTAGTTATTACGAACTTATTTATTGGTTAGTATTAAAGTTTTTAATTATGGGTTAGATTTTAAATTTGCTAACAATGTATTGAATAATACTTACTATATTTTAATTTTATTAGCGGGAACTGACACAACACAGTATACAATGCGATGGGTTATATTATTTATGGCCAACAATTCAAAAATGCAAAATAAAATGAGAGATGAAATCAATGATCTAATTGGTGACCGTATGGTTACACACGAAGATAAAAATAACTGTCATTATGTCAATGCATTTATTGCCGAAACTTTACGTTTGAGAGGAGTTACACCGTTAGCTGTACCACATGTTGCTATGTGTGACACAAAAATGGGTGAACACAACATAAAAGAGGGTACGTTTGTAATGAGTAATCTATGGGCCATAGCTAGAGATCCTGAAATATGGGACAAACCCGAGGAGTTTAATCCAAACCGATTTTTGTCGTCAGACGGAACGTTCAACTCATCGATACCCGGTTATGTACCGTTCGGTATCGGTAGACGTGTTTGTTTAGGCGAGAAGCTGGCACTGGCAGATTTATTTTTCATAACTGTGCGATTATTACAATCAACTTCGCAATACATGTTGAAACTACCCGGTGGTGACGGTAGTGCCGATTTGGAGCCCAATCCTATTATATTGTTGTTTAATTCTCCAAAACCGTATGAAATTATTTTGAAAAGAAAATAATTAATCAGATAATCATTTTGTAATGTATTTATAATTTTCATTTGTGATACTCAATTGTAATTTTTTATTTCTATATATATTTTTTAAGTTTCAAATATTGTATATTACTCACTTTACAATCAATTATTAATAATACTAACACTTTAAAATAGTGTTATAGATGTGCAATAAAATAAATATATTTATACATATTTAATATATATATATACTGTATATGTAAAGTTATATACTATATGCAAAATAATAAATGTATATAAAATTATAAAGTACAAAATTAATTAAGTGTAACTATTATGTATATATTTTGTAATTTGTAAGTCTAATTTTGTACGATTAAGATAATTAATTGGCACCCATTACTATCTATAATAATTATTATGTTATATAATATATTAAAATTGTACAAAAAAATAATGTTATAATAATATATTTAAAGAATAATAATAAACTGGAAAATCTTATTTAGTTTATTTATATATAAATATCAATAATTTTATATTAATGTATAGAATAGTTATTAAAATAATTGTWTATATATTACATCTATATTACAGGTATTGATAAACAAAAGTACAATACATTGAATATTTATTTGAATAAAATTAAGTATAATTTTATTAATGTTTGAGGTCTTTAATACATCATTTTGTGTGTTATTATATATATTTTTTACAATATATAAAGTTTATATAATCAGTACATTTGTATGATTTTCAAGGATTTATATCAAAACATTATGTTTATGATTAAGTATCAAAAACAACATTAGAAAGACCTCAACAGTAAAATATACTAATAAAACAAAAAATTGATGAAACTTTATATTTGCACTATTTTGTCAATAATAAAAAATATTGGATATTATTTTAGTATATAAACAATAAATAAAAATATAAATGCAAAATAATTTCTTAACTATACTTAATGTTAAATAAAGTGTTGAATTTTATTATTATATCAATATTTGAATAACAAATAGTTTTTACATAACAATGTCAGTGTTAATGTCCAACGATATAATCAATTGGTTAATTACGGCTGTCATCGGTTTCGTTACCTTATATTTGGTTCGTTTCTATTATCGAGTCCTAACATTACCCAGAGGTCCCATTCCTCTACCAGTAATTGGAAATATATTAAGTAATTAAAAATATACAAATAATTTAGTATTTTATAATTATTTTTACTTTTATTATTATAGAGTTTTTCAGAACAAAAGAAAAYCTATTTCTGACAATTAATTCAATGCATAAAACCTATGGACCGGTATTTACCTTTTGGTTGGGTAATACACCAGCAATAGTGGTATCCGATTATAAGCTAATTAAAGAGGCATTCAATTCAAAGGATAACGAATTAATGGGACGACCCGTTACTTTATTTAGCAAAATATTGACTAAAAATGGTAAAGACGTGGTGTTTACAGATCACGGACCAATTTGGGCCAGTCTTAGACGGTTAGCCCACTCAGCCGTTAGGTATGTACTGTAATTTCAATAGTTATTTTTAATTGTAATTATTAAACTTGATAGCATTTTTCATTAGAAAACTAGCAATAAGTGAAAAGTTATATGTTTTAGCCAACGATGCGGTTCGGGAAACGGTAGACACTATAATAACTACTGAAGGCTACGATAAACCATTTAATCCCATGAGTTATATCTATATGTCTGTTATCAATATCATCGCTTCATCGGCTTTTGGCAAAAGGTATTTAAAATAATAAAATTTTATTAAAATTATTATTTTATAAAAATATTTTTTTATTATTAAATTCAGATATACTTTCAATGATCCGGAGCTGAAATTTTATGAAAACAGTTTGGAGTACTTCAGAGCCAATACAAACACATTAGGACTTTGCGATAGAGTGCCGGCTATGAAGTTAATCTATGGTAAAGTTATAAATAAAACTTTGGATGTTGTGGATCAATTGTCTACTAATGTCAAACAACAATATCTCAATCGCATACCTGTCCACCAAAATGGAGTCGTCAATGATTTTTGTGACGCTCTTATTGAGGCCAAACACGAAGCCATTGCCGAACAAAAAGATACTGCAATTCATTTTACAGACACTAACTTATCATTAGTCATAATTGACTTATTTATGGGTAATTATTAGGACTTTTAATTATTTTGTCGTTAAAATTGATGACAATTGTACCTAAATTTTAACATTTCTGTAATTATTTAATATATATATATTAATAGCCGGAATCGACACATCACAGTATATGATGCGATGGATTATACTGTTTATGGCTAACAATATTATAATGCAAAATAAAATGAGAGATGAAAATCAATGATCTAATTGGTGACCGAATGGTAACACATGAAGACAAACTTAACTGTCATTATATCAATGCATTTATTGCCGAAACTTTACGATTAAGAGGTATTACACCGTTAGGCGCACCACATGTTGCTATGTGTGACACAAAAATGGGTAAACACTATATAAAAGAGGGTTCATTTGTAATGAGCAATCTATGGGCCATATCTCAAGATCCCGAACTATTTGACAGACCCGAGGAGTTTAATCCAAACAGATTTTTGTCTTCAAACGGAACTTACAAGTCATCGGTTCCCGGTTTTGTACCGTTCGGTATCGGTAGACGTATTTGTTTAGGCGAAAAGTTGGCACTGACCGACTTATTTTATATAACTGTGCAATTATTACAATCAACAACACAGTCAATGTGGACACTACCCGGTGGTGACGGAAGTGCCGATTTGGAACCCAATCCTAATATTTCTTTTTTTAATGTTCCCAAACCTTATGAAATTATTTTGAGAAAAAAATGATTTTTACTAATTTTTTTATATAAATGATCATGCACAAATATATGTGATAAATATTCCAAATAATTGCAAGTTAATTAATATAAAGATAATATTAGATAATAATAAACTATTAGTAGTAATTTAAATATTTTTTTTATTTAAAAATAATTAAAAAGATTACTTAAAATGTCTATTTTTAACACATTATGTATTTTATACTAAAGTGAGAAATGTATTATATTTTAATTTACATTATTATCAATAATATTATTTATACAGAAAAACCTTGAATTTTTACTTAATATAAAACATTATTTATAAATACTGTATATATTTACTACATTTTATTACTTTTACTAAATACTATAGTATTACTAATATATGGAGACTTTCATACGTCACTTAGTCTTATTGTATGATATTTTGTATAAAAATTATTTTACATCACTTTAAGTACAAATTGTACTGTATATGCAATTTACAGATCTTATATCAAACAATATAATTATATTGTAATAACAACATAACAGACAAAAATTTATTATCGACATAATTATAACTTATATCAGGGTTAAGTAAGGGGGGTAGGGGTAAGGCCAAAATACCCCCCTAAGATTGAACAGATGGGAAAAATTGTCGCTTAAAAACGAGGAGAAATGACCCCCACCCCTAAAATTTCGGCGCTAAAGTTTTTAAAAATTTTAATTTTAATTAAAACTATTTTAGTATGTTTTTATGTTTTTAAAATTTATATGAATCTAATTATTGATTAAAAATAAGTAAAAAAGTTAAAATAACGTTAAAACTCATCTAAAAATAACATAATTTTAATTAAAATATTAAGCTAAAAAATTAAAAATTACCTATTTGTTATAAAGAGTAATCATATTACAATTTAAATATTAGTTTAAGATAGTTTAAGAAGTTAATAAAACAATAAATACTTATTACAAGGTTTTTATTAATAATTTTTAAAATTTTAACTAAAAAATTTAAAATATTTTTAATTTTATAATTAGTATTCAGTCAGTATTTATATAAAAATAACATTAAAAAATAAAAATATATATCTATAAACTATAAACATTAAGTATTATTTAAATTAATTATTTTAAAAGTTAAAAATTACCAAAATACTAAAAAACTCATAGTGTATCATTAATGCTTTTATCAACTATTTTTAAGTATTAAATACATTATTTTATTTTTTGTTAAAATTTAAGTTTTTGTTAATTTTTAAGTTTTTTTTTTGTATTTTTGGAAGTTTTACCTATTTTCCTGGGAATTTATACGGGAACTTTATCAAATTTACATGTGAATATTCGGGAAATAAGTGAATATTAGGGAATTTTCTCTTGACCCCCTCCTTGATTTTGGATTTTTGAAAAAATTGCCGTTTAAAAATGCAATAAAAATCTTACCCCACCCAATATCCCCCCCAAGATTTTTCGAGAATTTTTTAACCCGGTCTACCCCCCCCCTTAAATCCAAAACCTTGCTTAACCCTGAACTTATATGTACTAAATTAATATACGATAAAAAGTTTTCATTTAGTATATAAATACAGAATCAAATGTAATTATATTTCAATAAATGCAAAAATAAATTATTAACTAAGTTTTAAGTTTATTACACTAAGTGTTTAATTTATATTATATTTTAATAAAAAGATTGTGAAATTATATAACAATGTCATTGCTAATGTTCAATGATATAATCAATTGGTTAATYACAGCMGTCATCGGCTTCGTTACCTTATATTTAGTACGTTTTTATCATCGAGTTTTATCATTACCCAGGGGTCCCATTCCTCTACCAATAATGGGAAATATGATGAGTAAGTTAAAAAATGATAATTAATTTAGAATTTTATTATTGATAATATTTTTATTATTATAGAGTTTTTCAGAACAAAAGAAAATCAATTTTTGATAATCAATTCAATGCATAAAACTTATGGACCGGTATTTACCATTTGGTTGGGTACAACACCAATGGTAGTGGTGTCCGATTATAAATTAAGTAAAGAGGCATTCAATTCAAAGGGAAATGAATTGATGGGAAAACCTAAAACAATATTTAGCAAAATATTGCTTAAAGATGGAAAAGACGTGTTGTTTACAGATCACGGACCTGTTTGGGCCAGTCTTAGGCGATTAGCCCACTCAGCTGTTAGGTATGTAATTATTAATATAATAGTTTTTTTAATTGTAATTATTATAATTTTTATCAATTATCAATAGAAAACTAGCAGTAAGCGAAAAATTTTATATTTTAACCAACGATGCGGTTCGGGAAACGGTCGACACTATGATTGCTACTGAAGGCTGTGATAAACCATTTGATCCAAAAAGTTATATCTATATGTCTGTTATAAATATCATCGCTTCATCAGCTTTTGGCAAAAGGTATATAATTTAATAAATGCTTATAAATATTATAATATTTTTTATATATTACTTTAAAAATATTATTTTTTTTGCAAAATTCAGATATAAATTCAATGATCCGGAACTGAAATTTTATGAAAATAGTTTAGAATATTTCAGAGAAAATATGAAAACATTAGGACTTTGCGATAGAGTGCCGGCTATGAAGTTATTCTATAGTAATGTCTTAAATAAAACTCTTGATGTGATCGATAAATTGTCGTCTAATATCAAACAACAGTACCTAAATCGCATACCTGTCCACCAAAATGGAGTTATCAATGATTTCTGTGACGCACTTATTGAGGCCAAAGAGGAGGCCATTGCTGAACAAAAAGGAGAGCGCATCTTATTTTACAGACACTAACTTATCGTTAGTTATTATGAACCTATTTATGGGTAATTATTTTAATTTTATATTATTTTTGACATTAAATTAGCAAATTATTAATTATTATCAGTAAGAATTCAGTTGTATTTAATTATTATAATATTTTTATAGCGGGAACCGACACAACTCAATATATGATGCGATGGATTATACTATTTATGGCCAACAATACAAAAATGCAAAATAAAATGAGAGATGAAATCAATGATATAATTGGCGACCGAATGATTACACACGAAGATAAAAATAACTGTCATTATATCAATGCATTTATTGCCGAAACTTTACGTTTAAGAGGTATTACACCGTTAGGTTCACCTCATGTTGCTATGTGTGACACAAAAATCGGTGAACACAACATAAAAGAGGGTTCATTTGTAGCCATCAACATATGGACCATATCTCGAGATTCTGAACTGTGGGACAAACCCGAGGAGTTTAATCCAAACAGATTTTTGTCGTCAGACGGAACTTATAAGTCATCGGTGACCGGATTTATACCGTTCGGTATCGGTCGACGTATTTGTTTAGGTGAGAAGCTGGCACTGGCAGATTTATTTTTCATAACTGTGCGATTATTACAATCAACTTCGCAATACATTTTGACACTACCCGGTGGTGACGGAAGTGCCGATTTGGAACCCAATCCTAATGTTATGTTTCTTAATGTTCCGAAATCTTATGATATTGTATTGAAAAGAAAATAATTGAATTAAGTTATTATTAATCATTAAATAAATCATTTCATTAAGTCATTTCAATAAATTGATACTTATCGGTAATTGTAATTTTTATATAAATATTTTTAACTATTTCAAAGATTACGGTAATTACTCATTCGATAAAATACTGGTTCAAAACTATGTGATAAATATGAAATAAATTATTTTTGATACCTTATATTCAATAATGATATGCTAAATAATTAATATATTTTATATTATCTGTTATACAGTAGAAATAATTACGGTACCTGTAAGTCTAATTACGGTAATAATTAAATATTTTTGTACGATAATCGATTTATTTAACATACGGTAAATATAACATATGGTAATATGTGCTGATAATACAAATGAAATCACAATGTATACTATGAAGTAATATCATAAATATAAAATAACCATGCTAACATTACAATTGGCATTATTTAAAAAAATTACAACAATTGATACTTTGAGGCTTTGTTCATACAGTATTAATAATAAATGCTATTTTAAAATACAATTTTATCAATATGTATACAATTCAACAACAATAATAAATATTAATGATATAAATAAAATATATTACAAAATATATAGTCTATAAGGTATACAGCAGTATGTGATTTGTGTATATCTATTGGTGATCATCTCTGGTTTCACCCAAACAGTTATTATTCAAGTCATTGTTATCATTAAATTTGATTGAACACCAAATACAGTAGAAATATTTTTCTCTCAGATATTCATTTATATGTTTTAGTTTGTCTTCAATTGATTCTTCTAGATCTTCATCCTTTTCTTCCTCATCCCCTCCGCCGCCGATACCTTCATCATCACCAGAGCCTGAATTTTGTTCGGCGATTGGCGGCCAAAACCATTTTGGTCGTACAGTTTGATCCAAAAATAGTTTTTCATCTAAACCGGAATCAATATCAAGATTTTTACAACACTTCTGAGCAGTTCTCAAATCTTTTGCCATCAAAAACGACTGCTTTCGGGACCTCTTATGTGACCTAAACTCTTCTTCTAAGTTCTTATCGTCGATTGTTTGTCGTTTTTTATTGGTCTCATTCGGTCGTATGGCAACCGATCCCAATCCTTTTCGATCATTTTTGATCTCAATTCTGATTGGCTCTCTAGCGGTCAAACCTTTCCTACTATCTGTCATCAGTACTGTTGATGCTGTTGTCAATGATTCAGTGGTAGCGGTAGTCGTAACCGAAGTAGTATTGGTGCCATCATTTGACGCCAAATTGACTTTCGATACAATTACCGATTGTTCGCGTGAGGAAACTCCCGGTTCGGACGGTTGCAGTGGTGGCGGCGCTTTAAAACCCATCTTTTCTAAGAGTTTAAAGCCACGGTTGGTGTGATCTAACGGTGTGTTCATTGCTTCTTCCCGTAGCCGCGACTCCATGTCTTTGTAAAAACTTTTCGGTTTCGTATCGGTTATCTGTTTCCTCAGCAGATTGTCGTGTTTGACGCGTTGACTGTGACTATAGAGAAGCGATGGCCGGACATCACTGATTAGTATGGAAGACATCGATGAATATAATCGGATAAATTAGTGGTCAGATATAACACATTTTAAGTGTTCAATCGATGGACAGACAGTCAATCGGCAAAAAAATACTTACTTGTCTTTAGGTATAAACGCGTCCGACATATAATCGTCGACCTCCTCATCCTCTTCCTCGTCGGTGTTGGCAATGCTATTAGTGGCCATTGTTTCGGGTGTTGTCCGGGGGTTCGGGGCTAACACACAGACAACTGTATCAAAACAATAGGTTATTTGAAACAATTGTCTGTCACTTAGTATTTAATATCAAATAACATATAAAAAAATAAATAAAATAAAAACAAATAAAATATCAAAAGTTAAAAACACTTTTGGATTGTATTTTTGGCAAATCATGTTATCACTCATATCGATCAATTGGACCTATTTTATATGCTGTTGCTATGATATGATATTACAGTGATGATAATGCTATAATTGAAAAAGTACCGATGCTTCGATAGTGTTTTAGCCTAAATTTTAAATACAAAAAAATTAAATTCAAAATCAATTTTACGTCAATACAAGTATTTAATACTAAATTACTGTAAAAATGTCATTGAATTTGGACTGAGTTTGCGTACAATTGATGTAAACAAACTGTAAAATAATAATAATTTATTAATAATTAAATTATTTATAATACAAATACAAATAAGTCGTTAAATATTATTATTATTAGTTTATTATTGTTTTTTACTAAACGGTAATTGTATTTTGTGTTTATTTTTTATGATTATTTGTAATTAAACTGATAAATTAGTTTTGTTTTTATTTAATAAATAAAATAATAGTATAATAGTATATAAATAAATTGAAAGTTTTAAAATAAAAATCAATTGATATTTAAATTTATATTTAATTTGTTTTATCCTATTGTTGAATAAATTTGTGTTTTTTTGTATTAAAAAATAACAACAAAAAAGTAATTTTGTTTATTTTTATTATAAAATATTTATTACCACTTAGTTTACGATAATCATTATATAAAACATTTTGTCAGTAAATTAAAGTATTGTATAATAATTATTATTGAAAATATTTTTTCTCTCTCAAAATGTAAGTAAAATAATTATTTATTTATTTATAAATAAACTTTTTATAGCTTATAGTTATTTATATTATTTTTTTGTATATTAAATTATAATAAATATAATGAAATTTTTTACATAATAACTAAGTTTTAAATGTTTTAAAATTACTTAACTAATTAAAATGTTTATATAACGTAATATTATAATTATATTATATATTTAAATATATTTAAATATTATATMTTTTCGTTAGTATATAATTGCTTTATTGAAAAAAATATTTACTATATTTTTTAAAAAACAATTAAATAATAATTAAAATAAGTCAATTATTTWTATATAATCAAAAGTAAAAGCACAAATATTACCTGCGCTAACCTTGATTATAAAAATGTCCTTGTTAATATTTTATTTATATCTGCTTAATATTAAATTTGTTTACATTTTTACATTACAATTTTTTTGTGAAAATTAAATTGATTAATATAGTGAATTAAAAATATATTATAATATATATATCATATATATAAAGTCTTAATCGTTTTACATACAGTAATAATTTGAGTTTTATTATTATATATTATTTAATTCACTTATTTATTATATAAATATATGATATTTATTTATATTTGACAAAAAGTGATAAACTTTTTTTTGATAACTTTTTGGTATAACTTTTTTATAAGTAGTTTATTATATATACACTATATTAAAATGTACTCCTAATGAACTAACTAATAAATAATAATTGTTATAATATTGTAATAAAATATAAATACATTTTAATTGAATAATTTTATATCTTTAACAAACAGATCTGAATCTCTTTTAGTGATAAATTGTGAGACATTTATACAAATCAAACAAACAAAATGTTGAAAGTTTTCCGAAGTATAATAATGGGTTCTCCCGGTTCGGGAAAGGGAACAATCAGTACACGAATTATACGTGACTTTCCATTAGCCTATCTATCGATTGGCGATCTATTGCGTGAACACATGTCTAAGCGCACTGAAGTTGGTTTGGAGGCCCAAAACTATATCAAAAACGGCAAACTAGTACCCGATGTTGTGGTCAATAAGCTGGTCATTGGCGAACTTAGCGAGAATTATCAGACTAAATCATTTTTGATGGACGGCTATCCGCGTACCGTAGCTCAAGCCCAGCAACTTTGGTCGTACGATACGCTTAGACCTAACTGTGCAATCAATCTGTGCGTTCCCGACGACGAAATCATTGAACGAATAAAACATCGTTGGATTCATTTGGCTTCCGGTCGTACATATCATACGCTATACAATCCACCGAAAACTCCAGGAGTCGATGACATTACCGGCGAACCATTGATACAGAGAGAGGACGATAAGGAACACGTAGTGATGCAGAGGCTGTTGGAGTACAAGAAACAGTCGGAAGTGATCATYGAATTCTTCAGGTATTACCAGTTGTTTTATTTATTGGTGATTATGTTATCATCGGTTTAATGTGTTTTTATTTTTAATTGTAGACAAAAAGGCATTTTAGAGAACTTTGTGGCCGAGAGTCAAATGAAATCTATCCTAAAGTAGAACTATATTTAAGTCAACAAATATCTCATCGATCGGCAAAGTAATCAACAAAATGACCAAATAATGGCAAACAGATAAATCATACCATAATTTTTTTGTGTTATTGAATATAATTTTCAATAAAATATTTTTATATAAATATTTTGGATTTTTTATAAATCTCAATTTCTATTAATCAGTAAATTAGGAATTTATTTTTATTAAAAGACTATTTTTTCATTAAATTTAAATACTAATAATACATTATAAATATAGAAATATTTATTTTATCCAATCTAATCTATTTGTTTTTAAACTAAAATTGTTATTATTTTTTTATAATGTTCTCTAATAACAAATTTAATAAATATTAATTTTTTATATACTATGGAATTTGAATTTCACGACAATTAAGAAAATTGTGATAAAATTTTCAAATAATTATGTCTTATAGTTAAGAAATGATATAAAAATAAAAGATAAAATTATATTATAATAACTATCACTAAATTGTGTGTCAATTGAATTGGTCTCTGAATTGATTCAAATAAATTAATGTTCAATAAATGACACAACAATTGAGTCCATTTCAATGTCAATTTGATTGACAAACAATTTAGTGATAATTATTATAATGTAATTTAACTATTAGTTTTATATTATTTCTTAACTATAAGACATAATTATTTGAAATCACAATTTTCTGATTATTATATCTATATTTTAGACAAATTTTAATTAATTTAATTGTACTATTATACTATATTTCTACTAATAAATTACAATTACAGGTAATATTATTAAATTTTAATATATTTGTAATTTTATTTACCAAATATAAATGGATATAGTTTTAGTATACATATTTAAATTTATTTATTTAAATTAAGAATTATTAGTTTAAGTTAAACAGTAATTTAAATTAGAAATTAAATTTTATTTATTATATTTTAATTACAAACAAAACAAAAAAATACAAATAAGTGAATAAAACTCATTTTACTTAAATATTTAAATTAAAAAAAATATCATGCACATTGTGTACAATTGTTTTAAATATTTAAAATTAAATTAACAAAGAAAAATTTAAATTATGCTAATTAACCCAAATATAAAATAAATTAGACTTTAAATTTATAGTAAATACATATACTCTATAGTTTTAAACTTATTTTTAAAGAAAATGTTTAAAAATGAAAACTAAATATAAAACTATTTTTTAGAAATAATGTGTTCGTAAAAACATATGAACTGATAGTTATAATTAATAATTATTAAATTATGACAAAAAAATGAGAGATTTGTTTCCAATAAAAAACAAAATAAAAAATTAATATTTATAAATGAATACTTAATATATAAATTACCGATTCTGTGGACATAAAATTTAATTGAATCAAATATAATGTCCCGTAGAGTTCGGTAAAGTATGAGAAATGATTGCCAATTAATACGTCCGTCGATTACTAGAGACGTATTTCAACGGCAAACTGTTTAATCTTATCCTTCGAGTTCTGGACATTAGTACCAGTAATACGAAAGACATTTACAATCGTTGGCTCAAACGTCACCTCCACATCCCCTTTGCGGCCCTCATCGCGAAAGTCGCCGACTGTAAGCCAGTGAGTGACTCGTTTGGCTGTAGTGGGTCTAAGCGGTGCCACTTTGTCGCCGCCACGACGTGACGACTCCCGACTCCCAGTGTTATTACTTGTCTTATTGGAAGTACTGCTGGCTGTTAACTGTACTTCCGGATCGGCACTGATCTCAACTAAAAAGTTATACTCGCGTTCCTCTTCATCGTCGGGTAGCGACAGACTAATGGTGTCCATCCATACCGGTTGTGATAGTATGCAAACAATTGGGTCATTGAATGCACAGACGTAAAAATTTTTGTTATTCTTCTTATACCAAGACTTGTAGATGAAATCGCAGGCCATATCTTGAAATAGATATTTTGATGACAAGAGATGTTCCCGTAGTCGGACAACACCCGTCGGCTCTTGATAAGCGCCGACAATATTCATCAAACGACGTATTGGTTTTGCCACTAACTCTTTACGATTTTCAGCCCAATCGGCATAACTGGTCACTAAATATATGGAAAACAAATTATTAAATAATTAATTAATAAAGTAAATAAAAAACTAATTTAAAAGTAATTCATACTCTCTGAGACACGTATGTAACGTAACACCAATGGATCAAAAGTCAGTTCAAGTTTATTGCTCGTATGGTATTTGGTAAAGTCATACAGTGTTTGCCACAGTCGGCCATCCAGTGATGTCTCCATTTTGAATGCAAATCGGGCTTTGGTTGAACTTCCCATCCAAACACCAAAACCATTGACCAGATAATACAATCCAAGATCTAACTCAAGAGTATTGGCTTCCTCTCCCAAATCGCCAATTTTTCCACGCAATACACGTGTGGATAACTCGTATTTGCCTCTCAAAGCAACCACATCGGCACCGCTGGTCAAACAATGTGCGCGATTTCTGACCTCTGGCTTATGGTCAGTGAGCTTAGCTTTGGCCGCAGACATAGCACTCAATTCATCGAAAGACATCAACTTTTTCTCTTCAAAAAATCGACGAACTGTTGTCCAGATGTAGTCGTATGGCAATAGAGAGAAGCGGACGGCACTCAACACTCGACGCTTATCCACATCGCGAGCACCACTGCCTACGAGTTCATCAATAAATTCATATTAAATATAAAATTATAATTACAGTAAATATTCATTTTCACCAAATCTTACCGGAGATGTATCGCTTAGCGGCTTCAAAGACCAGCTGTTCCGTCACATTTAGATCGTTTGAATTGAAAACAGCAACGATGTGGTCGACATCGAGTTCGTAGAAGTCGTCGGCGTAGAAGATATCCTGAGTGTTGTGCGCTATAAATGCCAAACATTGGCGGCCGAGTTGCGAGTCTACCTCATTCTCGCCGAAAATTTGTACGCAATTATTCATATCAATGGTCAGACTTTCTCTGTCCTCTATCGGACGCAACAGTTCATCCATATCGAAGCGTTCGGCCAATTGACGGATTTCAGACAACATATCCGGTTCGTAGTCTTCGAGATCGAGTTGACCGGTGTATAGATAGCGTAGTAGTTCTTTGAACGCAACAATCGGTGTGTCCTCCATATCGACACGGCTTTCATCGCTTAACAGATGACGCCATTTGCTGTTTACGGCGAGAATACATTTATGGCCTGAAGAAAAATAGACACAAAAAACAACAATAATTATTAATCTTATTGTCCAACCAATCAATTGGTCGATCAAACCGTTGAACTAACCGTAGACAGTGTCCGGTCCGAAGATAAACTCAATATCAGCGAAATCTTTGCGTAGATATAGTTCGTGAATGTGAAGCAAAAGCTGTTCCTTGTGGTCGACGGTTGCGGCCGAGTGTTGGCCACCGACTGCGGCGCCGTTTTTATGATCGTCGACGGACTCGATTCGGGCCCTCTTTGCCAGATATGACATCATTGGTCACAAAAAAATAAACTGATTCTTGTCTTTCAATAATAATATCACAAATTTTTTTGACACTTATTGTCAATCAATTGAACGATAAAAACAAACAAACAATCAGTCGATTAAAGTAATTGTTATTTATTTTGTTGTTTTGTTTCAAACATACAATCAATCAAAACAAATAAACATTCGATTTGTTAGTGAAAATAAATAATTCGGTCTCTTTTGTCTCTATTATTACTATTGTATCCATCAATTACGTCACATTGTATTTGAATCCCTAATGTATTGTTTAGTACAAAAAAGTTTATTCATATTCTATTTGATTTGTTTACGTAATTTATTAGTCAAATTTAAATTTATTGATTTTTTTTTTAAAAAACATACTATAAAATTATATTACGAATTGCTGAGACGACAACAATGTAATAGAGGTTAATATTATAGTCCTATTCATTAACTAAGTTATCATATTTACAGCTTAGAGTCTATGCTTACAGTCATTGTAAGCATTAAATATGATAACTTAGTTAATGAATAGGACTATAATATTAACCTCTATTACATTGTTGTCATCTCAGGATATTGTAAAAAAATTTTAGTTTAATATATTATATAAATCAACCATTGATTAACATTGCTATCAATAAATAATGTCTTTTACATTAATTATATTGATTTCAATAGTTGGCGTAAAAATTAAAATATAGTACTATATATACTGTAATATTAATAGCTATTAATTAATATAAAATAATTTTATTATAATACAGTAATATTCAACTAATATTAATATTTGTTTTTAAAAAATTTAATTATTTAAATGTTTTATGTTATAATTTTAATAGTTACAAATGTTTATTGTAAAAATAATAATTACCGGTAGTTTAAATTTAGTTTTTTAAAAAAAATATTTAACATGTACAATGCTTTTATTAAATAGTATACTATTTTGAGAACTTATTAAAATTACTAATATTATTAGTAGTAGTAAAGTATTGATTATTAGTTAATTAAACTATTAAATAATTGTTATAATAGTTACTAAAACAGTTATTTATTTTTAAAAAATATTTACAAATAATTACATTAATTTTGTTTAAATTAGTTGATCATTGCAATTATTGAAAATTACTTTTATTATAATCTTAAGCATTTATCACAAAATATTTTTTTTTATTTAGAAAAACTTCTCAATAGTTGCCAAAAAAAGACAAATAGTTTTGAAAAAGTTATTTATTTTCTTATAAATATTTGCAACTGATATATAATAAACTTGTTTTCAGCATATTTACAAAAATGATTTATACAAACAAACTAATTATTTCTATTGTTAAAAAAGTAATATGAGTTGATAACAGTTTACACATTTTATATAATTTATATAACTAATACTTTTTACATATATTTGTGTAATATTTTACAATTTAATGCTTATATTTTTCAAAATCATTGAAATAGTTATTTATGAGTTTTTATAGTTTCTAACCCAACAAATAGTTATTTATAGTTATAATAAAATTTCGGAAATAGCGTCCACTGGTCAACTTCGGTGGACATACTAAGTCCCAGTTATAAGCGTTAAACCGACAAAATAATTTTTTTAGTTGGAAATCAAGACACTAATTATTAATGTACTTTTATTTGCGTAAAATTTTAATAAATTCTCAAAAATAGTAGCATAAAAATAAATAAATTATAAAAATACATGAAAAGAATATTTTATTAAGTTATTGCAATTATTTATTTATTGCTAAAAATATTAATTAAAATGTATTTATTAAAATGTATTACTCATTTTTATAAATAATACAATTACTTTATTTTTTACTTTTTATATTTTTAAAATAATATTTTTTAGATTTAATAGTTATTATTAAATTGACGAATGTTTTGTATATACATTAGTGATTTGAACAAGGACACTTATTAATCTTATTTGTAATCATAATATACTGTAGAAAAATAAAAGATTTTAAACTATAAATCAGTTAATAAAATTATTAGCTTAATATTTAATTTAATGTAAATCTTGTAAACAATTTCAATATATAATACACTGTATAAATATTTTTTATTATTTTTATAGATTATAACATTGGATACATAAATCCCAATAACACAAGTGTTAGGGCAAACAAAATAATAATAAAATGTTTAATTAAAAATAATTTACRGCAATGTATTTAAGTTTGTTTCAATGTCACTAATATTGCTTATTTTTTACTGATATTTTTATTATAATATTGTAAAATACAAATACAAGTATATATATAAACAATTAATACTGTAATATACTGTACGGTATATATATTAATATAAAAAAATAAAAATCTATAAATTTTTTTAGTGATGTGGCAATAAAAACAACAACAAAATAGTTGAATAAAATAAAACACAATTGTTTATCTGAAAAAAATCAGTTTGAAATTTGTTTTTTTGAGTAAAAATATTTTTATTGATAAATATCATTAGTGTCTGWCATTGATACTTAGCATATTATATATATTTATATAAATAAAAATTATTAAATTAATATTTTAAAAGTTGATGCAAACTTTTTTTCATCAATTAATTAGTCATGCATTTAAAATGAAAAAAAACTAATAAAAATATTTCATTTTTTAAATTTCAACATTTTTTTCACTACCGGTACATATTTTTTGATGAAATTATTTAATCAATTATTACTTTTTCTGTAAACTCATTGTATAAATATTTTGTAAATAATTTATATATTTGTTAAAAAAACTTATATAATAATTATTCATTCATTCATTTATTATAATGCAGTGATTTCATAAAAATATATTAAACTAAACAAATATATTAAATAACTTAATTTATATATTCAGATATTAGAGATTAATATTGAATACCGATTTAATTATCCAAAACAAGTAAAGATTTTTTCAATTTGATTAAATACATGACTTTTGATAAACTTTAATGAAATTACCCGAAAAATATAAAATCCGAAAACATTCAACTTTATTATAACTTAGATTAAAACTTTTTAATTAGTTTAAGTTTTTAATACATTTGATACTATTATGAWATAAATATTTCAAAAATATTTTTAGATATATTTTTTTGTTGTTGAATTGATTATCCTAACATATCGGAAAATTACGRTCATATTATCCAAACCATTATCCMAACCATTATCCCATTTTTTATCTATAATTTATACTATGAAAACAAAACTACGAAAATATTTTATTGCTGACTAACTTTAATATTTTAAGTACTGTATAATATTATATAATATAATATACATTACAATATCCGTAAGTCATAAATGTCATAAATAAAACATTTGTTTCTCATTTATTAAAATATATTCTACTATTATTTATTACAATTATTATTATTAGATTTTATGACACACACACACACACATAGAGATATATATATATATAGAGAGAGAGAGAGAGAGAGAGAGAGAATAAATTATTTTAATAAATCTTTATCACAACCATGTTTTAACGCCAACGAAAAAAAACATGTTTGCAATATAACTAAATATAGCCAATGATTTCATWTATAATGTTTGTAATTTTTTATTACATTTATATCATTTGATTCATATAATAATAATAATAATATAATTAAATATAAATATTTGTCATCACTTTTATATTTTCTAKTGATTAGTTATTTGTCATTAGTGTTTTGAGCGCAAAACTGTCTATTAAAACATTTTTTAAAAATTTATTTTAAAACTAATATTATTATCAATTGTTTTTWAAAAAATTTTAGATTTGTGCTTAAATTGCATCTGTTTTTATTAATAATTATTATAATTATATAACCTATTATATTGCATAATAATATTAAAAAAATAGAAATGTATGTCTTTCATAGAAAGTAAGATAATATCGTAATATTTATATTACTGTACACTATATATAAATGTAAAAAGTTTGTAATAAAAATTTAAATAATACTAATAATACAAATACTAACAAACTGTTACAGCGTTACTATATGTTTTAGTATATTATATTGTATTAACTATAAAAAAGTATAAAAAAAACTTTGAAAATTACTGGTTATATCAGTGTTTGTGTGTCTGTTAGCTGTGTATATATATGTGCTATAAAACTTGGTTAGTATTAGCTAACTATGCTTAACATTTAGTGTTATTATTTAGTTGGAAACGTGCCTACAGTTTGGGTGTTGGTTCACAATCTCATCCCATAAACATTTTTGTCTCTCTCATACACATCAAACCATTCAACAACAAAAAAAACCTGTAATAATAATTTGTGTTTTTATAATATTGAATATATWTGTCTAAAAAAACACTTATTATAATATATACTGTTATCAATTAATTTCCTTAATTTAGTAATAGTATATAAAATAATAATTGTTTCATTAAGTTATATTTTAGTTAAAGTTAAAATAACAGTATATTTTAGTTGTGTATTAACTATTATTGTGTTATAAAAATCTTTTTTAAATATATATTTTTTTGCTAGATCATTCAACAATTTGGAAATTAYTTGAATATCATAAACTTTTATAAAGGTATAGTTATTTTTTTAATAATATTTAATAATATATTTTTAACATTTAAAACTTAAAATACATTAGTTGTGTTTATATTTTATTATAAGTCKTTTTTAAGTAAATATTTATAAATATTWTATATATATATATATATATATTTGTGCTATTTTTTAATACAAATAATTTTAGTGTTTTCAAAGCACAGGTTTAATTTATTTAATGTAAAGTTATTTTYCAAAMTTATCWAAATTGATATAAAAATTGTTTACTAATAATTTGTTTAAATATTATCTTAATTTATATTATATTATCTTAATATTCAAATATCTCTAGTTTAGCTAAACAATCACTTTATTACTAATCAAAATTATATGATAATAACATTATATTTAATTAATAATTTCAATTATAATATAAATACAATATAATGAATTGTATCATTATATTAAATTTATTGCAAAATTTCAATTAAACAATTTGTTTGCATTTAATTATATAAATAAAAATATTTATATTTCTGTTTTTCATTTAAATAATAATATTGCCATAAAAATATTTGTGTCAAACACACACACACACACACACACACACACACACACACACACACACAACCAGTGTTGCATAATATGACAACTATTTATAATATACTTGTACTGTATATGTATTACTAAAATATCTATATAATTAAAAMTTGTAATTTATACAAACTATTACATCAAAGGGATTTTTGTTAATTTTTATATATAGAGAAAATATTTTATTATAAAATATATTTTTTATATGAATGTCAATTATTGATATAAGWGTGTAATTGAATATTTTATAGTAAGTGTGTGTACAATATATCCCATTTTGTTTTTTTTGATACACACACACACACACACACACACACACACACACACACACACACACACACACATACATACATACACACATACATACATACATACATACATACATACATACATACATACATATATATACACACACACCTGTGCAATTTAGTTACCTGTTTCTCTCTCTCTCTCTCTCTCTCTCTCTCTCTCTCTCTCTCTGAAAAAATACATTTTCATTGTCTATGTAGTTGTTGGTGTGGTATTAAAATTCAATGGCAAATATATAACAAACAAAACAACATTTTTTCTGTTGAAAATATACAGTACTTTATTATTATTATTATTAGTGTATTATATTAAAAACCAGTTTTCTGTACAATTATTATATGATATTAAGGATGCGATTTTTATCTCGTGAACCGTAAACAGTTAGCAAAATATCTACATTACTGCCCCACTGTCCTAATGGTTTATATATATAAATATTTTTTTATACATTGCAACTWTAAAAAGATATTAAATCAAATTGATAAATAAAACTATCAATATATATATATATATATATATATATATATATATTTTTAAAATTTAGTAATTAGAAAAATATAAATRAATTTATTAATATTAATAATAWATTGTGTTTTATTTATTATATTATTTTGCACTTTCAATGTTACTTTTAATAAAAAGCTAGTAATATGATTAATATAGTATGTTATTATAAACAATATAAAATAATAACATACATTTATTAATATCAAATAACTTTGTTTGTACATTGTTTGTAATAATTTACATATTAATTATACAGTATATAAAGTTCAARCAACAAATACCTAACATTTGATTTGATTTATAATTAAAATCAAATTAGAGATATTAATAACAATATCATTGAATAATAATTATGTTTTAAAGACAATTATAAATAAAATTATAAATTAAAAATTCCCGTTTAGTTTACATTATCATTAAATTTCTTTGGAATTTAAGATTCAATGGAATCTATTGATATTAAAATAAATTTTTTTATTTAAAAATTAAAATAAATATGTTTTTCTACAATGAATTTTAAGTAACTATATTTATGCAAAATTTATAATTAATTATTTAATTTTGACATTAATTGATTTCTAATATATTGTTTTAATCTCTATAATAATTACAGTAAATGGTGTATAATAATTGTTTTACTTGATTAACAATTATTCATCAAAGTAAATTATTCATTTAATAAAWTTTRTGATGATTTAATTTTTAAATATATCTTTTGTTATATAATTAATATAAATTAGTAATAACTAATTAAAACATTTAGATATTTTAAACACACATATTATTAAAATAATTTTTAATTCTTATATTTTTATATTTAGATAAATTTAAACTAAACAAACCATTGAAAGTATTTGCTAARCATTTAGATTATTATAAAAATGTTTTATTTTTAAAAATAACTTTACGATTAGTCATTCATTTATTTTTCTGAGAATTAGCGGTTAATGTTGTTTTTGATTTTAAATTATCAAAAGATAGTATTCATTTAATTTAAACACACTTTATATTCATTAAATTTAATGTTCAGAAAAAAATAAAATAAWTTATTTATGTAAATATTAGTGATAAGATTTAGGATTATACAGTCAGAAAAAATGTATTCAAAACATATTAATTATTTTTGTAATTATTTTTTTATTTAATATTTAAATTAATTAAATATGATATTATAAAATATTTGAGATATTATTAATTTAATGCTTTGATGTTTCGGCATATAATCAATTAATTTGTAAAGTAATAGTAATGTTTAAAAAAAAATTAAATCTATAGATAATACATGTACTAAAACAACTAATTGACAATATTTAAATGTTTAATACATGKTAAATGTTGTTATAAAAAAATTGATAAATTTTATATTACTTGAGAAAAAACTCTTTCAATTGTAATTAAATATTGTATATAATCTTAATAATTGTTTTTAAAATTGTTTTTAACATAATTTTTTACATTTATTATCCAACCTAGATAATTTCGACCAAACATTTAATCAACAATGCCATTTACGTGTTCCGATATCTGCAAGATTATTTTGGCAATTATATTGCCACCATTGGTAAATATAATAATAATAATATTATCATAATCACTTAATTTAATATATATATATATAAATAAATAAAATAATTTATTTTTTTATAATTAAAATTATTAAAAACAATAGGAAAAATTTAATATTAATTTATTGTTTAATTATTTTTTGTATGTTTTTTAGGGAGTGTTGGCTGAGAAGGGTTGTGGTGTCGACCTTCTCATTAATATAGCCTTAACTATACTGGGATTCATACCGGGAATCATTCACGCGCTGTATATTATATTTAAATACTGATGTTTGCCATTACTCTATGATTTTTTAAGTAAAACGATTACTACTATTATTAAAGAAAATAAAATTTATTACAACAAGCCTTTGAACACACAATCAAAAAAAAAATGTTTTTAAAAATCATACAATTATTATGTGTAACTAATTTTGTTTACTCTAATTATATTTGCGGCCAATTTTTATTGTTTGTCTCAAAATTTATAAATATATATTAATGTTATGTATATGTTATTAACTATAATACACTGAGAATTGAATATTTATCATGTTTATAAATTTACATAATTACGATATAAAAAACTATAAATTAAATAATCTAATTAATGTTTGATAGTTTTAAACAACATTATTGAAACATTATTGAAATTATTGAAAAAATAATCACTATTTTAAATTTTTGCATAATTATGTCATATATTATATCTTTACACAAAAATAACAAACATTTTATGAAAATTTATAATTAAAATAAAGAAAAATGATTTTAATTTTTAATTATCATATTATTTTATTTTTMATTTTTTTATTTTTATTCACTTTTTCGTTTWTTGTTGGTATTAATGAGTTGGCATTTAAATAAAATAATATTAAATTAATATCAATTTGTGTTATTATATAAATAATATTAATAGTAATATACTTATATATATAACACACACTCTAGTGATTGTAAAAGAAATCAATCGAAAAAAATATTAGACATTAAATTATTTWWAAAAAAAATAATTAATATTTAACACATAGAAAGTAAAATACTAAACAATATAATACTAATAACTATTAAAATAATAATAATTTAAATTTATTAATAAATTGTTTTATAATGTTTAATAAATYTATAATATTAATCAATAATATTGAAAATTTCTATTATTGTCAATTAAAATAAATTTTATGAATAACCAAAATAAACATAATTTTAATTTAATTAAAAATATTAATTAAATTTATTGATAAGTGTCAATAGTTAATAATTAATATCAAGTTTTTATTTTATTATTTTGAAAAAATATTAATAAAAGAAAAGTCTAAAAAATATTATCAATAGTTTAATTAAATTTAAATATTGTAATTTATAGTAAAAAAWTRATAAGAAAWSAAATTTGAATATCAGATAAAACTTAATTTTTAATTTATTTGTTGAATAATATATAACAAATTAAACTTGTATTTATAAAATYTCATTTAATAAAAATCTTRTATAAAATAAATACAATTTACTATAATATGCACATCAAGTACTTTCACACCTACACACACAYACAYACAYACAYACACACACACACACACACACACACACACACACACATACACACACACATATATATATATATATATATATATATATATATATACATACATATACACACACAAATTCAATAAATCTATACACAWKTAAACATTAATTAATAAAGTAAAAAATAAGTAAAATTAATAATTTATTTTTTAATATTTAATTTTATGTAATTAAAAATAAATAAAATGACAACAATTTATTAGTTGTGAAAATACAAATTTTAATATTTTTTTATTTATAATTATAATAATAATTTTTAGTAATATTAATATTCATATTTATATTCATATCCATAATTCACTCAAATATAATTTATCTCACAATTTGTTTTATATGTAGTAATAATAATAATAATAATATACAGCAAAAATATATCTATATTTTATCGAAAATAAAATAATAATAATAATATGTAKTAATAATAACAGTGTCTTTTGAAATGACTTTTTTAATATATAATAATAATTATAACAATTTATATTTCAATTTTTTTCGTTACTCAATATACAATAATATAACTCTTTTAGTTACTTTTTTATATAATAATAATAATTATATAAACAATTTTTTTTCTTAAGTAACTTAAAATATTCATACAATTTGTAATCAATCGAAAATAATAATAATAATAATAACTTACATATACATAAATATATATATATAATCAATAAAAATTATATTTAATAATAATAATTTTAATAATAATATTCATAATTATAGTCAAACAATTATTAACTAATCAATTATTAGWATAAATTCAATTAAAATGCTTGACATTTGACAATCAATTTTTCAATCAAATAAAATAATAATTTGTTTTTGTATAACAATCAAAATGTTTTGCTCTAATAATTTAAAGAAAAATATAACATTTTTTGTTGTACCAAACTTTATATATATATATATATATTTATGTAATCAAATATTTAATTTAATTTAACAAAATAAAAATTATATACTTATTATTATTACTGATTATATTTTAGCGACAAGAGAGAGATAGACATATGGATGACATTTCAAATCAAATAAAGTAAAATAAATATTTATTACAATAAAGATGTGCACAAATAACTATACAATAAATATCCATATCTGACACACAAAAAACATGTTATCAATTGAATATAATATATATATATATATCACTTCTATTGTAAAATATTTTTTATAATAATATTATCAGAAAAAAATCAATAATAAAAAACATATGTTTGTTATGTGTTTGTGTATTATAATATCATCTAAAAAAATGTATTTATAAAAACTGAGCCAAAGTTTTTTTTTAATAAGTGAGTTATTCTCTCAATTGTTTTCTCGTAAATATATATATATATATTAAAGCACTGAAAATTCAACAAAAATAATAAAATAGTAATAAATATATGATAGTAATTAGCAAACTTTTGGTTGTTTTTGGTTAAAAACACAAAAAAATAAATATTTATTACACATATTATTATTGTACATTTAGAACAAATAAAATTTAACAATTTGTGTGAAATGTTTCATTTTTTTAAATTAAACAAAATAAACTAATGATATAAATATATATAAATTTTAATAATTAATTATATACTATTTACAATGTACAATAAAAATAACTAGTAACTTTTAATTTTTAATGATTTCAAATCAACTTATTATAACTATTAATATATAGTAATAATGATTATTATTTAAATTAAACAAAATAAAACACAAATTTATATATATATATAAATGATTATATTTAAAATTAATTTTACCGTAATATTATTTTATTTCACTTATACTCAGGACTTGTAATATTTGTAAATCAATTTTTTCAATGTATTGTTTTCTTAATTAATGTGTTGTTGTTTTTTTTGAATCGGAAATAATTTATAATTGGCAGTTTGCTAATCAAAAAATATCATAGCTTAGATATATTTTTAATTTATATTTATTTATTAAAATGTCTCACTACTAGACTTATCCAGGCAATTCACATTTTTWTTAAAAAAAATCGCTCAAAAATAATAAATTTTAATTTTTAAATTAGAAAACCGTGTACTTTTCATCCAATAATATCATCAATAACTACATTATATATATCTCTCTCACTTATGCTTTTTATAATTAAAAATATAGATAAAATTATTGATAATAATTTTAGCTAAAAAATTAATATATATATATATATAAAGCACCACTAAATGTTCACTGGGACATTGATGTTAGATAAAATCGTTATTTTGTTTAGAAAATATTTTTAAAATCTCACAATCTCATAACCAAATATAAATTGATCTAGTATAAAATGTTTGTCAAATATTAATTATATATTCAATAATAATAATAATATTTATATAACATATGTGTTTTTGTATGTGTATTTGATGTCATTAAAAAAATCAAATGAAAAAAAAACGTTTTGTTTATATATTTGTTTTCTAAATAATATAATTAGCGATAGAAATGTATAGATTATGCCCAATCAATGAGATGCGCTATTAATTATTAATAATAATTAATAACAATTGTATTATACTATTGAATGTATATATATATATATATATATATATATATATATATAATATATGATCAGTTTGTTAATGAATCGATGTTTGTTACCCAATATAATGTTTTTCTCATAATAACAATCAATATGTTATTACTTATTCATCATATTATATATTTGTAAATGTGTTTTATGTTTTTAAATGTATAATAAAAGTATTATAATTATTTATTAACATATATTTGTAATGTATATCATGATAACAATTTAACAACTTTTTAAATAAATTTTATGAATTCATATATTTTACAAATGATTTTTAGTATTTTTGTTTTTTTGAAAAATAATTATAATATCATTCATTTTCAGTAACATTTTTGATGACACATTTAAACACAGATTTTTCATTAAACTTTTTCTCACTTTTCATGTATTGTTTTTGTTATTGTCTCTAATAATAATATTTTTAAAGCAATTTGTGTATTGTTTGTTAATCAAAGAGAAAGAGAGTAACTATTAGTAATATTGTATACAATTTTTTTATGACATATAATATGTGTTTAGATATACAATTCAATCACTAAATTATCAAAACTTGTGTAAAGATATTTATTATTATTTTTTTATTAAGAAATCTAATTAAGAAAGAAATACTATGAGTAGGGATTCAAAAAATACACGTAATGTTTGTTGAGATAATTTATATTAATATATATTTGTTAAAAAATATCTGTAATTTTATAATTTAAATAAATGTTATTTTTTTAGTTAAAAAGTAAATGATAATTTAGAGCTAATGTATATAAAAATTTAAAAATTAGATTTATATGTGTAATTAGGCAGTGATTTTTGAATTAATCCTATTTAATAAATTCACTTATATTTTGTTTAATGTGAAATATTTAGTTTGTGAAAAATATTCATCATCTCAATGATTTTAAAAATATAATAAGCCTGATAATCATTTTCAATAACTAATAAAATAAAATTTTTTAAAAATTGTTTCAACATATATATATATATATATATATACTGTATATATGAAAGTTGTGATTTACAATGTTATGCAAGTAAATGGCAGCCAAATAGTAAACTTTTAATTAAGTCAATTTTGTTGTTGTTGTTGTTATAATTAAATATTTATGTATAGCCCTATATTTTTGTCTAATGATGTTGTGTCAACACAATAATTTTAACAATACACACATTTTATTAATAGTAATAACTTTTTTGTATTTTTATTTATTTGTTTATTTTTTGTGTGAAAAAAAATTCCTGAGTTTTATAGCAAATTGTATGCTTATGTAATAATCGGTATTATATATATATATACATGTAATTTAAATTTATATATATATAAGATTCTTGTATATTATTATTATTATCATCATTTAATTTAGTTTTATATGAGAGATAACAAACGTCTCATTTCATTGCAATATCACTCTGGCTTTTACAATAAAAATATCTTTAATAAATTTTTATATATCAATAGATAAATAACATATCAATCTATCGACTTAACCAAAAAAATATATTTATGTTTTTTTGTTAGTCAAATATTTGTCTCTTTTTTGTCTCTAAAATCTATTGTCAAAATACCCTAAAATCTTATATATGAAATATAAATACATTTCTTGAAAATACAATCAAATATTAAAAAATAAAAATAGCTTTTCATATTTTTTCTTAAAATACAATCAACAATACATATACAGAATATTCTGTAACTATCATATAGCTATATCATAGATAATAATAATATAATTATATATATATATATATTTATATAGATGTGTATAAAATCTCAATCATTTTTTCAATAATATTGATTCATCAATATTTATAACTTAAATATATATATAATTTTTATAAATATAAAAAGCATTTAATAATTATCCATTAAAAACAATCAATAAATTCAATCATTATTTAAGCTATATATATATATATATATATATAGTCATTCAAATATATAGATAACATATATTCGATTAAAAAATAAATTATAATTATATCATCAATATATATATATATATATACTGTATATGTAAATAAATTTCATAATAATTAATATTATAAATTAATGATTAATAATAAAACATTATATTTTTCTGTTAAAGGCAACAAAATTTAAAAACCARTTCAATCAATATATTTATGTAGTATTTGTTATGTATGAATATTTAGATGTTATATTAATGTCACTTATTATTAATGTATTATTTCACTCATTATGTGGTTTTTTATGTTTGATTTTTGTTGGTAGTGTTACTCCAAGTTTTTTTTATGGTTAATCAATCAATCAAACGTTAGGGTCAGTTGAGTTATTGTCAAAAAATGGTTTGTCCGGTTATTTTTTTTGTACAGTCGTTCATCAGGTTTTTTAGTAGATTTTTCAATTGCGATGATTGATGTAGTGATGGCCGGCACCCATATATATATCACGAGTCGGTTGTGAGACAGTGATCCCATGCCTTGCAAATTATTTGGCCGATTGCTTGATATYAATGCATACGGCGTCCCATACTCTTAACACCATAAGATGATGAGAGCACATAAATGGTACACAAAAAAAAAGTTATCACCAGCACTGGTATGACCAAAAAAACAAAGTCCATGAGCCCATGATTTATAATGCAATATAGTTGACAAAGTAAAAGTGTACAGTTATATGATTAAATCCCAGTGCAATATATATATACACAAATCCCAAACAACTTTCTGTTGTTGTTATTATTATTATTATTAGATAAATGCGTTGACATTATTTTTAATGAACGAAATAACAGCAACAAAAAAACGGTTTATCCAAACAAATGTAATAATAGTAAAAATGAGAGCAACAAAAAAAACAGTTATTTTGTTTTGAAAGGTATGTATGTTTGTGACAATGAAGTTATTGAAAATTTTCTTTTGAATCTTTTTGAAAATGTAATTATGTTTTCCCTTTAATTTTTGAATTGCTTGTCATTTTAAATTGAAGTCGTGATTAGCCAACAAAAAAAATTGTATTTCACGATAGATATAGAGATATAGAGAGAAAGAGAGAGATAATGACAGATGGGTTCACAGAATTGATTGAAAATATTGCCGATTCATTGAAATTTGCAGAGAAAAACAAAACAATAAACACAAACAAAATATATATCACTTTTATCACAATCGAAATGATGATCGGTTAGTAATTAATAGAGACAACAAAAGTTAAGCATTTATATAGAGATAGATTGAGAGAGTGTATGTGTTTGTGTGTGAGAGAGAGAGAGAGACAGTTAGACAGTAATTGTAAATAAATTAATTTTCTTCTCTTAATAATAAAAATCTTGAGGTATTTATCGGAAAAAGTAGGTGTTATCCGGAATCTGTGTATTTGTATATAACGAGTACAAGTGTGCTCTTCAACAACAAAAAATATATACAATTGAGTGCTTCTCTTATTTGATGATTGGGTGGTTTGGATGTATCGGTATTTTCCCAGAGTAGTAAAATTAGGCCAAATAATAATAATAATGTATAGTCATATTGTTTGTTAAATAAAAACTTTTTTTTAATTATTATCATTATTATTAGTAGTATTATCGATTTAATTATTAAACAGTCGAGTCATAATTTTTTTGTAAATAAAATCAATTGAACTTTTTTTTTATTATAAGTTCATAGTATATAGATTTTAATTAATATATTTATACTTTATCAGGTAAATATATATTTATATATTCTATTATCAAAAATTAATCTTGTTCAATAATCATCAATCATAATTTTTTTTATAATAAAAATAATTATAATATATGATTTCTTTTCTCTATGTTTTCATATACAATATATAAAATCAAATATAATTTTCATTCCTCTTTTTTTGTATAATAAAAATAAAAATAGAGGATACAAACAATAGATATACATAAAATCTTAGATATATAATATATTAATAATAATAATCATAAAAATTTCCAACAAATAATCAATTAATCGGTAAAAAACATAACAAAATAAAAAATATTTTGCCATTTAGTTAGTTATTCTTTATCATCATCACTGTCTCTCTCAGTTTAAATTTTTCAAGAGTCTTATCTCATAGTAATCAAGTAATTACAGAAATATATATATATATATATAAAATAAAACAATATATTGTCTCTTATTTTGTTAAACTCATTGGTTTTAAAAAATGTATATATATGTAATAATAGTAATAATAATAATTAATAATTTAACAACAATTAGCAGTTGAGGTGTGTGTATGTATGAGAGTGGGTGTGTATGTGTTGTAGTGAGTGAATGAGTGTTTATTAACAAATTAGTGTCATCTCATTCATCACACAAACACATATATAGTCATTGATGATATCCAAACATAAAACACATTATTATAAATATCTTATAAGTTCAACAAATTCATAACAATAGTGAAAGCAATACAACCCACTGAAAATCTCAAGTGGGGTCAGTCAAAGTCAATTGTGAAGTCACAGTCGGTCAGCACTGGTATGTTATGACGGTTCAGATAGTAACTGCTGGAGTAGACTTTTCTTGCCGTCACCTGGTTTGACACCCGTGTCATCCTATTTGTAGAAACAAAGAGATAAAAAACGCTAAATTAATATATAAATAATGTAAATACCATTTTTTGTTTTTGTTTAATCAAACAATACTTTTAGTAAAAAATTTGTTTCTTTCTCTCTCTCAATAAAAACTCAAAATGTGTAATAATATACTGGCTTTAAATTAATGTGTATGTATTTTGTTTGTAAATGTGAACAATACATGGAAACTGGTGTTTTATGGATTAGTCATATCAGGCCATACCATAGAATTAGTTCGATTCATATTGAAGCTCAATTGGGAGCTCATGTCTGAACCGGTGTCGCCAATGTTGTTGAGCAAACCGGACGTAAAATCATCGTTACTGTCGGACATAAAGCTAAACATATCGAGATCGTACAGTTGTTGCTGTTGTTGTTGTTGTTGCTGCTGCTGTTGCTGTGAAGATTGGGCGGACATTGATGGCGGTGGCGCTTGATTTTGTAACTGTTGATGTTGTTGGGCATTTCGGCCGCTAATATGACTCCTGAGCGACTCCTTCACATACTCGGAAGTCATGCCAGAGTTATTTCGGTTAGATTGCGGACCCATTGGTGCAGATCCTGGCGTCTGAGGTGTGGTGGGCTGACTACTTGTGGCAACATATGTCTGGTCAAAGTTGAACTCAGTGGACGATTGCTGGTATGTTGTCTGCACCGTTTGGTAAGGATTGGATGGCGACGACAGTGATGTCTCATTGGGGAAACGCGGAGAGTTGACCCGCATCGGTGACGGTATAGAACTAACACTCATACGTTGGCCAACTCGGACGTTGGTCATCGGTTGCTGTACAAACTGTTGACCAAATTGTTGGTCCGGATATGGTGAGCTCCGGGCATTATGGGATTGAGGTGGTGCCGAGGCTCGCATTGCACGTGGTGGAAACCGTTGTTGGACGGTACCGGCGTAGGTGGGAGTTGAACCTAAACATTGTTAACAAAATTAATACAAATTAATATATTTTTTAATTAAAATTTAAGAAAAATTTATTTATACAAAAAAGTAATAATCAATAATTATGTTAATGTTTGCTCTATAATCTTAAAATAGTTTTTTTGATGTAATATTGAAATATCGATTCCTGATTCATTAAACTACCTGTGCATTAATGTCTTATTATTATGTGAGGTAACTGTGCTCTTCTCTAAAGTTTGATAACATTATAATAGTTTTATTAACTTATTTTTTTCATTGCAATGTTTAGTAAATACAATACAATGAAATTACCAGTGAATGAATTTTTGTCGTCGACAATATAACATATATTAAACAAAAATAAAGTAATAAAATATAATAAATGTCTGCAAATTTATTCAACAAATGTTTCATAAAAACCTAATTTATTCATTCATTATGTTGTAATTTAGCGATAAATTGCTTAAATCATACTCAAAACTAAGCTAAGCTAATAACTTATAACCATAATATAAAACGCCTATACAAAAAACATATACATTTATAAATATAGTAAATATAGTCTGTATTAACATATGTCTACATATTTAACTAACATTTGATTAAATATAAGAAATAATATTTTTATTAACATTATTTAGATATCTATATAATGTCTCAATGTTTGCTCAGTTAGTCAACACACTAGCAATGGAGTTGTATTGAATAAAAATAGACTTATATCTGATATTACATATAACTAATAATATTATATATGAATTAAATACAGTAATACACTGAGAGTCGGTCATACACACCGGTGCTTTAGCACAATATCTCTCTAAATATAAGTGAAATTAGTAGTGCAATAATGTCAGGCGTTAGTAGACAAATATAGTCAGTTATTATTTAATAAGTGTCGGTGCCATTGGCGTGTATGACATCTCTCTCTATATCATATATATATATATATATATATATATATATATATATATATACAATTTATTCACTATAGACAAGTTATTTGAACCCTAATTGCATGACACGAGATATGGATAGCAATAAACTGAGTAATAAAATACCATAAAATATATATAATTATGTTATATAATATCGGATATATAATTACAGGTGAATCTGTTTTCATTTAATTAGTATACAAATTAATGTTTTATAAACATTTATTTCATGTTTTGTAAAATTAAATCATTAAATGTTATGTCAATTGCCAATAAAAACAAATATATCCCTAAACTTAATATGAAATTATATAAAAGTCCAAATAATATATGAAAAACAATAGTCAAAACATGTAATACCCGGGCAGTGGGATAGTGTGTCAGTCATTTTAATGGGAACTTTACATTTAGAAAAGTATTGATAAAATCTAAGTCTAAAAACACAAGTATGTAATAATATATATATTGAGAAAACTGTGGATAATTATAAAATCATTTAATAAATTATGCAATTATTCATCACATAATAAATCAAATTACTTGAAACAAACACTTATATTATTATTATAATAATAGATGAGAAACTAGAAGACAAGTGGGTATATAAAACTGGTATAATTTATTAATGTTGACTAACCTGATAGCTGTGCATTGAGCATAGGATTTGTCTTCTGTAGAGACACTCCCTGTCCGGGTTGTTGGCCAACCATCTGAATGTTTTGTTGTTGTTGTCCCGACATTTGTGGCGGCGGTCGCACCACAGCCTGAGACCACGAGTTGGTCTGTGGCGACATCTGCATTAGCGGCGAGTTGGGACCGCCAGCATTGGCGGGCGATGGCGAAGAGACAAAGTGTGGAGACATTCTGTGTGTATTAGCAGCGGCTGCGGCGGCCGGATAGCCACTACTACCCGACGGACTAGGATATGACTGTTGGGCGGAGGCGGGAGAATACGGAGCCCGCGAGGCCGCCTGCGGGCCTGGACTCAGCTGCGGTGCCGGTGACTGAGGTAGTGGCGACGGTACGGCATTTTGACCGGTGTTCATAGGCATTCCGTATCGAGGAGAATGCTGCGATACATCACTGGCGCCACCGGATCCAGGTGTTTGTGGTCCGGTTCGGGGTTTGACTGTTAGAGCCACATTTGGCGCCACCGAATTATTGAGCAGTTCATTCATATTCTCGGGAAAGCCCTGAAACGTAATGGCATCCGATTGTTGCGTTTGTGGTATCATTTGTTGCTGTGACTGTTGGGCCAGTAGGCGCTTCTGTTGTTCCATCATTTTTCGGTCAGCCAACTGTCGACGCATATGCAACTGTCCCGGTTTCATCTGAACCGTTGCGGCCACTTGTGTCAAATTTGGATTCAGCTGCATGTTCTGCGGCAGATATTGCTGTTGTTGTTGTCTCGGTTTAGGCATTCGCGCGCCCTGTGGTCGTGGCTGTAGTTGAAAGTTGGCCTGTGGTGACTGTACACCCTAATTATATTTATAAACAGTTAGATTTTAGACATTTAAAATAATATAACACACAACTATGTACCTGTTGTCCACCACCAGTCATAGGCTGTCCATAACCCGTTGCTGTGTAAGCGGGTGGAGGTATTTGTTGATAACTGGGCGCAGTTTGCGTTGTCGACACATTATTGAAAGACGGCGAGACCACATTCATTGAGGTGGGTGTCGTCACTTCAAAGCTCATCAGTTGTTTTTGAATGGCACTGATCGCCAGCCGCTCATTGAGATCTGGCGGCGGTCCCGGAGTGGTAGGAGTGGCCACATTAGGTGCTTGCGGCTCAATAACCTCTTCGAGTATACGCAACAACATTATGTCCTCATTTTGCTGTGAATTAGATGTCTGCCGGCTTTTGTTATTGTTATTATTATTATTATTGCCGGCTGTATTGGCGGGCAGGTCTAAGTTCATCTCTTGCTGCATACTAATAAAGTCGTCCAAAATAGACGACAGTATGGGATCGGATGCCGACTCATCAAAAGATAGTTGCGGCGGATTATTGGCTGTCGATATATAAGTTGGCAGCTGTTGTTGGTTAGACTGTTGCTGAACTGGAACAGATTGTTGAAAGAAAGACTGTTGTGCCTGCAATGGTGTATGAGGTGTTGTGGCTGAAACTTGAGGCGGTTGTTGATGCCTTAGTTGTGACTGTTGTTGTGTCAACTGCTGCTGCATTGTCACCGATTGACCGGATTGTGTCTGAGCCATGAGAGCCCTGATCTGTGGATGATGTTGTTGTTGTTGTTGTTGCTGCTGCTGTTGTGATTGCGGACGATCTGATAAGATTTGGTTCAAATAAGATTGTGTTTGCGGTGGTTGTTGTTGTTGTTGTTGCTGCTGTTGTTGGTGAACAATTTGTTGTTGAGATTGCGATGCCATTTGTTGAAAGTCTTGTATGCGAATGGGATGTTGTACTTGCGGTTGAAGTTGTAAACGCTGAGGAGTGGTTTGAAAATGCATCTGCTATTTGGACAACAACAACAAAATAATAAAACATTAACAAATTATTCAACTAATTAATCCATTGTACAAACTTGTTGAGGTCTAAGTTGTCCAACACTTCCCATAGAAATAATCATTGGTTGTGTTGAATGAGGCACTGTTTGGGCCACTGATGTAAAGATTACTTGTCCGCCACTAGACTGTGTTAGTTGACCAGATTGTTGGACTTGTAGTGGATGTACATTGGGCTGTAGTGGTGTTGGTATCAGCTTCTTATCCAAATTCTTCGGCAGTTTGGCGTCCGGTGTCTGTGAGATGATAGAAGTGGGTAATGATATCTCATCGGGCATTGATGTAGGAGTTCGGGCCAACATTGAAGCCAACATCGGGTTCTGACCGGCCAGCAATGCCGGCTGATGGCTATGGACACCAGCGGCACGTTTCTGATCCTGTGATAGGGCATCGTAGTGACTGACCGTTTCGTCAATTGATTTGCGTTTGTTGGCCAGTGAGTTGGCCATCACATCGCTGAGACTCGTGGGCAGGGATGACGATGAAGCCGTACATTGGCCTATCCATTGCATATAACATTTATCATTAATAAAAAATCAAATGTATCAATATATTAAAGCATTTTTTGCAAACAATATTTAGGCCAATATTTTGGCAAATCATTGGCTAACAGTGCAATATGTCTGACATGTTATGTAATGTATTTGAAATGCATGTAATATAAGGATATTAAAAGTTGTTGTTAGCAATGATGTTGTTGTTGTTTAGCCATAAAAATTATGAATTAAAAGGCATACTAATGTGTGTGTGTGTGTGTATGAAAGAGATAGAGATAGAGAGAGAGAGAGAGAGAGAGAGAGAGAGAGACTATTAGTATACTGTAGAGCATTGGTATGTGTTTAGGAAAAGGTATATAAAAGTTATGAAATATACAAAAATTTATTTATAAAACTGGTTTTCCTTTTTTTAAAATACAATTTTATGAGCAATTCGTGAATCATTAATGACGAGACACTTAAAGGTTTTATAACATCAATATATATATGATATATAAAAATGGTATATTAATAGTGAGACGAGAGAGTTATCAAATGAGAAAACTAGTAATATTTTTCAGTCATATTAAAGTATAATATAATTTTATCGCTAATAATTTCTTACATTATATTATACTGAAAAATAATTTTTATATATACTCTTTTCACATAAAGTAGACAAAAATATTGACAGCAATGACTTGAATAGTAAACATATGTACACAATCATAATATGTATGTTAAGTGATTGAATACAGGTATAGACTACAGAAAAAATTGTGTACATAACTAAACAATATTATATAAACATCATATATACTATATATATATATATATAGTTATGTGACATATAGTATAATTAAAAGGATAGAGAATTATGTGTTTGTTTTTTGCAAACAGAAAAAATACTTATTTTTCAAGAGTTAGTTATTTAGCGATTTTAGAGTTCATTCAACAAAACAATTGTTAATGAATGCCATTAACAGTCGTACACTATATAAACACACAAATCTATAATATATATATATATATGTATGTAAGGTATGTTTGTTTGTATATGTGTGTGTATGTACAGTATGAAATATGTATATATATGTGTGTGTGTGTTTGCTGTAATAATAGTCACTGTAATATTGGTACACACATTAATTATTGGCATTTCACAATTGACGGCCAAAACTGTATACTTTATTAGATATAATATATTATATAAGTAATGAAGTTTAAGTTTGTATTTAAGTCAAAAAATGCTTTACCATTACGTTAATTACTCTATCGGATAATCGGATCAATTGTTTCATAACATTCAATACCAAATAAACGCACACACAATACAATACAATATAATAATAACAACAATAATAATTAAAATTATATTCATTACGGAGAGTAATAATTCATTTTTTCAAAATAATTGTTAATTTGAATAAATATTTTAATCCTAATTGAAACTAAAACAATTAAATTGAAATTAAATAATAACTTATATACTTATATAACTTATTACTATTTTTATAAATTCAAGTATAAGTAAATAAAAAAAATTAAATTGAAAATTTTCTCCATAATAACTTCAAATTTTAAAAAATACATTCAAAACAGATATTTGATATGTGATATATTTGAATAAAAACCATTTTATGGAAAAATTGTATTCAATTTATGTTTTCATGCGATAATCAATTCAATAGCGATAGGAAAGTAATAGATATGATAACAGCTATAACCGCACACTAAGCACACAAATAATATAAATAAAAAAATATATATAAATATTCATATATAGAGTATCATTGAATTGGATAAATATAAAATGATCTATGTAAAAATGTATATAGTTTATAATAATTATTGTAATAAAAATAGACATATCTATTCCAGTAAGTTATGTCCACAAAATTGAATAAACAAATAAATCTAATTACCAAGATAATACTCAAAATTCATAATGCAAAAATGTCCTAACTAATTATTACGATTGAATATAAATTAATTTCATTAATCCTATTATTAATAATTATAATGTTTAATTTTGGCTAAATAATATTTGTATGCTGGATAATTATTGACAAAAAAAAATAAATAAATAGATAATAATTATTTTTCCATTTATTTACATGAGTTTTTCTATGAAAAAATAAATAAATAACTAAAAAATTATAAAATATATTTTCGTTAGTTATTTTCCCAAAAATTATTATATAAATGAGTGACTGAGTCAGTAAATTTCAAAAACCGCTACTAACAAGAATAAACTGATCGCTCAAAAAAAAATTGAAAATTAGTGATACAAAAAACACACAGTCTTTTTAAGATAATATAAAGTATATATATATATATATATATATTTATATATATTTCAAACATTTTTCACAAAACAAACATTACATTTCACTAAACATTAGTCAGTCCCTAGACTTATCAAAGTCTTTCTCTCGTGAATAACAAAATTCATGAGAAAATACAAGTTTTTATTATTTTGAATACACAAAACACACACCAAAAAATTCACGCAAAAAGTAAAAGTAAAAACCTATTAAATACAAGTTCAGAGATAATATTGTTTTATTTTTGTTGGTTTGTTTTGTTTTACTCCTTAGTTATATATCTTAGTTAAATATATCAGACAAAAAAAAACACACAAACACACAGTCATCTAACAAATAACAATTAAGACAATTTAAATCTAGTTTTTATTATTTACTTAAATATCGATTTTAATTTTAAGAAAAAAACTAACTAATAAAAAAATCCTTATCTATCTATATTAAAAAATTTCTATCGGAAAAATATATTTTTTTTTGTTATTTTATATATATATATAACGCCACGTCAACCCCACCTCTCTATAACCAAAAATGAAATTTGCAATTTACTATTTAGTTAAAAAAAACTTTAATTAATTAAGTCGTGATTAAACATTTAATTCACTATAAAAATTGAATTTTTTTATTATTAAATTAATACCCAAACACATACAAACACACAACAAAACATAACCTCTTAACAGCAAACATAACATTTTAAGCATTCATGTTGTTGTTGATCAATGGGTTAAATACATTAATCAATTGAGAGCGCGACTAGTTTTTTGTTAACCGTTTAATAACAAATTGTTTTTTGAAAATTGTGTGTCAAAAGCAGTTCGGAAAAATAAATAGAGTGTAATGTTATAATTCATTGGAGTTTTTCATAAAAATTATATTGTTTTTCAATTGATTTGAAAGAGAGAAAGACATAGACAAAAATCACACAAAACAATGGCACTGTTAGACAATTAAAAACCAAATGTCAACCGAAAATAATAATAAGCGAAGCACTGGTATCACAACAACAAAATAATTATATACAGACCTTTGGAATCGAGTGGCTCTTTCTTGAGGTGTACCATAAAATTATGACCGCCGTCTTTATCACTGTCTTTGTTATTGTTGTTGTTGAACATGAATTGTTCGACTAATTTATGTGTTTCCCGACTATTGTCCGGCCGACTTTTGGTCATCTGGTCATCGTTGTCGTTGAGTAACATACGCAACATATTGTTGTTATTGGATGAAACTTTTTTAGCATCCATACTTCCGACACTACCCGGACAAGAGCTTTCACTGTATGGTGTGTGCGGTTGTGGCACTGATGGCGGAGCTATCGATGTTGACATATCGGGCGGATCGTCCTCTTCTAGCAGTTCTCTTAAGATATAGTCATTACTACTGTTTGTTGAATTTTGAAGACCTGGCTCTTTCTTGATGTGATGAATCGGTGAACTATCCGCTTCCTCAGCGCTACCACCCATTCCGTACATTGTATTATTATGAGACGCGCCGTGTGTTAATAGATTTCTTAGTTTATGATTATCAGCGCCTTTCGAAACCATCATATTAGCCGTGGAGGACGCGTTACTGGCCGGTGAAAAGTCATCCAATGAAACACTTGTATAATTGTGTTGCATTGATTGCGGTGAAGGATTTGAAGGACTTCTGACCAGATTAGCCACCAATGGCGATGAGGCACATAAAGGTGACGGTAATGGGTGTTGTTGTTGTTGTTGGCCTGGTGTCGGTTGATTAGAGCCCGGACCAGAACTTGAGGCACCTCCTTGTTGTGTTGATACGGCACCAGAAGCCGATACAAGCGGTGGCGTTGGATTAGAAGAGTAGACACCTGAAGACGATGATGGCGCATTGCCTGTCCCTGAGGTGGCCGTACTGGAGGCGACCATTACTGTATGAACAGTTGTGGTCGTGTTGGTGATAGATTGGTGCGACTCTTGACTGTTGGCGTCATAGTTGTCCCACGACGAGGTCGGAAACATTTCGCCCAAACCGCTGAAACATTCGTTGAGCGAAAAATCGGACACCGATGCCGGCGACAAAGGGAATGAAGGGAACGGTTGTGTTGATATCATACCCGTCTGTGTATTGGCGTATATGACCGGTCCGGGCATTGTTTGCGATGTCGATATTGATGAGCCTTTTGTTTCATAAAAAATATGTCAAAAAATTAATATTTTCAATAAATAAATTGATAATAATATTTACTCTATAAATATAACAAATAAAAACTATTCAAAATATTGGTTTAAATTTTTCACGCATTAAAAGTGTGAGAATAATTTAAACAATCAAATGATAGATAATATATTAATAACACAAAAAATATATAACTTTTGATTGATATTTATGTCTATTATATTCATTATATATAAATAAAAAATGATAATTTCACTGCTATCGTAATAATGACAATACTAATATTACAACAAATATATATATTTTTTTAACAACAAATTTAAATCGCTATTATTATTTTTATTGAATTTTATTTATTATACTTTTTTTTAATAAATTCATATCCTGTGTGTGTGTGTGTGATATAGAGGTCGACAGAATATAATATAATTGTGAAAAGAGTCTCAATAACAATAATTTAATGCTAACTTAACTGTTTATGTAATTTGAATAATATAATAATAATGATAAATAGGGAATAGTAGACAGTAATTAAATGATATGACTTGACATCCGACTTACCAGTGAGCAAATTAGAGGAGTTCAGTGAAGAGATCAGATTATTTGTGGATGAATTACAGTTAGCACCGGTCGATGATGAAGAAGCAGAAGAAGAAGTTAACTGTCCACCACTGGTAAGGGTGGCAGTGCTCGATGCAATGGTAGAGGCAAACGTAGGATTGCCCGACCAGGTGACGGTAGTGATCGGTGAGGGTGTGCCGCCGCGTGACGACGATGAGGCCTCCGTCGATGAGCAGCTGTTTTCCGAATCCTTTATAATGGAATGGGTGGCCATAATAAAGTTGGTCGGCTCGTTGACCACCCCTTGGGCCCCATTGAAGGCCTTGTACTTAGTCTGCACGTGCACGTACTTATCGGCGGCCACCTAATCGACAAATTATAAATATAAAACAAACACACCCAATGTTAATAACTGTATGACTCACATGTGCATTAAATACATACATATTAAAAAAATATTATAAATATTAATATATTGTATAATCAAAGTTTAGAAAACTAAAAAAACAAATATTTTGGATTGACTTTTGCATATAAAATAAAATGTTAATTTAAGGGCGAATATTAAAATAATTTTTTTGTGGGTAACACTATTTGTCAACAACTTTATTAATGCCAATATATTGGTATAAATACTAACAACAACAACAACATTGACTACAAAAACGCCATACAATTGAAGCAAACAATTATATAAAATCCAATAAAACCCAGGGGTTCTCCTTCGGGTACTTAATAACCTAATAGTTAAATACACATACAATTGAAACACAACAACAACAACACAAATCAAAACACATATATTTAATATATATATGAAATAATAAATAAATAATATCCGGAATAAAACTCATTAAATATAAAATGCAAAAAAACTAATATATATGACTATACATAAAAATATATTATAGCAAATAAAAAAACGTACACAAAATTATATATCCAACTGTTTCTAAATCAACATTAACCAAAAAAAATATTGCATTTTTTATCAAAAACATAATTTAATAATAAAAAAAAATGTTACCGAAATTAAAATGTTAATTTAAAAAATCACATTTTAAATAACAAATGGCTGAGATAATTATAAAACTCAATAAAAATTATTTAAAAAAATTCAAAATTACTTAATCTTTTCATTATAACAACAACAAAACAGCAAATATTTCTCTTAATATTATAAATTACTATATATTTAAGTCAATTGGATTAATTAAAAAGCATATTTAATTAAAACAAAAATGTTATTACATAGACATACAAATAAATATATAATGTACTGTATTTTTTCAAATCAATATATGAAATCAATGGACGATATGAGAGTGCATAACAAAAAAAAGTTAATAAACTTAATGCAATATACAATTTTACTCTTTTTTATATATACATATTATTATTATATTTTATTTAATATGCTATATATATATATATATACTGTATATGATTTTTGTTGATATATTTTATGACGACATATATTGACATAAAAATCATGACATTTATTAGCGCAATGTGTGTGTATGTATCTGTATGTATGTGAGTCCTCATTTTAAATGAATCGTTACATACACAGTATCTACTGTACTGTATAATATAATATAATATATAAACCATACAAATGGTGTATCATTTTATTCAATAATATTAAAGTCAATGGTTATCTCAAATGGAAAATACAAACAAAGTTTATGACAAAACCAAATGTTTGAAAACAATTTTGTTAAATCTATTATTAAATATTTTCATTATTTGTACATTTATGCCGACAATCAATCCGTATATATACTGTATATATATCTTACAGTATACGTCTGAGTCTACGTTTGAAAGCTATATTGTATTAATATTGTATATATATATATATATCGACTAATCATCTAAATTAAGTCATAATTTTCTATCGCTTTTAATGTTAATTAAATCTATTGCAATAACACTAAAAACCGGTACTATATAGTGCTATATCATAGGGTTTTTAATAATAATAGCACTAATAACATTGCATACACACACAAAATTCTACATAATATTAGCCAAACAAATGCATTAATAAATAATCAAATTTAATGAATGTATTCATGAGGTGAGTGAGAGACTTAAATCAATGAATGAATACAACAAATAGCGGTTCAGTTTAAATGCCTAACCATTTAAGTGCTATTTCACTAAAACGGAAATATTATTATTATTATTACAGACATTGTAGTATAAATCTAGTAATATATGTATGTATAAACTGTGTGTGTGTTTAATAGCAAATCACACAATTACTGTATTACATAACACAGAAAAACTGTTACCCGGTATTCAAGTATTTAGCAGTTTTTTTCTTACAAAAAAGACTAGTTTTTAATTTTAATTTTAAAGTTGAAATCATAAACATTCAATATATATATATTTAATTTTTTTTAGAGAAAGATGGAGAGAAATAAATAAAATGTAAAGATAATCAATGAATAATAAATATGATAAATAAAAACTTAAAAAATTTATTTTTTTATATGTATTCATTCGTCTTGAGAGTCAAATATTTTTAATGGTCGATACATTACACACAAACTTCCACTATTTAGTCGCTTAAATATACTGTATATATATACAGTACAAACAGTAAAAATCATCTTATCGTTCAATATAATCAAGTTTTAATGATTTAATTTCTTGTATTTTATTTTACACACATATATATCCCCCTCTAATGTCTCGGAGATATGTGAGAGAAAAAAATGTTGAGTTTTTGAAACGTTAAGAAATTAAATTTATATAACAAAAAATTCGTGAAAATTATTACATCACTTTACGTTATATATTGTTTTTTTTTTTTGTATTTAATAAAACATGTTATGCCATTCAATAGGCTTGGATGCGAAATAATAAATTTCATGAGTTTTTTTTTGTATTATAAATATTTGCAACACACTATTGTATTGCAATAACTATTATCTCATTTAAACTCATTGTTACTTAATATAAATTATATGTGAATATAACTGTAAGTTATCAAAAAAAAAAACACTGTATCTACAACTGTATACAAAAAAAATAATACAATTTTGAGTTTAAGTTGAGAATACCTGTGAATATATGGACAGTTATTATTAACACATTTGATATAAACATTACACAATTTATATAATTTTGTGGAAATACTCAGTAAGTTGTGAGGATATAGATGTTATTTATGCTATTTTTATATACAGTCTGTATATTTATAACTGGAAGCACTAATATTTTTAAAATAGTAGTCAATATATAAATTAAAAATATGATATTTCAAAAGTCATATCATATATTATAACTACTGTATAAACTTATATAGTCTTTATTCAAATAGCATAACTGTAATAAACTTATAGAAAAAAATAATAAAAACATAACATATAACAAAAATATTAATACTGTAAAATTATTTTTATTAAAACAAAAAAAAACGCTATAACTATAAATAACTATAAAATTTTTTAATTAAGTTGTGAACACTACACTGTTATGTGTATTAAATAATAACAAAAAAACTCATTTTAAGTATAAAAACTAAACACTTGAGACAACATGTAATAACTGCACATATTTAATAAAATTATTAATAAATAAAAATAATAATTTCATATTTAAAATATTATCTCAATTTTTTCAAGTATATCTCTCTGTTTGGTATTAAATATATTTTTTTCAATAAACAAACTAAAATAAACTAAACTCGTAGACTTCACACAACAAATTTTTAAAAATAATTTTCATATTTATTACCATAACTTAAATTTATGTGAAAATTTATAAAATTTGTAATTTAACACACATTTATTTTCTCTATATCTGTATACAAATTGCAATTATTTTTTTGCTAACAAAAATGACATTATATATCATTCTAAAAAACATATGGTAAACAATAATTTTTTTCACCTAATTATCACAGATATATAGTATATATATAAAAAATAATCTAGCTACTATTTCATATAAAAAACTAACTAATTATCGAAAGCCATATAAAATGGCAATTAAAAACATTCAATAAAAATTAAATCCTATTTCTATTAAAATTTACATGTTTTTTTAAAAAAAACTTAACTATTTTAAACACTATCTAATTATAAATCACCGTTCAATTAGTCAAATAAAAACTAAAAGAAAAACTTTAATAAATATTTAATACATGTATACCTATTGGTTAAAGGAAATAAAATAACTAAAATAAATACATAACAACTATTTCTCAATCTTAATGGTGGGGCAATTAAAATCTCTTGACAGTGTACTATATAAATACGTTTACAGAAACAAAAAAAAATTTTATAAACATTTAAAAACATAAAACAAAAACTAATTTAAATCAACAACAACACAAACAAACAAAAATATTAATAATAATAATAATGTTAAATAACAGATCAGCTATTTATTGTAAAACATAATTATAATCTCAAAATCGAAAAAATTATTATTATTACTATTTATAATAATATTGATAATTTAAAAATCACATTTTTTATTAGAGGAACTCGAAATATTTATGACATCACAAAAAATATATACTAATTTTTTTTTAATTTATAAACACTCACAAAATCCTAACACACATTAAAAAAACAACAACACATTGCAAATACCAATAAATATAAAATCAATAAAAACTGCTAAATAAATATACAAATATTAAAAAACTATACAAAAACGCTTTAAATGACATTTTGCTTAAAATATTGGCTCAACGTTAGCTTAAAGGGTTAAATGGGAGTACATGTTGTTGTTGCTGATGTTGATGACTGAGGGAGAGAGAGAGGGGACAGGTATGTAGGCATTTAAATATGTAGAGGAAGGGGAGACACAGTTGAAAAATTGCATAAAAAGAAGACATCAAACATTATCACATGTCAATTAACATACCATTAGCCTATATATACTGGAGTTGACATTGCTTTTGGTTGAGAGGGCATCCCTGAGGTTGGCCTCCACTTTGGGAAAGTCCGACGGATGACACAATTCCAGTATACTTTTGCCGACCAAATCTTTGTTCAGGTATTGGCTATAAGTGGACGAAACACCACTGGTATCGATACTCAACACTTTGCCTGTCAGGTCAAGTCGTGTAGTGAACAGTTCGACACCAACATTGCCGCCCGATTTGTCCGTTACGGGTATTCGACGGGCGACACACACTAAACTATTTTCGTCGGCACTGCTGCTGGCCGTAATGGCGGCCGTAGGACTGCTGGCCTGTGCGTGCCGTTGTTTGCTGTCCAATGAGGGCACAAATACGGCAGACACCTGCATATTCTCATATTGCGGTGATTGATTGGACGTAGAGGATGAGGTGCCACCGGTACCGCCCAAACCGGGCAATTGTTTATCCGATTTACTCTTTTTTGAGCTGCACTTGACGGACGCCGGCGTCTTCAATAGCGAAGCAAATTCGGCGTCTAAGTCCTCGTCGTCGTCATTATCGGAGTCATTGTACGAGTGATCGCCACCGCAACTGTCGGCCGGTTTAATAATAAACCGGGCGTTAAAGCTACGCGACTTTGACACTGTTGTTGATGATGTGGTGGTAGTACTGGTTGCGGTACCACTAATCAGTCCGCCACTGGTAGACGTTGTGTTACTCGTAGATTGTGTGTTGTCTGACCAGCCGAATCCGTTACCGATGGCCGACATGGGCAGTAGGTTTGAGCTAAAGCGCGGGTGATCGCCCACGTGTACTATATGGTAGATGGGTTTGCCGACCAGTTCTGATTGGGAAAACTTAAGAAAGGAGTGGACATTCTCCGAAACAAACTCAATCTGGCCGTCGGTATTCAGTATAAATAGGAAGCCGTCTAACGCTTCGAGCAATAGTGGGCCCAATACGTCGTTGGCTAATATAGTGGGCCGCGAACTGCTAACCTCAGAGGCCTGCAGGTCGTGAACGGCCGACGCGTCACAATCGTCGGTACCACTAACAGAGAGACTACAGCTAATGTCTTCCTCTTGTCGGGTAACCTGTTGTTTGATTATGCGGATCTGTTTGACCGTCTCCTGCAAAATGGCGCACTTGTCGGGCTTAACCGATAGTGAGTTCATGTCACTAAGGCTGGCGGAGATCAACTCAGCCAACTCTTCAATATAAATGTTTTCCTGTTCCCGACGGCGCTTCTCATTTAGACATTTGTTTAGTTGAATGTGCTGTTGACGAGACGACTCCGATTTGCGACGATTCACTGAATTGCCGCCCGATTGCTGTCCTACTCCTCCTCCTTGATTAGCCGACGACTGAGCTGTTACGGTGGCCGCTAACGACGATAAATTAGCCGCTAATACCACCGAAGTTGACAACTTCTTCGTCTGACTGCTGGCCGAACCACTGCTGTTCGCTAATACTTGTGCTGCTGTTGCTGACGGCTGTCCCTCATTTGGCATAACATTCATTATTTAGAGGACAAGCGTCCAGAATCGCCAGATTTAGGGATTGGGGTGGTGTCGGGTCGGGTAAACGAGTAATGCAAATATTATACCCAACACTGGTATAGTTCCCCACACTTGTCGTTGTTATTGTTGTTACTATCGGTGACCAAAAAAAATATATGATATATATATAAAAAATAAAATCAATTGCAGTTGTGGTGACGGTATTTATTTCTAAGTGGTTGGTCACACACATACATATACACACAAACTATCACCGATGATGTTGTTGTGTCCTCTCACTGGTGATGATGTTGTCCAGTGTTGTTGTTGTTGTTGTTGTTGTTGTTGTGAAGCACTATTGGTATTGAAAAATACATTATTATTATTATTATAAAAGACTCCATTAAATGAGTGCCACAATGGAGTACAACACAAACACTACTAACTAAATACTATGTGCTATCGAAACACTATATCATAGGATAGAGAGAGAGAGAGAGATAGAGAGAGAGAGAGAGAGAGACACACATATTCATAGCACTGGTAGACACTCTGCACTTCAATAGCACTGTTCCACTGTCTCACACACTCAATACCAATGGCTATACTACCAGTACTGTAATACCAGTGCTATAGCTATCTATCTATTTCTCTCTTTTTTTCTCTCTCTCTCCCATAACATACATATACAACATTAATGGCGGGCATAGATGTGGGCGGCGCTTAAGCTCTACACAACTATTAAACTATAGGATTGCCATCTATTTGATTGTCTATGTAATACATGTATGTGTGTTAATGTTATATTATTGTCAATGGCACTATTGCAAAATATGGGCTAGCTTAGATTTCTAATTTCTAATAGTAGTAGTAATAGTGACTTGAATAATTTACTAATTTAATACCTGTTTAATACTGTATTTATTATTAATATGGTAGATAGTAGATTATTAGTATCTACTAGATACTTTTTTGTTGTATAAAATATTTAATAAGTATATTGTCAATTTTTAATATATTAAATATATACATTTTATATTATACAATATATAAATTATACAGTATATATATATATATATATAGAGCACCGGGAGTTAAATTAATAGTGCGACTTATATACAATAAAATACTGTATGCAGAAATATTGTCATTAATATACGGTACTGTATGTATGAAAAAAAAAAATTTAAAAAAAATATACACATAGTAAACATTAAATACCTAAAAACCTAATTTTTTTTAATTCAAACACCGTTACTATATAATACCAGTAATACTTAGATTATTAATAATACTGTATATACAATATATATACGGTATAATACATTCAAAAATTAAAAAAAAACTGAAAATAAATATATATTTAATTATTAATTAGGATTTTTTTTATGATAAAAAAATTATTATTTTATTTAATATGGTTTAGATTAATGTGGGATATATCAACATAGATATATACATTTATGGGGGTAAAAATTTCACTATCACTGCAAAACACACATTTATAATATGTGTGTGTGTGTGTAATGAGAGAGAGAGAGAGAGAGAGAGAGAGAGAGAGAGAGAGAGAGAGAGTATGTGTAACAACAAATATTATAGCAATCACTATAATAACTAGTCATTAAAAACCATTTGTTTGGAGATGTTTTTTTTAAAAAAATACAAAACACATAAATATATATTTTATTAAATGTTTCGTAAAATATAAAACACTTTTTTTTGTCTGTTATTACAATTTTTTTTGGCAAAAATTTTAACCAAAAATGTGTTTTCCATATGATATTTATTTAAACTACATATATTACTGTATTTATACGGTATAATTTATATACATATGTAAGTCAGTAGTGTGTGTTTCACATTTTACACAAAATTTGTTTTTCCCTAAATAATAAATGCAACACATTTTCTCTATTTAAACACATAAATATATAATTTATATATATATATATATATATATATATAATACAAGTGCCTTTTATTATAATTATTATTATGATACGGGAGGAGAGCCTACATATTGAACAGTAATTAAATCAAATGTTCAAAATAACGGGTGAAAAACATTTTTGTAACATATTTTTGTTGTTTAGACTCCTTTTTATACCATATATAGTATAATACAGTATAAATTATATTCTATATTAAATACAATTTGTTAAGTGTGTAAAACACATCATTTTGAAATACTATTAACATTATTTGTTCAGAATATTATACAAACATATATAAAGTTTATAATATATAAATGTATAAATTAACTGTATAGTAGCTAAAAACTGTTGCCCACCAGTTATAGCTGTTTTTATCGGAAAGCCCTACAACACACACACACACACACACACATTTATACATACTGTCCCATTGAAAATCGCCATATGCTTTTGCTTATCGGGCGGTACTAACAATAATAATTTCTAAAATGCACCAAGGACATTATATGCTAAAATGTTTAACATTTATACGTATGAGCAATTTGTATGGCTTTAATATTAAAATTTGTTATTTTAATAATAATAATATCGCAAAAGCCATACAAACATTTACATATAATTTAATTCAATTAATATTGCAAACATTATAAATCAATTATATAAATCTTAGTAATACAATATATATATATATATATATATATATATACTGTTCGAATGCAAAACTATTTTCGCTTTATATATTTTATATAATTAAAAAACAATATAAATTATATAATCGTAATTTAATTCTCAATCATATCTTCATTTGCAAACATTATAAATCAATTATATAAATCTTAGTAATACAATATATATATATATATATATATATATATATATATATATATATATATATATATATATATATATATATATATATATATATATATATATATATATATATATATATATATATATATATATATATTAAATGCATATAACATAACTAATAATATTACTGTACATTTGGAAATCATATGTTAAACAAAATACAATAATCTTTTATTATATGGTTAGTGTAGTATAACATAATTTTTATTAATATAATTAATATATTTGTAATATATTTGTAGTTTTTCATATAGAAAATTGATTAATAAATAATAGATTTATGTATAATGTTTTATCCAATAACACTATATCATTTAACCGAGATTACTATAACTATTATTATTATTTATATACATATCAATCAAATTAAGATAGTATAGTAATTTTTTTACCAATAATATTAATTTGATTTTTTATATATATTATTTGTTTTATTTATTGGCCAAATCGGTTAATAATATTAAATAAAAGATTTATATTAATTGAAAATAAAGTGATTTTTTTCTATGGGTAATCATGGTGATTGTATAATATATGTGTTACTAGGTCAGTGTGTGTGTGTGTGTGTGTGTATGTATGTATGTATGTGTGTGTGTGTGTGTGTGTGTGTGTGTGTGTGTGTGTGTGTGTGTGTGTGTGTGTGTGTGTGTGTGTGTTAGTCACTTGATAGTGACAGTTAAAACCACTAAAAAAATATTAAACAAAAATTTTCATATATTATTAAATTATAATAATTTCAATAGGATATAATATTTAGTTTATTTAATTTGTGACATTAAAATTTTGTATTATGTTATATAATAATAATACTGTTTGATAATAACAATAATTTTTTTATAATAATAGTTAATAATTAATATTTATAATAGTAATAATATATTTAACACTCGCTTTTCATGTGATTTTACGTTACTTTTGCTTTTTATCTGATTTTATTATTTTTTGTTACTTTGTAACTCTCATAATAAAAATAATAATAACATTAATTAAATTTTATATTTTCCTTGTATATATATATATATCATATGTGAAAATATTGTAAACAAAATTTTTGTTAATATTTCAAATTAGTATTAAACTAAATAAATTATATTTAAATAATTTAATTTTTATATTTAGTATTTTATTATTGAAACATATTACAAGTTAATTGACATTTTTTTCTTCAATTATTGATTTATTAATTTGATATTAGATATACTATAAGTTAATTTGCATATAAAATAAATTAAGTTATCTATTTGAATCTTATTTGAAATTTCAATAATTAATGTTAATGATAATTATAATTATAATAATAATTAATTTTTATTTGAAATATAATTATATTTATAACATTTTGACTAAAATTATATATATATATATATCATACTGTAGTTATTATCATTAAGAGCTATTTATAGTTATATCGATATTAGAGTATTGTTAACTATCTATATTTTTTTTATTAATAAGTAAGTTATAAATTTCATAATATTGAATACAATATTTTAATTATAGTATTCAATATGATAGTTATTATAGCGATAGTATTAAAAAAATATAATTATAATTTTATTAAAATGAAGTTTGAAATATTAACTATTATTAAATATCTATTTGATAAAAAATAAATTTTAAAAATATTATTTGTAAAATTTTTAGTATTTAAATAAATGACATTTTAACAACAACATCAAAAATAATCATAAAATTGCTTAAATACCAGTGTGCATGATATTTTTTWAAATATTAATTTTTATTAAAATATAAATTCTATACAATGTAATTTTAAATTTAAAGTAATAAATAAAAATAAAATAATATTTCTAAAATAATTTGTACTAAAATTTCTATTATGTATGATAGATATCATTTAATATAATTTGTCATATTTTATATAATTATTATTAAAATTGTTTATTTTTAATCTCATTATTTTTTATATAATTTAGAATATTCAAAATGTAATTTTTGTAAATTAAAAATTCTCAAATTTAATAGATTAGTATAACGAAAATAAAACTAAATTTTTAATAAATTTTTTTATTTATAATTAGAACTTGAAAAATAATTAAAATGTTTTTTTTATTTTAGATCAATCACTAAGTTTTCAAAACAATATTATAAAAGTATTTATATTAAATTTAAACTATGATATTAAATTTTATTACTAATGTAACTTGTATTCATTTATATTTAATTATATTTTAATTTAAAAAATCTAATTTTGAAAAAATTCAATATATTTAATAGACATTTTTAAAAAGAAAAAAATAATATATTTTTATTAATACTATTTTTAAAATAGAAAATTTTCAATTCAATTAATAGAATAGAAATTTCATGTTATGACAGCAAGTTTTTATTATATATTTTTATATTATTATTATTATTATAAAATTATAACAATCTTATAACTTAGCATAGTATATATATACTATTAAATTTTGTCATAAAATATCCATCAAATAGCCATTAATGTATTATTATTAGACTATTAATATAAAACAATTTATATACAGTCCATTCAATATACAGTATAAAACATATTGTATTACCACAAAAAATAATGTATGTATTTTTGATTACTGTATGTTTGTGTAATTTAACATTAAATACAATATTATGAAAATAATTTAGTCTTTTAAATGGGAAATGGTTTTCATTTATTCTATATAAATACTATATATTTATTGTACAAATATATCATATATAAAAACTTTTGTTATGCATTTAAAAGATTACAACAAGATTTTTCCATTAAAATTAATTTAGTTTCTAAATACTATATTAATTACAATAAATTGGTTGCTGTTATTATTAATACAATATCATAATAATAGTGATGTAGTAATG